TGTCACTCCAGTAACAATTTATAGCAAACTTAACGTCGTCTTTAACATCATATCCTTTACCTTTTGTCATTCCTGACCAATCCCAATATCTATGCTTATGCCAACCTGCTTGAGATGTACTTAAATCTATGTAGTGACTGTGTGCAGGTAAATTTTCACCTGAAATCGTTTTACTTCCACCTGTTTCCTTTGAAGAGTTTGCACAATACAAAAACCTGTCGACTATTTGTTCCCATGCACCAACACCAAACATTACTTGAGGACCTCTTGCTTCCATAGATGTATAAATAGAACCTACTGGGTTCATTAAATCAAACATATGAGATATTATAGGATTGTCTCTTTTGAACTTAAAATATAGTGCAACTATTTCAGGTTTGTTCTGGTTTGTGTCAGAATATTTTTTATAATATAATCTTATGTTTTCAGGGTAGGTAAAGTCTTGACTATAATATTTATTTCTGTCGTCTGTATAATAATATACTATTCTCGTTTTTTCTATTGCATTATATCTTTTATATCTATAATAATCTAAATATAATGTTAGCTTTTGTTCATCTACATGTGGTGTTCTGTCGTCATCTCCATAGTCATAATAATATGGTGCTGGAGCTGGGTCAGGCAATGTCATATCTGCCATTTCATAAACTCTTAAATATTTCTTTTGTTCGTCTCCATATAAGTTTAAGTAGCAGTTGTTGTCTAATGGAACTTTAACTTGTGTACCATCATTCTTTTTATAGCTTACATACATTTCATTGTTATTTTTCGGAATGAGTTTATACCGTGTACCATTTTCTAAGGACTGTACCAACTGCCATCTAAAATATTTATTTTCTTCATTGACAGAAAAGTCACCAACAATAGTTTCAATATTTTTTGTTCCTATCAAACTTTGGTATATTTCATTGACATATGTTTTATCTGCTTTATTTTCAAGGCTAACGTTTAAGTCTGTTATTTCAGAAGATGTATGTGTATGTCCAACGTCACTTTTCCTGTTTAAGGTTTCTTGTAAGTTTGTAATATTTGCAATGGTATGTGTATGTCCAACGTCACTTTTCCTGTTTAAGGTTTCTTGTAAGTTTGTAATATCAGATATAGAATGTGTATGTCCAACGTCACTTTTCCTGTTTAAGGTTTCTTGTAAGTTTGTAATATTTGCAATGGTATGTGTATGTCCAACGTCACTTTTCCTGTTTAAGGTTTCTTGTAAGTTTGTAATATCAGATATAGAATGTGTATGAGTCTTATCTGCTTTTGTCTCTAATGTTTCCTTAAGACTTGGTATTTGGTTAATATAATGTATATGAGTCTTTTTAGAATATTCGTTTTCAGCTCTTGTCACTTCACTTGACATTTTATTGTCAACATATGTTTTGTCTGCTAGTTCAGGATGAGTATGTTCTTTTGTTGCATAAGCATTGTTAGCTCTTTCTTCTTCTTTTGCTATTGCATCGTCTACATATTCTTTGTCAGCTTTGTTGTCAACATCTGCTTTCAAAAGAAGTTCATTTATAGGTTTCTCGTTTAAAGTTCCTTTTTGGATTTATACAGACAGTATTGTTCTTATTGTCTTGAAATAGAAACTCATCTGTTATAGGGTTTATTGTCAGTTTTAAGTCACCCCCTTTCAATGACTCAGATATCTTAGAATAGTTTTGAAAAGTTTGTTGTGTTCTTATTTAGAGCTTGCATAATGAGTTGTCGGTTTTGTTGTATTTCTCTCATAGACGCTGTTTCATTTGACATTTTTATTATAGATAAAATATGCTTCCAATAGAAAAAGAAAATTCTAGAGTTGCTACAACTAAACCATTAGATGAACTTTTTACTAATGTCGGTCAAAAGTTTGAGACAGATACCGTAAAGCATGAAGGCTATCGTTTTGACTACCGTTAAGATGGTTAAGAGACCCATCTGTCACAAAAGCTATTGGCTTTCGTAGAATGAAGTTCATTTCAGAAGCCATACATGGTTTCCCATTTACGGTCGGTTTTGAAGTTCGATACTATAACAAAGAAAAACGTATGTATGAGAAATTTGAACAAGGAAAACTTTTACAAGTTAGTTTGCTTATAAACTTAGAAACAACTCTTCAAGCTTTTCAAGAAAAAATAAACGATATCTATATTGAATATGCAAACCAGTTTAACATTGACGAAGGAGAATACCATCTCGATATTATTTATGACAGGAAAAACGCAACTGTTAAAATCAATAAAATAGAAGACCTTGGAGAAAACGTTTATATTTCTACAAAATATAACAACTTGGCATGGTATAGATTTATGAGGATGTTAAATCAGCCTGCAGCATATCCAGTACACCCGGACTATTATGAAGTCGAAAACCCTAATGGAACATATGAAAATATTTTCGACCCAGATGCTATTATTGTTCATGCTTCATTTTCTGGTGCGCAAAACTCTTTCTTATGTCTGATGAATGACTTTTACGAAAAACCTACAAAGTTATATGAACCACCAAGTGGAAGTATTTCAGACTTTCAAGTATGGTTTACTACAGATGGAAGAAAAAGAATAATTCCATTATACCATGCGTTTTACTTAGAACTTAGTTTCATATACAACTACTATCGAACGGTAAAAATATAATTTTTTAATACGGTTGAGGTGTTGGATTTGGTTGCCAACTAGACTGTGGTGCAGGTTCAGGCTGTTGTATAACAGGAGCTTGTTCTTCTGGTTCAGGGTCTTTAGGTATAATACCAACAAACTGACCTACTCTTTTACCAATATTTTTGACACCGTTCCATACTCCTCTTCCGACAGATTTTATTCCATTCCATATACCTCTTCCAACTCTTCTGAAGAAGTTTCCAATACTACTGAAGAAACCCATTTTACTATATGTAAAAATCTAATGTCCGCCTAGTCTCTTACGTTTCCTGTTGAGTTCCATAGCATTCTTTAACTGGAGCTCATACATTCTGTTTCTCCTCTGGTAGAAAACATATTCTGGGTCAACTCCTGTGTTCGCGTCATCTGCATAAAGTTGTTTATATCCCACTTCAGGGTTTGTATAAAACTCTTTCCATCTCATATTTGCATACCATGGTGGCAAACCTAACGCAGCGTCATTTGACATGGCAGTTTGCATTTGTACATCTGTTGGCACTTGACCATAGTTTGCCATTGCAGTTTGTATTCTAACTACTTCATTTGGAATATTCTCTGGGTTTGGTTGTCCAGGTTGCTGTGCATTCGCTAAGTTCTGTGCGTCCATTTAATATTAGATAAAAATATCTCTTACGAGTACATATACTGAACATTTACAGGCATTGGTTCATCTTCATATTCTCTGTACTTTTCTGCCACGTCAAATAAATAAATGACACAATGGAAAAAACCTAAAACTAACAATCCGATTTCAAACCACATTTACTTACTAATAAAATTTCTTTGTTATGACACTTTCTCCAGTTTATAGGACCTCTCTCATATTCTATCTTGTCATATCTAAACTCATAGTCGTTTATATCTTCTAGCCATTTCATGACACTTTCCAAACCACTTTTATCGGATGTAAAGTAAAAGCATGGATGGTTATGTATAACGTCTAAAGTTTCTAAAGAGTCTCTCAAAGTCCAGTCTACTTGGTATTGAAAATCCCATGTGTTATAGAACGGCGGGTCCACTATAAAGAAAACATTTTCCTTGTCTTTATATTTTTCATACAACTCTGTCCAACGACATCTCACAAACTCTATACCCTCAATATATTTTTCTATGTCCTCTTTGAAAACATTTGTATAGTTAAGATATAAAACTTTTGACATAAGTGTTTCAATGTCATGAACTCTTATAGCACCACTATATAATAGTCTAGCAGATATACTATCCCAGTCTATATATTCTGCTTTTTTCAAAACCTCTCTCACAATATTTTTCTTATCTAATGGTATACGTTCCATCTTACCTATAGGTATCTTTTCTTTTAACTCTTTCAATATATTGTTTGTGTCTGGAATATGTTTGAGACGGTTCATATAGTTGTCGAAGTCATTGCATATAATCTTTGAGTCTGGGAATATTGTATGACATAAATGGGATATATAGAAACTTCCACCGAACAAATCTACAAATGTTAGACCATTCGGTAGTTTCTTAAGTTCTCTCAATATAATATCTTTACATCTACTCTTATTTCCAAAGAACGGTAACGGTGGTTTTGTAAAATTCATTTATATATAATAATAAAAATGTTTTTACCCGAAAAGTGATAGAAAAGTGACAAACCATGAAAACATATATAATTTGTGAAAAGCGACACATTATATAATGTTTTCGACCCAGAAGAAGGCTTCTTCCCAGAAGCAATGGAGGAGGAAATACAAGACTCTGTCCAAGAAGAGTCCTCCGAATTCACACCAGAAGACTAACAATTTTCCGAATAAAAACTTCATTTATACTAAACATCTTCGGGGCTAGAGGGCGCAACGCGCCTGGAAGCCCCACTCACCTGACCTAATTTCATTCAATTTCCCATCATATGATGAAATACTTGAAGAATTTTCAATTTTTAGCCTCTTTTAAATTGAATGTAATTCAATTTTTGAGGCGGCTCATTGAAAATCCGTCAAGTATTAAATAATAACAGTTTAATTTGAGAAAAAACCAGACCAAATCATTGAAATTACTGGTCAGTAGAATTAGAAGAGTTGGTCTCGTTGATTGAAGTGCTATTCTTGCTTAAGATTTTATTTTCTATGCCTCTTCACGCATGTATATTTCTATTTGAGAGAGTGCCAGAAAGTGGTAAGTGCACCGTTAAATAGTGCTTATTTTTGTATTATAGAATCATCAGTTCCAAACGTACGCACATTTTACAGGACTTTCAATCATGTAGTTCAATGTTGATTTTCAATTATTAGTCACAGGGCGCAAGTGTACCCTGAAAAGAAGTAAAACTTTTTTTTTCAAAAATTTTAAAAAATTACCACCAAAAAAAATGACATTTTTGGAACGGAAGGGTAAATGGTCTTGATACATCTAAATAATCAAATTCTTGAGAGAATAAATAATTATCAGGCACCCGATAAAGTTACTATATCAATCAACAATATTGAAATTCAACTTACAAAATCTTTTGCAGTTGCAATTTCTAAATTATTCTATTCACAGTATCTTTTGGATAACAATATTAATAGAATTGATATTCACACTGATATTAAATCAATCTATACATTCGATGTCTTAAAAGATATCTTACAATACAATAAATCAGAAATTGAATGTGATGGAACAATTCTGTATGACCTCTTTCATATTGGAATGGCACTTGAATCAGAAGAACTGATCAACTTTTATAAACTCAATCTTATCGATAAAGAAAATTTAGATAAAAATAATTGTATTCAATTACTTGAATTTTATTTTGATAATTCAGCAAAAGATAAGATATCCGAATGTGTTGATTTCATTTCATCACACTTTTATGAAATTGATACAGATCAACTTAAATCAATTTCTCAAAAAATAGGATTAGAAATTCTTCAAAGGATATTCAACAATGATAAGCTTGTTGTCGAAGATGAAGATTCTTTAGCACATTTCATTATCTCCTTAGCAAAAGAAAGCGAAACTTATTGTCCATTAATTGAAAATATTCATTTCGAATTATGCAACGAAAGTGTTATTAAAGAAATTAAAAACTTCACTGATGAAAATAACTTTCAGAGCATTGTTAACTCTCTCGCCGATTCATTGATTAGATCAAGAAATTTAAAACCTAGAATTTTAGGGAAATACGAAACAGATTACTTCAAGAGCGGAAATGTTGAAATGTCTGCTTCATCAACATATAATGGAACAGTTGATGTCATAAATAAATATCAAGTCAATACATGTTTTTACACCGCTAATGATGTTAATTCATGGGTTCAATGGAAATTGAAACAAAATTATGCGATCCGACCAACTGAATATATTGTTAGAACATGTCAAAATTACTCGCATTTTACTTTAATGCTTAAAACATGGAGAATTGAAGGTACAACCATCGATGGAGAAACAAAAGTTATTCATGAAGTGACAAATTCGTCATTAAGGCCTGATGAAATTAGGAAATATTCTATTAAAACAAATGATAAATTTGTCTCATTTAGACTCATTCAAACTGATACAAACCAGTCAACGAAATACAATGATTATCATAAATTGCTACTTGATGTATTTGATTTTTCAGAAAATGTATATGAATTGAAATTTAATTAGTAGTAATCTTTATAATCTTTAAAAAATTTATTTTTAAAAGATAAATATTTCCTAAATCTCTAGAAAGGTCTATCTAAAGACGGGAAGTGAATTGGAAATCTACATGAGTATAGTTTGATTATGTCAAAGTTAATTAGATTTATCATTCCATCCGATAACATGTGAAAACGCAGACATAACTTTCGATGAGAAACAAGAATTATTCATTAGATGGTAAACTCATCCCATCAAATATTGATGTTTCTGCTGTGAAAAGAATCTCGAATTGAGTGGAAATAACAACAAAAGTCAGTGACCAAGTTGAATGGCACAACCCTTCAAGATGTTCAGTGGATGGTTTATATAAAGTAAGGACTTATTTTTGTACCCAAGGATTCGAAAAGTAAATTTTTTATCTTTGTTTCTTAACAACTTTCATATATAATCTACTTTTAACAATGTCTCATTAACGTAACATATTAATGTCAGAAACATGAAAGTGGAATCGATATCATATACTGATGTGAAAAATGGAATGATATTCTTAAAAATATTTTCACCTCAGTTTTCTTTCTAATGCCGATCAGCATTTGAATATATTCTTTTGAACGATGCATATTTTCAAAGGATTTTTGCATTGGTATATAAAAAACACTAATGCTTTAAAATAAAATAAATCTATGTTGTTGTGAACAGAAATTCATCAAAAGTGACACCTCAGAAAAGCTAAAATATTGAATTTTTGGAACTTTTGATAGAGCACGTTTTTAAATATTAATTAAAGTAAATGTATATTTTGTAAAGATTCTTTTTAATAAAAAAAATTTTGAAGAAGAACACAAAATCTTCTGAAAAATAATATCACATAAACTCATATTATTTTCTAATATATAACTATTTTATATAAAAATCAGATTCAATGATCTTAAAAGCGAAGGATAAACCTCAAAATTTACGAATATAATGAGTGGGAATATAATGCTTATCTATCATAAAACCATATGAAATATCAATTTTTGCTTTACGCCTAATTTTTGACGACAATTAGCAAAAAATGTTAAATGTTAATACTCAGTCCATTTGAATATGAAAAATAAAATTGACTTTGATTAAATGTTTTTATTTATCATGCAATTCTTCTTGCAACCAAAGATTTGAATAAAATTTCAAAAAATAAGATAGCTTAAAAAATAATATACGGTAGTGTTTACTAATAGATGAATAGTATATAAATTCTATTAAAATGGATTTGATCCAAAAAATATAAAACCAAAAATAATTGTTATAATTTAAATGAAGAAGTAATTTAAAACGATTTTATTTATGATCAAATTTTAGGCATAGATAGAATTGACCCACTCGGCGAATTCGTATCCGCCGTCGACTTGCTTTAGGACCTTTCTAAGGTACTCTGCCTCTTCACCCTTGAAGTACTGGTCGAGCTGTGCGTCTGTAAGGATTGGGTTGTTGTTTGCGATAGCCTTGAATGCTTTTGCTGTTGTATCTGCGTTTTCAGCCTTGGAGAAGTGGTCAAGCATGAATTTAACATACTCATCGAAGTTAAGCTTCTCTTCGCCTGTTGCAGAGTACTTCTTGCAGACTTCCTTGGCCTGATCATCGGAGATATCATCGCCAAGAGCTGTAAGGCAAGCGCGGAGTTCGAAGTACTGTAAGAAGTTTGTGTGGTCCTTATCGAAGTGGTTGAATGTTTCTCTGAACTCTGTGAGCTGCTCTTCTGAGATCTGGAGACCCTTCTCAGCAGCGATGGCTGTATCGATTTCGCGAACAAGGCCGTCGATGTGTGATAAGATGTTTGCGAAGAATGCAGCGATTGAATCTGGTGTGTCTTCGATAGCAAGGTGGAGTTCGTCCTTTTCGAGGTCTTCGAAGATTGGTGTCAACTCCTTAGCAGCCTCATCGCCATCGATGACTTCCTGCTTGATGTCGAACAACTTCTGCTGCTTCTCAGGAAGAGTGCCGTCGACATTGGAAACTTTCTGCTCCAACTCGCGAGCCAAAGCAACGGAAACTGCTGCCTTTTGGTTGTAAGCGAAGATACGGGATTCACGGCCTTCGGAAGCAAGCTTTTCGTTGTTGGATTCCTCCTGGTGGTTGAGGAATGCGATGACAGCTTCGAGTGTTGCTCTCAAGTTTTCTGGTGTCTGCTTGACACGGTAGTTGAGGTTGAAGTCGCAGAGATCTTCCCATGGAGCATCGAGTGTTGGTAACTCTGGAAGGATTTCCTGAGCTTGAGCCTTTGACTGAGCGATCTTGTCCTTCAACTCAAGGAGTGTGCCTGTTAATTCGACGTTCTGTACAACCTTGACCTTCTCGGCGATGGCAAGAACCTGGGCATCGAAATCAGCAACCATCTCGTTGTAGATTTCAGCCAACTTGTCTGTGATGATCTGAAGAGCGTTGGCGTAAACCTTTGAGATTGTAGCTGGTGAATCATTGACACGGATGTGTAATGTATCACGTTCGAGTGCTTCGTACTCTGGCTTGAGCTGGGACAATCCTTCACGCTTGTTTCCTAACTCGAGCTGAGCAGAGAGGTAAGCATTGCGGCGTGTGGCGCGATCGCCATCGATTGTGCTGACCTTCTGGTGGAATTCGTTAGCGATGTCGACGTACTTCTTGGCCAACTCGTTGTATGCAGCGATGCGAGCATCGTTGGATTCTGACTGCAACTGCTCTTCGAGCTGGTTGAGGAGTGTTGTCAAGAAGGCGAATGTGATGTCGGAGTCACGTGTTAAGTCGTTTGGTGTGTACTTGACAGCGTTGGAGTACTTGATGGACTGTAAGTACTGGTATGGTTCTTCAAGTGTTGGCTGGATTGAAGCCTTGATCTCTGTGAGATCAGACTGGCACTTGAGGACACCATCCTTCTTCTCCTGTGTTGTGCCTGAAACGCTGTCAGCTGTCTTGTGGACATCGCCGATCTTCTCGTGGATAGCGATGGCCTTCTCGTTGTACTCGTCAACGAGCTGCTTTGAGATCTGTGTGATCTTGTCCTGAGCTTGAGAAAGGCAAGCTGTGTACATGGCTGTGACGGCATCTGGAGTGTTCTCGATACCGAGGTGGAGGGACTGCTTTTCGAGTTCCTGGAACATTGGTCTGATGTCAGAAACGCCATTTCTCTTCTGGATGATTTCTTCTGACTTGTCAACGTTGGCAGCGCGCTGTTCGCGGAGTTCGCCAGCGATTGCTTCAAGGTCTTGCTTGAGCTGAGCAACTTCGTCGACGTACTTCTGAGCAGCCTGGTTGTACTCTTCGATCTTCTTCTTGTTCTCGTATTCGAAGATAGCAGCCTTGTTGCCTTCGATAAGACGCTTGATTGTAGCGATGAGTTGTTCGAATTCGCCATCAACAGCGATGACTGTGCGCTTAACTCTGTTGTTGAGTCTTAATTCGACAAGTTCAACGAACTGTGGCTGTAATTCCTTGACTGTGCCAGCAGCTTCCTGGGCCTGCTGGAGGTAGTTGTTAAGGGCATCGCGCTGTTCGTAGAGATCTCCTGTAAGGTTGATAGCCTTGTTGTTGATGTCGTCGCAGACAGCAATCTTAGCGTTGGCAGCTTCATCGAAGGCCTTGATTAACTTGGCCTGGAGTTCCTCGAGGATCTTTGTGAGTTCGTCGCGGCGGTCTGATGCTGTCTTTTCGATCTCTTCGAACTTGAGGTTGAGGTTTGGTGGTAACAACTCTTCCTTGACCTGTGGAATTGGACGGCCATTGGAGTTGCACTTTGTAACAAGCTGACCCCATGTCTTCATAGCGACACCACGCTTGTCGACGATGACTGGACGAACAACACGTCCGAACTTGATGCAGTTGAAGAGTTTGGACTTAACTCCTGGAACTGTCTGGTCGTAGTCTTGAGCAAGGAGCTTCTCGCGTTCTGTGTTGATAACGTCGAGGCACTCCTGAGCTTGCTTCTCGTAGTTGAGGGCTTCTTCTTCGATGGCCTTCTGAATGCCGATTGTGCGCTTGAGCTTGTCGGCGGCGGCCTGTGTCTTTGACTCGCCAGCGAAGAAGTGGAAGAATTCGGCAACCTGTGTAACGACGGATTTCTCATCTGGCTGTGTTCCGACAAGATCTTCTGGATCAAGGAAGACGTAGATGCCGAGTTCCTTGCATGCAGCGAAGGCCTTCTCACAGTTCTCCTTCTGCTGTGTCTGATCAAGTGAATCGTAGTCGAGCATGTTTGGACGGAACTTGTTGATTAAGGCGCAAAAGGCAAGACCGTCGGACCAGGATGTTGTGAAGTTTGTAACATTGACACCCTTGTATCCTTGTGTGTTCTTCTTAGCCCAAAGAAGAAGAGCGTCACGAGCTGTGGCTTCTTCGACAGAAATTTCTTCAATCATGAACTTGTTGATGATTGTCCAGATAAGACCGAGTGTGAGCTTCTTGTTCTTGTCGATGATATCATCAGATCCGATACCAACCATACGGATATTCTTTGATGAGATGAAGTCTAAGGCCATACCACAGTTTTCACGCATTTGAACGCGCATCTTTGGCTGCTTGTGCCATTTGCCCTTCATTGGTTCCTTAGAAACGATCTCAAGGAGCTGAATGAGTTTAACGCCATCTGCAAATTCCTCTAAAACGTTGTCAAATGGAATTCCCTTGAAGGAAAGCTGTTTAGCTGTCCATCTTGAGAAAACTTTGATCTGAGTCTGTTCCCATGCATCGTCTAGAAGTCCACGATTATTAGACATAGTGAAAAGTGAAGTGTTAGGGAATACAAATTTTGTAGAATTTTACATCATCATATAAAATCAGAAAACATCGTAAATTTGCTGCTCTTAAAGAAAACTGAGAAATTAATTTTTTATAAGAAATATTTTATACCCATTCGATTTATTGTTTCAATGTATTACTTCACCTCTGTTTCAATTCCTGCCAGAAATGGGACATTTCTGAAAAAACATCATTTTCAATCTATGAACTTTAATATCATATCCATAATTCCCCTTTTTTGATAACGTTCTCAAATGTATACGTTTAATTTATAATATTTAATATAGATAATAAGGTAAATATAATGATGGTTTTTGAACGTTGAGAATTTGTATAAAAATAATAAAACTTGTAAAGAAAAATGAGGAACAACGTGGAATAAAGCTTTATTTTGTGTTTATTCAGTTGTTATTTAACTCCAAGTAGGTAATCAACTGATTTAAATCACTTTTTACTCATCATGCGTAAAATCAAATTTCCCAACATGTCTAATGTAAAATTATATTAAATTTGCGTAGAACAAGGTATATCTGAATTGAATATGCAATGTCAAAACTAACTAAGCTAACAGATGCATACCTTTTGCTCTCATCTTGATTGTCCTTACTCTTCAAGAGTTCTTTGAAAACCACTAGGTTTGCAATAGGTTATTATTTGATTTATCCGGTTGGATATTGCATAATTTTGATTTCACATTGTAATGATTTTGTTGAAAATTGATGTAATTCATTTTAATACATAGCAATTATTATTCAATCCTTCAGTCATATCATTGCTTTATGCTTTATTAAAAAAGCAATTAACTATTCATTGGAAAACCCAATTAGCGTGAATGTTAGTTGAAAGAATCAATATCATTATTTTGAGCATATGTGGTACTAACTTACAGAATATAATCCATGGTTTATCGTCATATTTATATTAAAATTAATCAATCTAGAATTAATCATTTATCATGAAACTCTATCAATCCAGAATCTCATGTGATATTGTGGTTGCAAACTTTCCAACGAACTCTATAAGATAAATGATAGTCAATCCTATATCCTAGTAATAGTAATGAATAATTATATAAACTTTACTGGAAATAGTAAATGAATAGCAAAGCTAAGAAACACCTTCATTTCAAGTAGAGGAAAAATGAAATTTCAAAAATAGGAATTTAGGAAAATACAGTAACACGTTTATTTATATTTTAGAAACCGTAGAGTGTCTTGCCCTGGCGCTTAAGAGCATAGACAACATCCATTGCTGTAACTGTTTTACGACGAGCATGTTCAGTATAAGTAACTGAATCACGGATGACGTTCTCAAGGAAGTGACGAAGAACGCCACGAACTTCTTCGTAGATATCACCAGAGATACGCTTGACACCACCACGGCGAGCAAGACGACGAATAGCTGGCTTTGTGATACCCTGAATGTTTTCACGCATAACCTTACGATGGCGTTTAGCACCACCCTTACCAAGACCCTTACCACCTTTACCGCGGCCGGACATATGAAATAATGAATTCTAATCCTATCAAATTTTGCCGCCATATAATCATATTATGCCATTTTATACCTGCGAATTTTGAAATGATATTATTTTGAAAATTGACATATTAATTGGATCTAAAATGACAGAACGGAAAATGCACATCTCTGGTGTTCTCAAAAATGGCGGCAATTTTTAGTTCATTTTACCAAAGCATGGCTCGTACAAAGCAGACAGCTAGAAAGTCAACAGGTGGCAAGACCCCACGTAAATCCCTTGGTGCCAAGGCCGCCCGCAAGTCAACACCAACAATCGACTCCCAGGGTGCTAAGAAGCAGCATCGTTTCCGCCCAGGTACAGTCGCCCTTCGTGAAATCCGTAAGTACCAGAAGTCTACAGATCTTCTTATCCGTAAGCTTCCATTCCAGCGTCTCGTCAGAGAAATCGCTTCTGGCTTCCGTGGCGATCTTCGTTTCCAGTCCTCCGCTATCGCTGCCCTCCAGGAAGCTTCTGAAGCTTACCTTGTCGGTCTCTTCGAAGATACAAACCTTTGCGCTATCCATGCTAACAGAGTTACAATCATGGAGCGTGATGTCCAACTTGCTCAGCGTATTCGCGGTGAGCGCAACTAAATAGAGTTTGTTAATTATTATATTAATCAATGTCTTTTTTATTTCCAAAAATATATTAAAAAAATCAAATAATAAATATTGAAATAATAATGCTGATCTCTGATAAATGGCATCTCATATTGTTCTTTCTAACTGCAATTTTCATATAACTTGACTATGTGAAATACAAAAAAAGAAAGATTATTGTTGATGCCTAGCCAAATGATATGGATTATGTGTCAAATTTCTTCTAGTCAATAGTTCTAATTATGAGAAGATTATTACTTATTTAACATAAAAATTAAAACAAATTTAAAATTCGAAATAAATAGATACAGTTTTAAATAGAAATATTATACAAAATAAATATAAAAAATCATTGGTTAACAAACCATGATAAAAAAAAGAAAATTATTGTTGGAAGAAAGCAGGGACTAAAATAACATTTGCATTTTCCGTGATCAATATGAAGTTATTTGAGTCCTTATGGTATCCAACTTCCTTAATTTTTGCTCCACCTCTCCAAACAACTCTTACAATTTTAAGGGAGTAAGGTTCCAACAGCAGAATACTGTTGTTTGATAACAGAGCAACAACATATTCCACCAAATATTTGCTTTCTGCTATACATGCTGAAATGATATTAGATTCAAACTGATTCGTGTTGCAAAACATTCCATTTGCAGTGAATGTCTCTGCCTGGTTACCAAAGAAAACAACTATATATCCAACATGGCTTGTCATTACAACAGAAGATGGAATTGAACCTGGTGGCATCCTCAAATCAACAGCTCTGATAAATGTCAATTCCGGAAGACTTGAAATGATCATTGTGTTGTCAGGAGAACATGTTATTGCTATTCCAAAAGCTTCAGAAAGGCAGCAACACGTGATTTCACTTCTATGAGCCATAATGAAGTTTAATTGTTCAATGTTATCTTTTCCATCGTATAACCATAATGTTGCCAAAGCATCTTCACCACCACTCAATATCATGTTCTTAGCAACACTTATACAGTTGATTTCTGACAAGTGAGGTGAAGTCTTTGACCGAATAACCGACCGTTTTATGACATTCAAAATTGTCACTTTTGCGGAATGATCCTGCGCGAAAGCGAATATGAAATCGTCATTTGTTTCTGATCTGAAATGAGCGATTTTCTTTGGATCAGCAGGTATTTTTGCGTGTTTCATCAATTGGACTTCGAAATTCGTTGCTGCAAGTCTTAAACAGAAAACTCTTCCGTTTCTCAATGCAGCGTAAATTTTCATTTTTTCGAAGACAGAACCACTGCAAATAACACAAGCAACGTCATCAGGAATATTATGCAATGCAACAGCTTTTCCATTGAACTGTTCCGTAACAATTGGATTTCTCTTCGGGTGAGGTGAAGTGAACAATTGTTGAGGAATTTGTCCGATTGTATTTAACATTGCAATTACAGCTTCAGCCATCATTTGTTCTTGGCCATTGTTTTCGGATGTTTTTGTCCAGATGTCAGGGTATATTTGTGGGTCAAATGTGTTCATTGCGTCTGCAGCTGATTGACCTTTTTGTTTGAATCCCCAGATCAAATCAATCCAACCATGAATCACTTGAGAAACTCTTTCACTTTCCAACAAATTTCTGTGTTTGTAAATGAAGTCTGCCGGTGAAGAACTCCATGTAGGAAGAACAACGTCACCGATATCATCAGTTTCATTGTATTTTCCTAATGGCAAATCATTGGAATTCAACAGGAAAGCTTCATTTTGGTAAAATTCCGGTGTAAATTCTCTGAAATACGGCATTTTTGACATCATTCTATTGATGTTATCTTGTAAAGAAATGAACAAACGAGGTCCTACATCGAAATGTCCATCCTGCATCATGATGTGCAATGTCGTGAACGGCTCCATTCTTATTAAATAATGATTAACAGTGTAAGCGTTCGAGAGATAACTGGAATGGCAGAAAGGAGTTGCACCATTATGTTGGAAAATTGCGAGTCTTTCTTTCATCCTTTGACTGGATGTCGGGTTGATGAACATGATGTTTTTAGTGAGATCTCTGTAGTCCTCGTCTTTATCTTCCATTTCTTGAGTGTCATTCTTCAAAGCGATGATTGGAAAGATCGGATAAACACGAGAATCCAAGAAACTTCTTCCAGAAAGAATGTTTAACCAAATTAAATAATCGAAATTAGATAATTGGCGTCGCATCCATTTATGTGTTAATCCGAGTCTTTCTATCTCGATGTTTGGAGGGTTTTCTTGGATAAACTCAGCATTAGCAAACCCGATTTGCAAGAGATTTGTCACAAACTTGTGATTTTCCACTTTTGGAAATCTGAACAAATAACAAGAATAAGAATTCGTGTATATCTGGATTGCATTTGGTTTCTGATTCACCCAGACCCAGAACAAATATTTAACTTGTTCACGTGGTATCAAAATCGATTTAGTTTGTGATTTAAACACTAAACCACTTTGAATTACATAAAAATCTCCTGGAAAAGTCTTAGTTATTTTGATTCTTTCGCAAGGACTTCTCCATAAAACATCAACTAATTCTATACTACTAGATTTGCTCTCATTAGTATCCTTGTCAAAAAAGAAATGGCTCGGCGGTTTGTTCTCATTCAATTCTTGTGTCAAAACCGTCGCTTTATTTATTGCATCGATATGATTTGTGAAGTGATTATTTACGACCAAAACACTTGGCATGAAATGTTTATCGAAGTGATTTCCTATCTTGAAATGGGGCATCATAATGAAAGATGATGACGAGATGAAAGGAGATCTATCGTGAGAAACAGTTTGCCAAAGTCGATGCCAAGCTCTTCTCAAATTTGCAGCCAATTCTTTTTCTTTTGCACGTTCTAATGATTGGATTTCAGCAATGGAATTCGCTGGATCGAATGGGAAATCAGGGAACTCAACAACTTGTTCGAAATAGATTTTCCGAGTATCGAAATTTTGTATTAAATATTGATAAAATTTTTCGAAAACTTCGACACTTTTTTGCATCAAATTTTCATCAACTTTTTCATCAACACCTAAATCTTTAGCATTTGCAACAACACTTAATATCAATGGCGCGGCGTATTCAGATTCTCTGATAATTTTATAATTTTCGTCAAACAAGAACTTCTTGTTTTTATTTATGTTTCTTTTCATGACGAAACTCATCAAACACATATAATCAATCATATTCAAACAATTTGTAGAGAAAGAAAGCCATCCTTGATGCAACAATTCCACGGCAAGATCTTCATCAACCCATTTTCCTTCTTCTGATATTGAATATCCGTAATTGAAGGAAACTCTGTCTCTTACTGTTGTCAATAACAAAATAAATGAATTTATATCAACAGTTTCGAAACTTCTCAATGGTTTTTTGTTGATTGTTGAATGATTGTGTCTAAAGAAGATCTTTTCAACAATGAAATGGAAGTACTCGAGTTTTTCTTCAACACTTTTTTCTTCCTTTGAAAAAGCGTTCTCAATTACGGCGGTTAATAAATCTGCCACAAAATTGTCAAAATTCATATTTGTCAATGATTCAATTACGGAAGAAATTGCGAAAACATCTTTAGTTATTGTGATTGATTTCGCGAGGAATCTTCCGAAGATCTTGACAGAGTTCTTATCATTGCAAAACATGAAATAGGCAGTGACAATTCCGATGCCGCTGATTCCCAAATTTTTGAATTTTTCAATGAATTTCGAACTCTCGAAACAGAGTAAACAAGATTGAATTGCAATCGCATTCCACATTCTGTTTCTGAACGCGAAACAAAGCATGAAAACGAATAGGTTCGTATTCCATTTATTTGGCTCTATCGCGTTATTGAACTCATTGAAATACTCTTCTTTTTTGCTGTCAGAAAATTTGTCAAATTTTGACATCATCAAAGAAAAAGCTGTTGTTATTAAATAGGTCGGAATTGACTTGATGATTAAGATTCTGACTTGCACAAGATCAACAAGTTCGAATACTTTCGCGACAATGAAACTCCACATGTCAGGTCTGACTTTCGCCATCGATTTCAGGAATTTTACCAACACGGAAACTTTTTGGAAATTTCCATTGAAATAAGAAACCATTTTTAACATTGTCAAAGTCTCTTTCTGACCGAATCTGATCTTCGCTGCCTTCTGGAAAAGTGTTTTAAGGATGGAGATGTTTGTTTCCGTGAATTCGTTCTCATCAACGATGTAAAGAAACAAATCACATAAGGAATTGATGTTAAACAACGAAAAGAACGTTTGTTCATTGGATTGGCATACTCTATGACAGCATAACATAAAGGATCCACACTCTTTTTTGGCAGATCTTCGCCAAATTTCGAGATTTAATAAAACATTCGTCTGAAATTGCTCAAGAAGTACTGGATTCTTGATATGCTGCTCTAATATGTAGATGTGCTGCCATAATTCGCTGTTTAAATACTCGTTTATTGTTGGTTGGGAAAGGAAATATGCAATAACTGCAAATGTATTCACTTGCTCCATCAAATCTTGTATTTGAGGGGCTCCTTGTATTATATCTGTGAATGATTGCAGTAATTGCATAAGAAAACCATTGTTTCTTGTACCTTGGTAAGTGTTAAAATCAATTTGGGAAAAAAGTGAAGTAAGGAAGTGGGTTCCTTTGGAAGTTTCGAAAATTCGACGGAAGGATGATATGAAGGAAAGGTTTATACATGTTGTCGTTGCGGATTCGAATGAATTCTGCAAGGCATTTGAAACATGATTTCCTTCAACGTAATGCGCTGAATATAACATCAATAAAGAGGGCTCATGGATGACAGTGGTGTATTCCGTGGTGTCTGAATGTATTACATTGAGCATTCTGTCGTCTAATGAACCTGAAAAAACAGAAACATGGGCAGCTTCACCAGTTAACTCATCACAGAAGATCTCCATGCTATCTACAGTCGATTTAATGATCGGTACTTGAGATTTGATCTGAACTGATGTATTATTATTAATATATAAAATTAATTCGTTCGTAGAGATCTGAAAAGTAAAGTTTGACCACTCATTTTGGTTGAAAGGAATATTTTTGCTAGCGATCACTGTAAAGTTCTTAATAATGGAGAGCGTAGTTGGAGATATGCTGAAAGTAACGGTTTCTCCTTCTGTTTTGAGGGTTATGAGTCTTTGTGTCTCCGTAAGATTACATAAAATCATGTAAATATTGATAACAAATGTAGAATAATTAATTTGATGAGGAATCATGAGAGATCCTGTTCCAGGAGTGAAAAGGAATGCATATAGTACTTGGTCTTGTGAAGATTTGATGGTTTCGTATAACGCTTCTAATAATTTTTCAGCATATCTTGATCTTTTGTTTGTTTCATTGGACAAAAGCCTTAAATACGAGAACATAATGGGTCTTGATGAATTCCATTTATTTATCTCCTTGAAAACTTCCAAAATAAGGTCTACATCCTCGATTTTGTCCCTTTTTTGAACAGATTCAATCAAAAACAAGGAAAATCCGAACTTGTTACAGTAATAACATTCAACAATGGAATTACAAACTAATTCCTTGACTCTCTGCATGAAATCAACGAAGTATTCCGTTGAAAATATTTTTCTAATAATATCAATGGAAATTTCACCACGAATTCCAATGAATTTGCTACTATTCGATATCATTCTTAGTAGAGATTCATACATATTGTCATTTAACGTGATATCTTCAATCATACTCGAAAAAGGAAGTTTTGAAAAATCTAATTTTCTCTGGAACGAAGCAATGAAGTCAATAAGCATCTGTGTAAGCTCCGGATCATTGAATTTGCCTACCTGCATCATTATGTCCTTAAATAGCTTCAAATGAATGAAACTCACCATTTGTGAATTATTTGAAAATTTTTCAAAGATTTTCATAATTTTTGAGGCAAGTTTTATATCATTCCTAAAGTTTTCTATCATAATGTTGATGAAAATTGAATCTATCGGTGTTTCTAAGAAATTTTCAAATAAAATGTAAATAATATCGGAACAAGTCTGGCAATCTATTGTATTCTTGAACAATGAGTCGATTAGTAATGGATTGATCATGATCTGCTCATAAATTTTCGGATTTGTCAAAAATGATTTAATTGTACTGAAAATTACAGGAAAGAAGTTGTCCTCGTACTTCCCAGCCTTTGTAAGCATGAACTGGCATATGCATTCTATCAGAATACTCGCGTGGACTTCTGTATTTATTAATTGGAAAATTTCTTTGCTAAAAGCTAAAATTTCCGCGAAAAGCCATGGATACGATGATGCAGAGGACAAAAACTCGAAGTAGGAGTTGATATATGAGAAATCTTGCTTGAGAAAATGATAAAAACAATCTAAAGTATATTTTCTAATGGAAATCATGTAGCTGACTTCCGAATCGTATAATGAATAACATGGATTGAATATTTTGGGGTTAAAGAACGTTTGGACCGGATTTTTAATTTGATATTTGAATTCGTTTGTTCCTGCGTTTAATAAAACGAGATTTAGTATTATATTGTATTTCTCTGCATCCATGGTTAGTTTTAAGAAGTGTGGCAATGCATTATCAATAATCGGATCATGAATATTTAATAAAGCGAAAAATAGGTCGGATAAACTTCCTTCTTGTGATCGGAATGCGGATTCTATCGGCGGAAGATCCGAAATCGAACGGTTTTCGTTGTATTTAAACTGTTTCTCGGTTGTTGGTGGGAAATTCAGATCGCAGCCTAATAATTGTGTTTTAATGTATTCATCGAGATGTTCTATAGCTATTTGATTCTCTTCATTAAACTGATAACATAAAATCATCAATAAATAATAGTAATATAAGACTCTACCATCTAATTTTAATATAATTTGGGATGTTAATGACTGTAAGTGCGCAGTTACCTCGCTACTTTTCTCCATTAAAGGATATAACTTCATAAATGAGTAAATGTGGAATTTAATTGATACTATGCTATCGATTACGGCATCCAATGATATTCTGGTAAGTGATTTAACAAGAAAAATCGATAGTTGTTCCGTATTTGGTAAAATATTTAAAATTGAATCAATCGATGATAATAACGAATAAAATTTCTTTGCTTTCAATACTTTCTTGCAATATATTTGAAATTCGCCACACGCGTACGTACTGATCGCATTATCTATCTGAATTGCGTAAGTTAATGATTGAACAAATACTTGTATTGAGTGTACTGGAACTGAATCGATATCTGAATATAAAAGAGCTAAAAATGATTGTAAAATAACTATTGAAGCAAATTGTTGATTTCTCTCTGAAGCATTGATTAACTGGCTCTGTTGTTGCAATTGTATGATTAATTCATACCTATCAGTTGTATTTAAAATGTATTTTTCGATAAGATCTTCTAGAGATGGAGATTTTCCCTTGGGAATTTTAATTTCGAATTTATTCAGTAGCTTCATTAGATCGGGAGGAAACGTTGGTTTTGGTGGTTGAGGCTTTAGTTGTAAAATATTATTAGCTAGCTCAAATAATTCCTTCATCCGATTTCTGAATGAATTTTTTCAATTTCTCTATCTTATGCTAAGTAATGATTTTATAGAAGTATTATTCATAAATAAATTATTGATCAGATTCTAAAGAAATCTTTTTTCAAATTAAAAAAATTCCCAAATGAACAATTAATCTCATGAAATAGAACACTCGTAAGTATGTGTAAGTATTTCATGTATTAAATCTTAAAATTAAATTTTTGAGCAAAAAAAAATCGGCAAATGCAAAAAAAATAAAGGGAATTAAAGTCCAGAAACACACGTATATGTTAGAATATATTGAATAATTTTTACTTCATCTGCATCATAGCAGTTCAAAATAATGCTCTCATATCTTCTTGCATTAACAAGAGAAGTAGGGATAGGAGAGTGCGCAGATCGTGTCCAAGGATCAACTGGAATGTATTTTTATTCACAAACTCTCGGTTGTTCAGTTAATATATGCGTAAATATATCAGTTTATGATTTTTATTTAATTATCAACGAATTGCCAGCAAATTCAGAGGTCATAGAATACAGATCATACATTGGTGACAAAAAATTGATGTATTCTAAAACTTATTATCCTCCAAATGTTCCGTTTTACATCCAATCTTCAATCCCATTTGCCTCTTATACAATACGACTTGGATCAGAAGGTTATTGCGAATTTATGTATGGTTCTTTGCCTAATATTTGCAAAACAGGTCTTATCTTAACTAGCGAAGTCAATAAAACAATACAATTGAGCTCCAGTGCTAGTGGTTACTATAAAATTCGAAGTTATGAAGATAAATGCATTTTATTTGTGTTGGCAAAGCAAATTAACGTTTCAATTAAATCAAATGCAGACAACATCGATAGGAGATTTTTGCTATATCAAAATTATGACAATCCTTTACCTGCACTACAGCCAAATATTGATTTCTCATTGGATTGCGTTTTCAGGCCTTTCCTTCTCCGCTTTTTATCAAAGGGCCAAAACTCATTCTTATCCATTAGTATAGCAGCAGATGTGGCATTATCAAATAACCTTAAAACAGAATATCGGGAACCAAACAATTTTACTAAATTATGTGATGAAAAAGAGTGTACTATTTGGGAATTTATGTCCCCAAATATTTTAACTCTCTCGATTTTATTTACAGTTTTATTTATTTTCCTTGCCAGCGTATTTGTCTATTTCATGATGATTTGTTGCTGTCCAAAGTTTATGGGCGATAAGAAATCTACTACAGGAAAGCCTGCTTCTAAGAAGAGTGCAATTCTTGAAACTAGATCAGAGCCAGAAGGCTACTTTGCTGTTGATTATTTAATTACAGCTGATGGTAGATCATCACCAGCCAAAGATGTATGAAATTCATATAATTTAATTAATAAATTTTTATTCTGTTTTTTGTTTCTTCAATAAACTAATTCTATCCTATCATGATTAAATTTAAATCCTTACTGAACAATTAGAATCATTCAAGAACAAATTGATAAAACAAATAACATAAAGACCCTTTTTAAAAAGTTACCTAATTAATCAAGATTCTGATTCAATTAAAACTATCAATATCATTCATTTCGAACGGAAAGATCCAAAAGTGACAAATGCCAATAGAAGAGTATTATCGTGAGCAAAAAGCAATTGCAAAGTTTGCTAAATGGACAATTGTCTCAAACAATCAAAATTTGGACTCATTTCCGAAACTTAAACAAGAAATGGCTCGAAAAGTGGCTAAATATCAAATACATAAAAGAACATTCAATATTCAACAAAAATATACCGATTGTTGCCAAAAATACCAAGGTGTCATTGTAAATTTTTTCGGGGTTGAAAACATTAATAATGCAAAACAAATTATTGATGAAATTGGAACCCAAAATATATATTATCTTTCTCACAAAATCGCAAAACTCATTAAATTAATTGCCACGTGCATGAAATCAAGTGTATACATGATTTCAAACGCCAAAAAATATAACCAAAAATTAGACTTTAAATTTTTATACAAAATTAGCCAACCCGATAAGAATTCGTTCACGTTCAGAAAAACGAAATACATAAATATGAGAAACAATATACATAAAATTATCGAAGATCTGAAGGATATACTGGGTGCCGAATTATATCAAAAATATACTAATTGCGTAGATAACATTGATAGGGGATCTATTTATAAGTATTAAATCAATTTGCAAAGTTTTACTTTATCTTTTTACATTCTATGATTGCTTTGCGATTTATAGAAGCCACTATATATATATATATATTACTTGTATTAAAAATATTTGTTTCGACATCAATTATTTTTGATTCCTAAACCATTATTATGTAATATATCTTCATTGATCAAAGACCAATATATACTTAACATTTTGTAAACTCTTTCAAAATGCTGAGATCCTTAGCACTGTAGTGAAAAACTATAACAAATATCAAATGAATGATTGAAATTTTCTATACCTATTTACTAATGTGAATGATAACTTGACAAATAAGAAAGTATAAATATTGAAATAAGATTTACTGTGGTTCATAGATTTGATAATTGATATCGAGACAGTTAATAATAACAGGTATTCATTAAGGCATTTCACAAAAGACCATATTGCAAAATGATTGCATAGAGAAACCCTTCTGGCAACATATTCAAATAAAAAGAAAGTGGAAAATTTATCCATTTTTGGATGAGTGAAGAATCGTTCGAATACGACCTACTAAACTCAAGCTACTTCAAAAAAAATATGGAACTGAAAGAGGCCCAAAAAGAGTCAGATAAAATCACCACTAGTTCAATAAAAGAAGAGTTAAAACACTATAATGAGCAAATTAACAAACTAATACAAAGTCAAAAGGATGTGAAATCTAAGTCCAGGAAATAACATCGATGTCACATATTGATTTTCATGTTAGAGTTATATATAATATTAGTAATCTTTTAAGATTGTAATTATTTTCAAAATACGTGCGATAATGTTTTACTTATCATGTTTGTTACCTAAAGGCTCAATTGTAATTCCTTTCTTTTTCTATAAAAAAATATTTTTAATACAAATTCAATTTATTTTAAAATGTTTACAAGTTTTAATTATTTATAAATCAAAATAAAATCAGCCACGCCTGAATACAGAGTGAATAAAAAAAATCCATTTGATATCTGGCTGTTGATTATATTTGATCTGAAAAGGTACTGAATTGTAGCAATTCGGCTATTTTTGATATTCAATTGGAGTATTTAATAAGAGAACTTTTTGAAATAAGTATTTCGTCATTAAAATTGTTATTAAAGCTTCGTAATATATAGCGATGGTTATATACTATACGCATTTATCGTAATTCAAACGGATTCTTGTTGCATTTGTTGAAGTATTAAGTCAATTTCTTCTAAAACTTTGATATATTCCTCTTGGAGTCTTAAATCCTCTTGATTTAGTTTCTTTAGTTCCTCACTTAACTTTGATTTTTCTGCAAGAAGATCTTCTCGATTTATCTGGCGTTTCTCCATCGAAACGACAGATAAAAATAATGAAAATTGCGACCAAGAAGATTTGCATTGTATTACAATTTCCTAATTAAAAATATTATACTATGTAATTTTGTAAAACAAAGAAGTTAAAAAATATATGAAAATTTTTATACAATTGGAAAAAGAAGTAAAGATGATGATGTGGCATTCAATACCAATTTACTTAGTTTCACTATGTAAATGGCTGGATTCTGGAACGCAATCATCGAAATATTTAAATTTACAAAGAAAATGTATCCAGCACCAGAAAAATGCCTATTTGATGGATTGTGATAACTTTGTCACTTTCTTAGTACTCTTTCGATCGAAATATTTTTGAAAAATTACATATTTCTTTGTTTGTGTAATATCTCGTAAGAATAAGCTATTGAAAATGAAGCGATAATTGAATGTGTAGAGAATCAAAGTATTGTAAATAAAAAGGAAGTAATTTTGGAAGTGGCAATAAATATAATAGTGCCTTGTACAGTGTTTCATAGCAAAACATCTTAAGAATTATATATTTCATTCTTAGGATGTATTAATTATTTATAATATGAGACCCTTACATCAATGGCTGCTTGATGATTACTCATTGAAAAATATTGGAATCTCAAAAAAAATTTCAAAAATCAAAAAATGATAATAAAAATCGAAATTTTGTTATATCTAATTCTAGAAATGAAAAAAATTTGGAAAATTTAACCCATTTTATTTTGATTTAGCTCTTGATGCTTTATCTATATTTCACATTAGAAATTATTCAATTTCAAATTATAATTTCGATTTTCAGTAATTTCTAAAAAGACACCAGCAATTATTTTCCTCTCATTGTGCCAATTTCATGTTACTCCAAAGCTTCCTCTTAAATCCTAATTGAATTTATATTCGCAAGTCAAAAATAATATTGGAAACATTAACGAGCATGAATGATTAAAGAACTTCCAAATTTACACATCAGAGTGATCATAATTGTAAATTTAACGAGTCCCAAAATATCAATGCGAATAGTGGAACAATAAAGCTTCGTGGAATAATTTAGACGCAAAATCAAAGTTTTACCTCACTTTTTTACAAATATCATTTCAAAAATTTGTTAGCATTTCGTCTTTTTACATATAGTATAGATCTTATCAATTCACTGTAAGGGTTTCGTTTTGCGAAAAAAACGTACAATACGCAATTTCGCTAAAAAAACATTTAGCTAGCAATTTCGACATTTGACTCCACTCAAGACGTCACTTTTTTAATTTTGCGGTATCATATTTTTGGAAAATCTTTATGAATATTATATAAAAAGTCTCTTTAATATCTATATTTCATATTTTTATCGATTTTTAAAGTTTTTGCGAAAAGTATTCAATTATTTTTGCTATTTGGTCGGGTAAATGTCAGATTTGCGACATTTTCTGATATGATATTCAGATTCTACGTTGATAATAATGCATATAGAACCTCTTGCTATTGTGTCAAAATTGCGAAACCGATAGCAAAAATATCTCGCAATATCAAAATTGAGATATTGAGTGAATTATGCATTATAGAGATTAAAAATCTGATTTGTGAAACATCTCATCAGTTTCTAGCTAATTCAAAAATCTTTACTATCTTATTCGATTAAAATGAAAAGGGAATAGTTTCATTATGCTTTAAATGACAGCCTTATAATATAATCATAGTTTTCGCTCAATATGCAGCATTTTTTTTTCGAAATCTATGGTCAATATCCTAAATACTGATTGCTTTGCATTCATATCTCTTACATTTTCTATACCCACATCACTATTCATTGCTATTCCTATCTTTTTCATTTTTGTTTGTTTCTCATAATTTCTCAAAAAACATGATAACTTGATATTTGTAAATATCATACTTTATAACGTAAATAAGAACTTGACCTATTAAGAAAAGCAGTAATGAAAAGAAAATCTGAAATTCATAAAAATTACAAGTTTCTGATGACAATTAGCTTAATTAAACCAGGTACAAGATTATATAATTGTATTTTCTATCCAATTATCCATATAATATCTTATCCAGAAAAAAAAACTTGATCAATACCAAATGATTTTTTAACTAGTAAATAAAGTATTTTCTTTACACACACATTGTATATCATAGTTTTTTTTTTTGGTTTCGCAAAACATCCAAAAACAAATATGCTATAAAAGTGACAATTTTAGCAAAACGAAACCCTTATTCACTGCGATGAAAGAAAGTAAATTCCGCATTAGAAATTCCCGGCAAAATTACAATCCCGAGGAAAAGTGAAATTTATTCAAATCCTAATTCAAAATAAAGAAATGTCTGAAGGTCGATTTGAAGAGACAGAAATCCTCCTCAAACATTCCGAGTTTGTCCTTGCCAGCCTAGAGTTTGCGGCTCACCAGTTCCGCGAAGATGGCGAGATTATGAAGATGCTAAGTTCATCAGATGGTAGCAAAATCAGGTCTTTCGCCAAAAATTTCGTGAAAGCCAAAAAGAAAGGCGATTCACTTCCAACTCTCAACCAAAGCCTTTACCAAACACGTGAAAAAATCGCTATGCAAATGATTATGCCAATCAGAACTATCGACTATACAGTTTACTGGTGCCAGCTTTCAGTTGCACAATTAAAGGTTATGACAGAAACCAGTAGAGAATTCGATTTCCGTTGGAACTTACCAATTACTTTATCATCTCTTAAGCTTTTCGGAGCCTTCTGCAGAATCGTTCTCTATCTTCACCATATCACTGCAGCTAAATTCTTAGTCCAGCTCTTCTCCTCATCGTCTCTCCCAACAACTCTTCCACTACAATGCCAATTTGATGATCTTCTTGATTTCGTTTCGAAATGCCAAGATGAGCCATTCGCATTCATTGCATCCCAACTCGACTTCATTAAGGAGAAAATGTCTCTCATGGTTGTCAACTTATTGCCATTCTTCTCCACATTGATGGGTGACTGGACAGTTTTCGATTGGTCCATGCTTTCTATCTATGAGAGATCCCCAGAGTCCACAATTGGAGATTCAATGCCTATCAATGAATACACATATCTTGCAAATATCAGTTTCCTCCAGGAAGTTCTCACATTGTTCACTCTTACCTTCACATCCTTCATGGATGAAAACCAGCAGTTCATTGCCCTTGGCCATGCCATCCTTTCTGAAACCGGAACATTTTATCTTTCCAGAAACTTCCCAGTATCAATTGAGGAATTGATCAAAGTTTCCATCCCATCCAAGTCTCTTACAGGCCTTAAGAGCAACCTCCAGAACTCAATCAATCGTAAGAACAAAGAAGTTCATCTCTACAGAATGAAACAGCTTCTTCTTCTTGCCAGCGATGTTGTAAACTTCTCAGAACTCAATTTCAACTCATTCCTTCGTTCAATCCATATCGTAAGAGCTATTGCTGCATTCGCATATTACGAAATCGATCTTTTCTTCCGTACAAGCGACAAATTCGCCAAGAGCCCTGATCACATCAAGACAGTTTCCCACCTTCTCCACTACATTGTAGAGCTCGCTTACTTATTTATCAAGCGCAAACCAGATGTTGAACGTTTCTTCCTCTACAACCTCGCAACTGTCGACGCCGACCATCTTTCATACATTCTCAACAAGTTCGGTACAGATCTCGGCACTGCTGGTGCAGATGTTGTTGCAACAGGCAGATTAATCTTGGAATCACTGGAAGACCTCGATTTAGCCAAATTCGACAATGGAATAAGATACGATTTCTACCCATTACAGCTTACTCACGGCAGAGCTTTGCATCGTCATAACGTCACATCTCAGCGATTAAGAGTTTCCTTCCTTACTCCTCTCTGCGAACACCTTATGACCATCTCCATGCACGCATCCGCCTGCCAGGATCCCGTCAACTGGTTCCTAGAGTGTTGCCAGTTACATACAATGTGGCGCCACCTCAACAAGTTCGACGCTTTCATCTCCAATCCATCCGCTCCAATCGTCGAATGCACATGCTTCGTTCATATCTTCGAGTTATTCAACTACGACAAAATTGTCATGTCAATGCACATGAACGAAGGCGCTACAGCTCAATCCATCCTCGAAAACCAGATCAGACAGAGCTTCATCAAGAGAATGTTCTCTCTAATGTCCAACCTTTTGAGCTCAAATTCAAGAATTATGCAATTTTCTCTCGACGGACCAATCGGACAAGTCATTCCTGAACAGAACTTGACACGCGACCTCAGAAGCAAGGAATACTGCAACAGAGAAGCAGAAGAAATCAACTCAATCGCAAATGCAAACAAACTCATTGAAAAACTTCCACAGACATGCAACGTTCTCGGAAAAGTCATCGACATCTCTCCTTACATCGTTCGTCGCTTAACTTCCGACATTCTCCGCATCGTTTTACTTAATATGACTACAAACGGTTCTGCCATCATCAACAGTGCTCCTCTTGTCTGGACATTCTTCAGCCACGCGAGAGCCCTCAACGTTGACCAGTTTGAAGATGAAGAACTCGTTTTCCGCCGCGGATTATTCGAATACAGTCTGAAAAGTGCCATGTTTGCAGGATCATCTATTTCTGCACAAGCACAAGCCTTCATTGGCCGCGGATCATTAGAGCCACGCGATATTACTGATCCATCCCGTTTCATTGTTTTTATTTCCTCCCAAATGATCAAGTTCGTTGACACAGAATACGATTCCCATTTGTACAACCACTTTGCAGAGTCATTCAGTTCGTGCAACCACAACATCTCATATTACAGGAACATCTTCAGAGTTCTTGGTATCCATCCCGCCCTTTATCTCGACGCAACACTGACAAACGGCATTGTAGAGAACTTCTACATCGTTCACCAAGCGTTTGAGTTCATCAGGCAGAACCTCAAAAAACCAAATGATGTTTTCAAGCACGAGATGGCTAAACCAGCCTCGAAAGCTCTTCTTTCTCTTTCAGTCGGATTGGCATTGAGGAACATCATCAGACGCGCGATTTCTTTGGTCAATGAAGAGGCAATTCCAGGTATTTCCGACATCATCGCAACAACAGAGTTGGATGACAGACCAGAATGCAATTTGTTGAAGGAAGTCTTCTCACAGGAAGACACTACATGGTTCATAAAGACGAGGTTGCTCTCAAGAATCAAAGTCCACAACGACGGACTCAAAGATTTCTTCACTTTCATCGCAACACTCATCGCTGGTCCATTCTTCGACGACATTGAGTTTGATCCAGAAAACAATACTCTTTCTCACAACGTCCACCTCATCCCGTACGCATTCCAGCTCATCATCGAACTCGCTCCTTCTTTGTTCACAGAGGCATCTTACAACAAGTTGCAGGGTGCAATCGAACTCTTCTTCACGAAGATTTCGCAGATCGTTGAGTCAAGAATGAAGAAGTTGAAGGCCCAGAACTTGAAGGCAAGATACATCTTGATGGACCAGTTCCCCAAGCTATGCTCGAAGTTAGAGTACGGAAGAATGAAGCACGTGTTCCCTTACGCTCTCCTTACTCACAGCTACCCAGAAACTCAGTAGTTTTTTTTTATATCTCTAAAAAAGATTTTACTTTTCTTATTTTATCGGAAAAAAAATTAATTTTTATTTTGAATTTGTGGACAATGCTCTCATAATTTTAATATAGTACAACAGCTATATGAGGTACTAGGTTGTAGTTGTTAATAACTTTTTTCCCGACCAAAAATATTAACTTTTTATCATAGAAACTTGAGATATAAATCTTGTGTGTCAAAAACTTTTGAGAGAATATCAGAAAGCGAAAAGTACGCATTTAAAATGATCTCTACATGATTTATTATTACATTTATTTGAAGAGAATCTTCTTATACATGCATGTATTTCTATTATCAGCAAATAGTATTTAAAAAAGGCTCTTTAGCTTGTAGTATTTATATGAAAAATTGTTAAAAAATTAATAAGTATTTATGATTGAATCAAGATATGTAATAAAATTCGGGTCTTTGAATATTTCAGGAGGTAATGAAGGGCATTCGATCTTGATCTCTGAAATGGAAGTAACATTTTCTTTTTCAAGTTTCAATTTCTTGCATATCTGGGAGCTGAGATCAGCCAAAATTGTTGAACAATCACGTGTTTTAGTTTTACTTTTCATTGAAAAGAAATTTGATAAAAACACTTTTTTGGGGTTGGGAGAAATGTTTTGTGCTTGAACATGAAGATAGTTTGCTAGTAAGCATAGTAAAGGCTCTATGCCCACTTCATATTCTGTGTTTGAAGTATTATTGTTTACGTAATCAAAACATAATTGCAAGTACTTCATCTCATATAAAAAATAAATGGAAATCTCTGTTTGATTCAGTTTGGAAAGATAATCAGAGTTTGAAACAACTTTAATATACATTTCTAATTGATTTGCAATGATATCTTCACATATTTCACTTGGAAACAATTCCAAAAGGTCAGAAAATGTTTCATAGAGTTCTTTTGCAGATATTATTTGAAGCTCGGAAGCCTCAAGTCTAAATACAAGTCTTTCCTTAAGAGTGGCTAATGTAGATTTCATATGATTTTTTGTTATCATATGAATATTGTCATCATTTTTGATCAATTTTTGAAATATTTTGCATAACTTAATGAGAATACTTGGCTGAGAAATTTTTATCAAATACTGATTAAATATTTGAAATATCCATTCAATAATCTTCATTATGGACTGATTGTATAAATTTTCATCAACATTGAAGAATCTTCTGAATAATTCATACTCTTTGTTGCATAATTCTAAAATTCGGTAACATGCTTGATCATTATTTCCTAAATCATCAAGAATTTGCTTTAATAATGGTTCAAGTAATCTGATTCTTGTGTTCGAGTAAATATTTAAGAAAGAACTAAAGGAAACAGACTTCTCACATAACTTGTAGAGATTTCGGATACTCTCTGTTTGAGAAATAAATTGATTGTAAATAACAACAATAATTTCATCATAAGTTGCATTATTTGATGTTGTGATCTTCTCGAATTCTGAATTAATGTATCTTTTCGCCGAGCTTTCTAGCTTGTTCAGTAAAGATTGAGCTTTGATTTCGTAATTTTTCGAATCCTTGAAATTTTCATTAAACTTAAAGAATTTCATGCAATATTCTATATTCTCAAATGACGCGCCAAGGTCTATATTAACGCCATGCATGAAATCGAGCATTAATTTCTCAATCGAATCAAAGTATGGTAAAAATAGATCAATTGACTGTACAAACGTGTTAATATAATGTATTTGGCTAGAGTATGATTCACTTCCTCCAAGAATTAATTCTGCATAGGAAGAAATGTCGCTTCTCTTTTTTTCAGCAAGAGTTAATTGCTCTACACAGTTTTGTATGTTATTTGCAACAAAATTTGCTTTTTGAATTTGGCGTTCTAAAGGTGTTAGTTCAATTGGTGGTGATTGAGTAGAATCTTCCTTTTCAAGAATTTTTTCGAAGCTGTTTGAAGTTCCAGATTGCCCATCTGAACCATAACTTAGAGGATCACTTCGAATGGTTTCTACAGCTATACGCCATTCAAGTGGAAGATCAACATCCATCAAAATTTTTAAGGGTTTCATTCCAACGATATAGGATATTCATTTTTTAAATAGTTTACAATATTTAATCGTTATCATCTTTTTTTGAAAATTTACTTTTTGAACACTTCTGCTTAATATTATATATTGTAGACAAAATAAATATCTTATATAATAGAATTGCTATTATTCTGCAAACTTTCATATCAAAATTTTGTAAATTCAGAAGTAAAAAAAAATCAGTAAGTTTCTACAAACAAATATAACATACACTTTATAATAAATTTTGTTCTATTAGAATTCTCCGGGACAAAACTTGCTTTTCATTGATTCAGGAATATCATTGAAATAAGGATGATGCAAAGCTTCTCTAGCTGTGAGTCTCTTACAAGGATCAATGTTAATAAGCTTTGATATCAAGTCAATCAATGATAGATCATTAACTTTAATGACATCTGATAAATCTTTCGGAGGATAAGTAGGGATTATAACTAATTCATCCTTGACATCTTTGAAGAATTTGCACATTTCTTCGTTTGGTGTGCCAAGAACACTAAAAATTCTATGAATTTGATCAAGAATTGAATCTCCAGGGAATAATGGCGTTTTTGTAGCAATTTCAGCAATAACACAGCCAACACTCCATATGTCAGCTGATATTTCGTAGATAGGATTATGTAAAAGGATTTCTGGTGGACGATACCAAAGAGTAACGATATTTTCGGTATATTGCTGAATTGGAATAGTAAAGAACCTAGAAAGTCCAAAATCGCATATTTTTAAATATCCATCGTGGTTGATTAATAGGTTATCTGGTTTAATATCTCTATGTATAACTCTATGAGTGTGAAGATAGTAAGTTCCTGCAAGAAGTTGAAATGCATAGGATTTTACAAGTTTTGGGTCCATTTTTACAGGCTTCTTCATATAATCTCTTATGTTCATATCAAGATATTCAAGAACAATTGTAAGCTGAGTTCCTTGAACATATGTATCAACCAAAGAAACTATATTCGGATGATTCATTTTCTTTAGTATAGATATTTCGCGCATTGTTGTTGAAGAAACTCCTTCTTCCTCTTGATCAAGAATCATTTCCTTAATAGCAACTATTTTACCTGTGGTTTTATCTTTAGCTTTGAATACCATACCATATGTTCCTGCTCCAAGTTTCTCTTGTTTTATATATCTTAATCTTGGATCCATATTCGAAAAAAGTGCTCGTTTATAATTTCAAAAATCAGCATCTCACTGTTATCATTATCAAAGAAAGAATCATTCCTCATATCCACCAGACAACCTCGAGTGCGACAACACTATTCTACTATATCATCCTTTTTTTTTTCATATTTAGATAATTTAAAAAATAATGATCACTATATGTATTGTATGACATTGCGTTGTGATCCTAGAGGCCTAAAAAATCCAATAAAAAGACCCTTTTCCATTTATGAGCATAATAAATTCATACATATAACAAGTGACCTTTGAGCTATATGATGTGTGTGTTTTGTTATATAAAAAGATATATAAGATATATGATGAAAAAACTTTTTTGATAAATATAGTTATTTTAGTGTGTAAAATATGGTATGATATGTAGCTTTATAATAATAAAAGAAATTCTATTAATAATTTTTGTTTTTGAGTGTTTTTCTTAAAAAAGGGTGGGGGATTCGAAAAAAGTGATACCGCCGAAGGCGGTATCACTTTTTTCTCATCTTATGCTAACGTGTGCGTATTCGGAAAAAGTATCACCGCCGAAGGCGGTGATACTTTTTCCCCGTGTTTTACACACTTTACGAAAATAGTTTTTTATCTTAAAATTTAAATACATATATATAAATAAATGTATGATTTCGTTTTATATTTTCTTTCAAAATATTTTATATCATTCAAATTTTTTTAATGATTTTGATAGTGAATTGAAAATTATTATATCTAATGTATAGTGTTTATTAAAATTATTAAGAAATTTAATTTTATTCGTTAAAAGTTGTGTCAAATTTTCAAAATCACACAATGGCAGGGAAAATTCAGTGACACAACTGTCAAAAATGACCATAAATACCTTAAAATCTATAATGGGATGGGGATGTAGTTTCACAACGTTCTCAAATTATTCAAAATTATCGATTTTTTATGTTTTTATTTTTTTGTTACGAATTAAAAATAAACTCGAGTGTCATAACACTATTCTACTATAGCTAATCGTTTTTTACTACTTTTTTTAGATCATCCTTTTTTTTTCATATTTGGGTAATATAAAAAATAATGAATACTATATGTATTGAATGATATTGCGTTGTGATCATGAAAGCCTAGAAAATCCGATAAAAAGACCCTTTTCCATTTATGGGTATAATAAATTCATATATATATAATAAGAGTTATTTTTATAGAACAGCATTCATGAAAAACAAGTATATATTAATATAATTCCGATAAAATACCAACAGGATTCTTAATTTCTTATGATTATTTGGAATCACTACCTTTTTGGTGCGAAATGCATGATTGTATGTTGAACCCTCCACAAGCTATAAGAATTATGACAATAGAAACGATAATAACGAATAAGGCAATTAAAATTGTGATCTTATGACGTTGCCAGCAAATTTTAATTCGGAGATGTGTAAGTGACTCATCGTAATGCTCTTGATTGAAAGTGATTGTCAAATCTGGTGTTGCATCTGATCCCAATAAAGGTTCTTCTCTAGATTCTTCTAAAGTAACAACAGGATCAGGATCGATTGTAGGTAGCTTATGTTCATCAAGAATAATCTCAGGTATATCATTTTGTTTGTCCTCGGTATCTTCAATTCGATCTTTGTTGTATTTTTCGATCAAATCTTTAATCTGGCCATCGAACTTATCAGGAATTGAATCTTCTTTTGATACATTTTCTTCAATGGCAGAAAATGAATTCCATAATTTCTTTAGATCACTAAGGAAAGCTCCGCAGCTCGCAGTATCTACTGATTTATCAGTCATGACAATGTAATTAGCAGTTTTATCAGAACGGATTGTATATAATCTGGACTGCTTTTCGATCACTGAAATTGGAAAAGATTTTTCGAGAGTATTAAGAAGCGAATTTATGTCATTATCAACAAGAAAATCACCTCGTGGATGTTGGGTAAGAACTTTTGTTTCGTGGGAAACAGCGCCATACCGAAAAAGTCCCTTTTTATCCATCTGAACAATTTTGCTTACAAATTTTGAAATTAGGTAGTAGAATTATTATGGGTCAAATGAAAATCTGAAAAATGTACTGCCTGCGTAGCATAGTGGTTATTGCGTGCGCCTTGTAAGCGCAAGGTCGCCGGTTCAACTCCGGTCGTAGGCAAAAATTTTTGCTTTTTTAGATTAAGCAAAGCAAAATTCTAAAGGAGAGTCGTTGGAACCAAACTTTTTGTATATTAAAATTAGATTGTAGTCTTTGTATTAAATTAAGAATAGAATTTTCTTTGAGATTTGAAAGAATATATAAAAAAATTGTGAAATTAAATTAGATATAACTAACATTTTATTCATTATAACAGTGATCCTTTAGTATCCTTTATATTTCTCTTCTTAATGATCTCTATATAGCGCTTTATACTTTCTATATTTCCTAAAAATTGAGCATTCAAGTGATCAACATCTATTTTACGAAGATGTTCATTGTTTCTTCTAATTTTATCTTGTAAATCTTTTAATCCTTCCATTTGACGGGCAACTTCGTTTGATAATTGAGAAGCTTGAAAATTTTCTATTTGTTTAAGTTTTTCTCCTAGTTTTTCAGCCATTTCTTTGAGATGATCATGTTCTATTTCGTACTGTGGTTTATTTAATTCGAGTTCTTTAATTTCGTTACAAAGGTAAAGCATTCTTGCATTAATTTCATTTTCACGCTCTTTAAGCTTATTTCCACGTTCTAACGTTTCGTTATATTTAGCCATTACTGATTCATAAAGTCTCTTTTCATCAAGACTCATAATTAGGTCTTGTAAACCACAGAAAATTTGTCTCTTTATAAAATCCATACATTAGATTGGTTTTAATATCCTGATTGACTTTAATTCTAGAATGCATCTCCAAAATCCTCTAAAACCCTGAAAATTATCAAATTTGATTCAGTATGCTAATAGGAAGCTACAGTTTGAACTCATAAGCAAAATCATTTAATTTTAAATGATTTTTGACATCATATGAGGGTAATTATCATTCAAACTCATAGAAAACTTATTGTTTGGTTATTATATTACATTGAGAATTGGAATTCATCAAATATGGCTTTCCGCAAAGCCATAAACCTCAGAGAGTTTGAATGAACTCATATCATATAATCAATTCAAATATTTTTTGCCGAAGGTGGCATGCTTGCCCGAAGGGCAAGCATAGCCACCTGAGGCTCGAAATTATATTATATCAAAATTGATTTTTTAGAATAAAGAAATGTTGTAAGTTTGTGGCTTCACACTCTAGCAAAATTTACACTTTTCCGACGTTTTGTCAGGGGCGCGAAGCGACCCAAAAATGTCGGAAAAGTGTAATTCTCAGGTATATGATTATTTTTGCTTTTAATGCCGAACAGCATTTGAATCAAAAATAATCGTATGTCTGAGAATTGATTTTTTAGCATAAAGAAAAAATGTGCCAAATTGTTTAATTGGTTATTCATACTTTTTGCGGTTTTTCCAAATCCATGGAATTTATAAATAAGTTGTCAGATTTATAAATACAGCGGTACTTACGAATAACCCTATTTAAAAATTTTCCACAGATAAAAATTTTCCATCAATGTTAACATTCATGGAAAAATTGAAATGTTTCCATATAAAAAATTATTAATGTCGGACCAAGACACTCACTCAAATAAATACAGTGAATTGAAATGTGTCTTTATATAAAAAATTCTAAATATGGTTATAAAAATTTTGTTGGGAATTTTTTAAATTTTTTTCATGTCAGATAAAGACATTCACTCAAGTAAATACAGTGAATTGAGAAGTATATATAAATGCTACATCGATTCATATAATGTATTTTATAGGCTGAAAACTGAAAATGAAGAAGAAATAAACAAGATTTACAAATTGATCAAAACAGAACTGATTGATTCAAAGAAACATCTTCCTTATACTATTATAAGTGACATTTTATGTATCATTCCGTATAATAATCGCTATACAAAGGCTTATTTATCTCTCGCCAAACTCATATATGATAATTATAAAGTAAACGAGGAAATTAGAGTTCCATTAACTGTCGGATACTTATTTTATAAAGAATATGGAATTAAACTAAACAAATCTGATGATTTCGAAAAAATTAAATCAGAAAATCTCCAAATTCATATAGAAAATACAATTTACAGGGCAATTATGTATAATAACTTAGAAACATTCATTTCATTCACAGAAAAAGAAGGATTTGATAAAGATCAAAGACTTGAGAGCGAATTATATCCATATTATAAGAAAGGATATTCATTACTTGAATTATGTTGTTACCACGGTGCAGTTGATTGCTTCAAGTTATTAAGAACGAAATTCAGCTCAGAAATAACTCAAAAATGTATACATCTTTCATTTCTAGGTGGAAATCAGGAGATCATGTGCGAATGTTTAAAATATCAAATCCCAATTGAAAGATGCATGAAATATGCAATTATTTCACACAACATTGATTTTGTTACATTCTTGATGAACGAATACGATATAGAGATAGATTTAGATTATTGCGGAATGTTTAATAATCTTGAATCATTTTTAGTTTATTTCGATCAAACCAATGATTTTAACAAATGCTTTATTAATTAAGCGTCGTTCAATATTCCATCCTTACTCGAATACTTCCTTTCACATGATATAAACGTCAATGAAAAAAATAAATATAGACAAACCGCTCTTCATTATGCAGCAGAAAATAATAGAATAGAAACAGCCGAAGTTCTTATTTCAAATGGTATAAATATCAATGAAAAAAATAAAAATGGACAAACAGCTCTTCAAATTGCAGCATATTATAATAGTAAAGAAACAGCCGAAGTTCTTATTTCAAATGGTGCATATATCAATGAAAAAGATGAAGATGGCAAAACCGCTCTTCATTATGCAGCAGAAAATAATAGAATAGAAACAGCCGAAGTTCTTATTTCAAATGGTATAAATATCAATGAAAAAAATAAAAATGGACAAACAGCTCTTCAAATTGCAGCATATTATAATAGTAAAGAAACAGCCGAAGTTCTTATTTCAAATGGTGCATATATCAATGAAAAAGATGAAGATGGCAAAACCGCTCTTCATTATGCAGCAGAAAATAATAGAATAGAAACCAGAAAGTCTTATTTCAAATGGTGATAAAATATCAATGAAAAAAATAAAAATGGACAAACAGCTCTTCAAATTGCAGCATATTATAATAGTAAAGAAACAGCCGAAGTTCTTATTTCAAATGGTGCATATATCAATGAAAAAGATGAAGATGGCAAAACCGCTCTTCATTATGCAGCAGAAAATAATAGAATAGAAACAGCCGAAGTTCTTAGATCATATGCTGCAAATATCAATGAAAAAGATGAAAATGGTAAAACCTCTCTTCATTATGCAGCAGAAAATAATAGAATAGAAACAGCCGAAGTTCTTAGATCATTTGGTGCAAAATATTAGTGTTTCTATATATTATTTTTATTGTTTAATGATAATCTTGTCATAGACAACTGATCAAGTTATAATAAGTCATAATTTTGAATTACATATCTATTTTATAAATAAAAATCATATTTTGTACATTATTGAGAGCTTTACAAAATTTGCGAAGCAAATTTTGTAAAGCTCTCAATAATGAACAAAATATCCAAATTATGGACAAAATTGAAAACCGTTTCACTCATTCAATTTTGTCCATAATTTGTTATATTACTAAACTTTTTAAAATTTTTGACATGACGACCATCATTTGAATTGACACCGATAGCTTTTTCATTAGTCATTAAAAATTTTTGGTTATAATGACATTCCATTTTGATCTTTCGGACTTTCATGATTCCAATTGGAAGAGCCCAAGAGAATTCCTAAAGACCAATATGACACGTTTCCACTCTTTAAAGGATTTCGCAGTAGCTTTGGCTAATTATTGCGAAGAGTTGAAAAATCGTCTTACAGGAATTATTCATGATAATTATACAGAGTTTGTAACAATTTCAAAGCAATTAATCGAATTTGGTGACACCACATCAGTTTTAATTTCTTCATTTTCAAATTCTCATAGTATAATTGAGAATGCAATGAAAAATATTCAACAAACATCTCAATTAAATATTCAAAAAGCACAAGAATTGCATCAAATAAGAAAAGAAGAGGCGATTTTAAATCTTGCTTTAGATATTGTTAATTTACTCCAAAAAATTGAGTTGTGGCTTAATAGATAATCTAATGTAGAATCACTTCTTGATGCATCTATTGGGCTTTCAATTATCAAAGCAAGTTTTCCTGCAATTAATCAGCCTGCACTTATCAATCGCATAAAACATCAGTATAATAAGATACTTAACAAATTTTATGATAAACTTTCACAGAAATTTGTTGAATTTGTTTCATCTCGCAATAAATCTTCACTGTCAATTGTTTTGCATGCCACAGTGCTATCAAATCAGTACCAACTCGTATACAACACATTCTCTGAAGAATTTGTTAAGAATGAAATTAATCAAATTAAATCAAATAACAAATCAGATATTATGTCATCATTAGTTGATATGTTAACTAATAAAGATGGTGTAATCAACTTTATCTATGAAAATTCTTTGAATCATTTTGATTTCATATTAAATTCTGTTTGGCCAATTGTTTCCGAGTATATTGTATCTAACACAAAAGCTACATCTACATCTACCAAAGAAATGCATTCAATATATGTTCAAACACAAAAATTGTTCCGCGAAATTAGAAATTTGTGCAGAAATCAACACTCATTTGATCAATCAATAAATGAACAGAACATATATGGAAAACTCAACCTACAATTCTATCCACAGTTACTTTTAGCTGAAATTGCTCCCGAAATTGAAAAAATTAAAAATTCAAATCCAGTTTTGATTTCAGGAGAATTCAAGGTATCAACATCATATCAATTGTTTGAAATCATTAAGAGACTGTTTGGAGACGAGTACTATATCGAAAATGAAATAAAGGAAATTGTAATAATAGCAATGAAAATTTGTTTAGTTTACAAAGAAATTTGTCAAAGGACAACAACATTCAAAACGCATTTTGCATTTGACATCTCAACGTTTGTAACAAAACTTAGAGAAGTGATGCCTAAAGAGTGTGAAAATCCCATTAATCTGATTGAGTCTTCTTTATTAGAAACAAAAATACAAAGAGAAGATGAAACATTAAAAGAAATATTGCAAAAAACGGATGCAAATTTGTTTTGGATACTTAATTTACCAGAGAGAATTATTGAAAGCCATATACATAAATCAAAGCTTCCTTCCGCAAGCTCAGTCCTAGTTGATTCCATTTTTAAAATAGATAATGATTGGATTAACTTAGGAACATTTACTTCACTTGTTTATGATGGAATAATGCAAATAATCACTCAGAAGATGATCAATTTAGTTAAGTCTGTTCCAAAAAAAGTTGAATTTGCAAATAGACGTATTGAAGATAGTGAAAACAAGAATGAGAAAGAGAAAATGGATCCTAAACAAGTTGAAGAAGAACTCAAACACTTGCTTTTGGACTATCTTCACATGATCGCTTTGGAAGCAACAAGAAAACTCAATATTAATGCAACAGAAAACCAAACTTATCAAGAGATTTATAAATATCTCAATTAGATATCTATTGCATCTAAATAATTTATTGTTTTTTTTCTACTATAGTTAGATGTCTTTTTATTTATATGAAAACAGAAAAATGCAATATGTGAACGTATCTTGATGAGATTATGGAAAAATCCAAATGAAATGTATGACCATTCAAAACCAAAGAATGAATATCCTACAGAAAGCAGGGAATTTCTGTGTTTGCTAATAAAATTAATTACAAATAATTTTTTTTATGAGAACCTAGAGATAGTCAGGGGGTGTATTCTTATTCATGTGGTTATCCTAAAACCGAGCATAGAAAAGTTCAAAATAGAAAAATAAAGCTAACATCCTCCGATTACAAACAATTTTGATGGTTGGGAGGCGTTTGCGTGTGAAAATCATATAACATTGCGTAATGTTCCAAAATGCGTAATAAACATATCTAAAATTTTAGACAATTGAAATGTAAAAGTGAAATTTTTCTTCTGACAAATATGATAATTATCTTATCTATTGTAGAAGCTAGGCGTGGCCAAATTAATATGAACTTGACCCAGGACAGAGACAATACCTCTAAAGTTGAGCAGAATTCACTCAACAAATCTGAAATTTCAAATGCAACCACCGAAACAAACAATCATGAAATTTCAAAATTAGCAAGAATAAACGAATCTAACATACGTTTAAGTAATAACTTAAAACAAATTACAAAAAATAATTTTACAGATGTTAAATGCGATAAATGCCATGATTTGGCTCATTGCATTTGGCCTGGAATCTGCCAATGCCCACCAGGTTACGAGGGAAATGGTATCCAGACATGCAAAATTCCAACTCCGTATTCTTTTCAATACAAGCTTGGAAGATTTGCAGAAAACTCAACCGTCTATATGAATGTATCGTATACCGGCGTGAGTTCTAAGTTTAATATTACGCAAGTATTTTGCAAAATCGGAAACATGTCATTACCAGCTATAAACTTTGGCCATCAATATGCCATATGCAATACTACATATTCCAAGCATGGTCTCGAGATTTCCCTCTCCTTTGATAACATTCATTTTGGTGAGGGCATTGTCATCGGGAATTCATTCCTCTCTGGATGGTTTTCATTCATTGGAATTGGTTTAGGCATCATTATTGGCATAGCAGCCTTAATTTTACTCTTCACTACAAAATCTGGTCCTTTAGCAAAGAAAGATGAAGTTATCCCACTCACAAGAGATATAAATAGGAGTGACGACTTTAACGCATAATATTAGACATCAATTTCAACGTTATATTAGTTTTATAGATTTTATTGTAAACTATTAACTATTGATAAGTCTCTTCTTTCAATTTTTCAAGAAAATAAGGATAATCCCATATAAATATGATATATTCTATTAATTCAATAAAATTTGAAAATATTATCCCAAATAAAGGAATTTATATGCTATAAATCATTATATAACATTCACCTCAGAATGAAAACATTGCTAAATCTTCAAATTTTTATAGATACACGTTTAATAATTTTTTGATGCAGCGCTCGCCTCCAGTATCTAAAAGAGCTGCAGTCAAAAAAACACCTCCCAAGCAGACTAGATCAAATAATAGTACTCCTGATAGTTTAAAACCAATAAAAAACCGTGAATTTACCGGAATTGTAGCTCCTAGAAGTGATGGTTACGAAGTTTTAATCGATGAAATGAGAATCACCCAAGCAAAAATGATAAAACAGATCGAATCATTAAATAAAGAGAATCGAAAACTAAAATTAGAATTAGATTGTAGCCAAAATCAAATCCAAGAGAACAAAGAAGAGCATAATAACGAGCAAAATACACTAAAAAACAACATTCTCGACATGAAAAACAAATTACGAAGGGCAACGGAAGATATTGCAGTTTTAACTGCCGAAAATAAACAGCTTGAAGAGCAAGTTGAACTCTACAGGTTATCATCTCTCAAACAACAATCGATTATTGATGAATTGAACTCACAGCTTTCTTCACCACAAGTTATTGATAAACCTCAGAGATTTGCAGACACCAAAATACATCTATTACAAGAGAAAAACAAAAAACTACTCAGTACAGTTATTTCTCTTAGAAAACAACAACAAATATCAAATGTCGAATTATCAACTCAAAAATCTGCAAATAGAGAATTAACACAACAACTTACAGACGCTCTTACAAATGAAGATGAAGATCAAGATACAATTGTTCACATTGAAGATATGAGTTCATATCCAGAAGTCAAGAAATTAGTTGAAATGAATGCAAGAAAAGCAAAAAGAATCGAATCATTAAAATCAGAAATAAACTTCATGAAGCAAACAATATTAGAACAATCTGAGAAAGAAAAGACATTAATTGACTTCATTGAGTCATCAAATACAGAAAACCAGAAGAAATTAACAGAGATGAATCAAAGATTATCCGATTTTCAAAATTCAAAAATTTCTCAAGTTACTGATGATTCTCAAAATACAGAACTTCGAAAATCTCTTGATGAAATGAAATCACAACTTACAGAGTTACGTAAGAAGAGTCTTATTGAAGAGCAACAAAAATCACAACTCAAGACAGAACTCGAAAAAGTTCAGTCAGAAAATTCAGATTTGAAAGAAAAATTAAAATTTTCTTCGGATACAAGTTTTGATTCAAATTACAGTATGGATCCAATATTTGAGCAGGAATTACAGCAGAAGACAAAAGAAATATCACAAATGAAAGTTGCCATTAACTCTTTAACATCAATGCTTTCTGAAAATGAACAAAATTTGCAATCACAAATTTCAGAGAAAGAAAACGAACTTCAAATTGCACAACAGAACATAAAGAGATGCCAAGATGAATTGAATTCAATGAAAGCAATACAAGAAGAACAAGGAAAATCTTTCAATAGAATAAAAGAAAATGTCCAAGTTTTGTTGGATGATGTTCAAACATCTTTTAGTTTTGCATCATTAAAAGTAACAGATGATATGGATTCATTAAAAGATGTTTCTAAATTTATTTGTACAAATTATAATAGATCTAAAGATATGGTTTCTCAGCTGCAAAAGGAAAATGAAGATCTTAAAAAAGAATTAAAACAATCTAATCTGAAAAATAAGGAATTATCATTGACTCTGAATGATTTAAGATCATCAACAGAGATGAAATTACAGAATACAATGTCACAACAACAAATGAATGAAGAAAGAATGAAAGAAGAATTGCAAAAATCTCAGAATCAGATATCAACAATAAATGAAATGTTTAAACAAAAATCCATAGAATACGAAAAAGATTTAGCAACATCTCATTTAACAATTGACCAATTTGAAGAAGAGAAAGTTAATATGAAAACAAAGATTGATGATTTATTAGATCAATTATCTGCCTTCCAGAGCAGACAAACAGATTTCACTTCTTCTATCAACAGTTTAGAAACAACATACAAAAATAAGGAAAAATCACTTTCAGACACAATTTCACAGCTAAATGATGATAAAAGCAAGCTGAAATTAAAAGAGGAGCAGCTAACAAATAGAGTGAATTCTATGGAATCAGCTATGTTGGATTTAAGAAATGAGAATAAAAAGATTGAAAACAAAAAACAAAAATTAATTGTTGAAAATAATGAACTCAAAACTGCTTTGGAGGAGTTCACAAATGAAAACAAAACAACATTAGCAGAAAAAGACCAGAAATACTACAAACTTAAGGAAACAAACAGTGAAATGGAGAATCAAATTAAGGAACTCAAAAAAGAAGTTAAAGAACAGAGAAAACAATTTGAAGATCTCAAAAACCAGTCAACATTATCATTACAAACTAAAGCAGAAAAGATAAACAAACTCAGGTTGAAATTAAAGCAACTCCAAGAAGCTTTTGTTAATTTAACAAAAGAAAAAGACCAAAAAGAAAGAGAGAATGTTGAACTCCAGTTGCAAATAACTGGACAAAGTGATACAGTTAGAAGAGCTGAAGAACAATCACAGAAGATGACAGCTGCGAAAGAAGCAGGAGATTATGTTTTTAAGTCTTTAACAAAGAAATATCAAGATTTACAGAAAGAATATGCTGATCATTTGCAGTTTGTTGAAAAGAGTAAAGAAGATATTGAAGAAATGAAGAAAGTTGTTGATGATAAAGAAAAAGAAAGAAGTGATGCTGTTGACCAAATGAATTCCACAATTTCTAAATTGGAGAATTTGCAAAATGAAAAGAATGACATTGAAAAAGAAAATTCACAATTATCAAGTGACTTAGAAACTGCAAACAAGAACAACACAAACCTTCAGATTGAAAGAAAACAGAACCTCGAGAAAATCAAGGAATTAACAGATAATAACCAAGAATTGAAATCTCAAATTTCAGTTTTGCAAAAACAAAATCATGAATTGTCACAAAACACTGTTTTATTATCTGTTTACGAGAAACTCAAGAATGATAAAGATGAGCTCCAGAAATCTTTCAATTTCATTAATGACGAACTTCATACTACAAAGAGCTGTTATGAAATGGAAGACAAAGAATACACAGATTACAAAGACCAAATGACTAAGAAAGTTGCATCTTTGACAAGTACAATTGAAGATTTGAACAAAGAAATTGCCAAAATCAAAGATGAAAATGATAGAGCAGCGCAACAAGATACACAGACAATAAACAAACTTCAAGATCAAGTCGATTCTCTTAGAGGAAAACTCGAAACACAAACAGCTGAATATTCAAAGATTGATGAAGAAACTAAAGAAATTAGAAAGAAATCACGTGAATCCGTTGATAACATTAAAGCTAAAAATAATGAATTAACTCAAGCAATCGAAAATAAAGGAAAACTGATTGATGAGCTGAAGAATAAAATTAAAGAATTGGAAGATGATAAGAAAGATATTATGTCCAATTACGACAACTTGAATGCACAGAAGATTGAAGTAGAAAAGCAATTAAATACAACACAATCTACACAACAAGAAAAATTTGATGATTTCACACGAAAATTATCAAGTTACAAACAAAAGATTAAAGAAATGGAAGCAGATAAAGCAACATCAGAAAGGATTATCCGTGAAAATGGGTTACGGATTGATGAACTCAAATCACAATTAAGAAATAGCGTTCCTAAGGATGATTACAACAAGTTACAAAAGAAGATTGATTTGCTGAAGAAAGAAAAATTACTAGAATCAACTGTACTTCAAAAAACTGCTTTTGCAAACGAAGTCAATGCGGAAAAACTCAAAGATAAATTCACAAGGAAAGAGAAAGACTACCAAGATCAAATAGAACAACTTAAACAAGACAGAGACAAGAAAGCAGAAGCAGCAAAGAACTTGGCAAGTCAAGTTAAATCTTTGAACCAAGAATTAGTCAAAGCAACAGAAAACAAAGTTCCAATGTGTCCTAAAGCAGAAAAAGATGCAATATCAATGGAACTCAAAGCCAAAGTTGAGGAATTAGCTTTGTCAGAGACAAAACTAAAGAACAAAGACCAAATTATTCAAATGAAAGAGAAAGAAATCGAAGAATTGAACAAAAATATTGAAAAATTGAAAGATCAAATTGAAGAAATTAAATCTAATGATGACCAAATCCAAGAACTGAATGAATCCATATCTAATTTAGCAGCAGACAATAAGTCTAAGGATAATGAAATTGCTTCATTAACAACAACAATTCGCTCAATGAATGAAAAATTGTTGTCAAAAACTAAAGATCTGGAACAAATGAAAAGTGACATGAACAATAAAAATCCAAAGGTTATTCAGTTGGACAATATTAATAAAATAGCCAAGGATTTATTGAATATCATTAATTCTCCCCAATTTGCAAAACAGCAGGCGCTTCAAAGGTTATCAACTTTGCAAGATTCTATTTCAACAATTTTTACAATTTTAGGATTACCAAGCTCAAATATTATGCCACCTGCCAGAGCTTTATCACACCAACAAGGTCCTATATTCTATATTCCTGGTGATAAGTCACTTGAAACTAAAGAAGAAAGGAAGATTGCGGAATTAATCATCAGAGAATTTCCAGAGCTCGGAAAAGAAGTGACAGATTCAGACTCACTTGATAGGCAACTTAGAATGATACACGCTTCTGTAAATAACTTGAAGCTACTACTTGAAGATAGAGAAAGAAGAATTAGAGATATGTCAGCTATTGTGCAATCTCAGCATAATGCTGTCATCCAAATCAGTAAAGATCCCGAGGCAACAAATTTAGTATCTCAATCGATAATGAATTCAAGCGTTGCTAAAGATCTTGATGATTTTTAAGTTTTTAAATAAATGTATTTTATTATTATACTAATCCTTATTAATTTTAACCTTAAGATGATACAATTGAATTTTTCAACATAACAAACATTTTAATTCTACTTTTAACTTAATTAAACACGATTTTGAGATCGAGACCAATAAGATTTCAAAATTTCCTTAATTTCTTAACTATTTTCCATAATTAACTGCAAAATTATGATATATGTCCTATGTACTGCCATAAATACAGAATAACATAGAGACTAAATTTCCGTTTCAAAATAAAATCAAAAATTTGAAAGCTCGAGTATCTGAAAATAGGAATGATTGAGCAAGTTAGGAAAGACGATACTAAATACCATAAAAAAATAATTCCATCAAATCAATTTCAATGGGTTAATTCTGAGAGTAAACCCGCTCTCAATTTTAATAACGTTTGAAAAAATAAACTGTTGTCACTTTTAAAATCAAGTTATTTTGATTATTTTGGCATATTTGACAAGAATTGAACAAGCATCACTTAATGCACAGTAATATTCAAATAGAATACTACTTATATTTGAGAATCCGATACAAAATTAGGTCTGAAATTATCATTTTTAAATCAAAATTTTTAATAAATAGGATCTCATTGCTTTGCATTTTAGATGGTAACATTGTTTAAAATGGAAGTATCAATTGATGAGATAAGAATATTAGAAATTTATATGATTTTCAAAATAATTTTCCGAAATTAACGAATCATAAGACAATAACTTTAAAAATATAACATATATTAGATGATTATTAATATTATCTCATGTTCTCAGGAAAATTTACCTTTTGTGAAGAAGATTATCATAAAAATCAAAAAATTTGTATTATTGCTGTATATAATAATCTCAGTATAAATAATTTCCTACTGAAAATTGAATATCACAAGATTTTTACGGGAGATTTGTATGAAACGTTTGAAAGGGTTGATGACCTAATAAGCACTCAAATTTTGATTGCATTGAATATGATGAATCGATGAATTATATCTCTCTAACATTTGCATATCTCAAATAACTGATGACTACGCAAATATAGAAAGTTATTTGAGAGCTTTCAAATAAAGACCTTGATCGTCATTTCAGATTTTCGAGGTTTTCTTGCAAAATCATAGCCAGAATACAATATAGATACCAATGCGCTGTTTATGGTCAATAAAATTTGATGGCCATGCAACTGATCGATTTTGTATAGATGTAAACATTTTTTGAGAACTCGTTTGTTCATCAAACTGTAGACCCATGTATACTTTTTGTAGTATGTTAATATATTTTGGTTTAAAAACTGATAGCTGCCACGTTCTCAATTTTGAATAGATGAAGATTTTACTGGTGAAAAGCTCCAACATGAACATACATTATGTAACAAATAAAAAGAATGATTATTTAATTGAGACTTTTCAAATTCAAAATGTGACATAAAAAATTCAATAACCTTCTCAAAGTATTTTTCTCCAATGTCATCTCTTAAAAGCGTGCGCGCAAACAGAAAGTTCTCCCAAGAAGAAGATATTAAGCTCAGGTGTGTCGTGTCCAAGCTTGGCACTCACAGCTGGAAATCAGTTGCATCTTTCATGCCTGGTCGAAATGTTCGCCAATGCAGAGAAAGATGGAATAAGTTTCTATCTCCAAGTGTCAACCTTAGTCCATTCACACGCGAAGAGGACGTTAGATTGCTAGGCTTGTATAAAGAACTTGGACCACAATGGGTCAAGATCGGAAAACATCTCGGTAACAGATCGGATATCGCAATTAAAGCTAGATTCATGCTCCTCGAACGTCACAGAAAGAAACGTGAGATGAGCGAGGAATCATCCTCATCCTGTGAAGATAACGTTTCAGAAAGTTCTGTTTCTGAAGCTCCAATTCATAACCATGTTAAACCAAACAGACAAATTAGTGCGGGAATTACATCTAAAGAGTTGAATAACGAAATAGACAGCTTATTCTTCTCTGACTTTACAGATTTCTTTGACTTCAATGAAGTCTTCGGTGTTGAACAATTATAATTTATATTATTATACTAAATACTATCTATCTATCCCTTAAATTAACCAAGTTTTTAATCTCTTTTTCTAGAAATATCTTTAGATCTATGAGAATTTCTTTCGTAGTTATATGTTATGAGTTTCCAATTTATACCAGCCCTTTTGTTATTAAATGAACTTGTAGTATTTGAGCCCATATTGAAAATGCTGTTGAATTTCGGTGAAAAAGTGAGAGAACATTCCGCTTATCTAAGAAAACAACTTTAATTATCAAAAATATAGATATTTGCGGAACTATCCATCTTTTTAATGAGAAGGGAGTGTAGGATAATTTAAGTAAGATTCATTTCAGATTCAGCATTAAGGATGAATTGGTTATCGAATTTGCTTTATGTTTACTTAACTCTAACCGGATTTACATGATTTGGGTTCGATAATATAGTAATATAACTGAAAAATATATGAATCACAATATTTTTAACAAAAGATTTATGCTTATGTACTTGGGGATTGCATACCAGTCATCTCACAAAACGCAACTCCAATATTTTAAAAATGGGAAATATGGAATACGCATTCATATGTAAAAAAATTAGCTAAAATATGATAATATATACAAACAATTTATAGTGAATTAGTAGAGAACTGCCCAAATTAACTTCATGCAGGGTTTGGCTCTTTTCTTTTCCTATTATTCCCTGATGGAACAAAAAGAGTATCAGGCGATTCCGAGGTAAAGAATAGCTCTATATTCTTCAATGATCTTTCGTTAATTTTTTTGCCATTTGATGTCGTTATTGAATCAATACTTTGAAACATTTCTGCTCTATTCCTTGTTGCTGCCGATATTGCATTGGAATACGTAGTATCTATCCCTGGTATTTGAGATAAAACTTCTTTCCATAAATCTCCATAAACTCTAACAGAATAACCTTCTCCTATTATACTATTTTCTACAAGCACGAATCGTAGGGATGATACAATGTCTTCAGGCTTTTTTGGTAATAGGATGATATTAAAATAGGAAGCATATGTCTTTAGATCGATATCATCGTACTTGTCTGTGTGTATTATAGAATTTTCTTCGATGTTAGAAAGAAATTCTTCATCTATTGATGGAGGTTCAAAATAAATCATTGGTTTCATCGCTTTCTTCTGGTAAGTAACTGATATAGTTGTTTCAGGAACGTATTCAGATACATCTAAACCAACAGATCGAATAGTTTTTATTGTATCTTTGATCGCAGTAATAACTTGAATAGGAATACTCGAATGTATGGAAATAATAATTCGTCTGTTATCTAAGACCGATCGGTTTGAAGTCTTTTTCCCTTTGTTTTGATCATTTTGCATGAATAATTATTCTTTTTATTACAAGGGAAGTTCCCTATATATGGTGATAATAATCTTTAATAAAAAGTCAATAAAGAAAAAGTGAAGGTTCCATAGTGTAATGGCTATCACTGGGGACTCTGAATCCCTAAATCCAGGTTCGATTCCTGGTGGAACCAAAATTTTTTCCTTTTTTATAATTTTTTTTTGAAATTTCAAATTTGAGAAAATAATAATCGTCGTGGCTCTTCCTTTTTGGAAAAGTAATGCCTCGCTGCCAACGTTTCCACCTTAAGCGTCTCACAGCTCCACACCACTGGCTTCTCGCTAAGTCCGCTGGTAAGTTCGCTTCCCACCCATCCACAGGTCCACACAAACTCCGTGAATGCCTTCCAATCAACATCTTCCTTCGTGACCGCCTTAAATACGCTCTTACAGCTAAGGAAGCCGTCGCTATCGTTAAGCGCCGCCTCGTCAAGGTCGATGGCAAGGTCCGCACAAACTACCGTTATCCAACAGGTTTGATGGATGTCATCGAGCTCGGCAAGTCCAACGAACTCTTCCGTATCATCTACGACTGCAAGGGCCGTTTCTGCGTCCACCATATCGAGGCTAAGGAAGCTTCCTTCAAGCTTCTCCGCGTCAATCAGTTCAAGATCGGCGCCAAGGGTATCCCACACGTCGTTACACACGATGGCCGTACAATCTCCTATGTCGACCCATCCGTCCGTGTCCATGATGCTCTTAAGTTCAACATCAAGACAGGCGAAGTCGAGTCCGTCATCAAGTTCAAGGTTGGCGATGTTGCCATGGTTACAGCTGGTGGTAACGTCGGCCGTGTCGGAACAATCCAGAAGATCGAGAAGCAGATGGCCTCCTTCGATATCGTTCACCTTAAGGATACATCTGGCGCTGTCTTCGCCACACGTATCATGAACGTTTTCGTCATCGGTGAGAACGAGCACCCACTCATCAGCCTTCCAGCTCGTGAGGGTGTCCGCCCATCCATCCTTGAGGGAATCAACCAGGAGTAAATTAAACTTTATTCGTTATTTTCTAAAATTTTTAAAGTAATTTTTAATTTTGAGAATTTTATTTTTGAATTCTTAAAATACTTAAAAATAGAATGTTCATGATCAGAATTTTGACAGCTTAGGTCCAGTTAAAACCAATATACATTTTAATGAAAGTTATATTTTTCCTAAAAGTAATTTGTTTTCATTGGAGTTGCTTATAAGTGAGCAACAATTTACCTATCATCGAAAAACTCTTCTCCATTAAATACTAAAGATTGAAACTAAATCTTAGTTACTTTAGGATGGTTTCCTCTTTATTTCACGTATTTGGATAATAACTGAGAAGAATTGGTTCTACAGTGTAGAGTCTGTTAATTCATAAAATTATCAACATATATTTAATTTTCATCCACTACATGTAGTATTTCCCAGAATGGTGCAACAATTCTTCTTATTAACTATAGTCTTAATTGAATTACTTCCTAAAAATCTAAATTATAAAAATTCATAATAAATCATATTATCTTTATATAAAATAACAAAACAAACATAAAAAATAAGATTTGTTCATTCTTTTTCAACTCTCGCGCGAATTTCCTCCATTATCATATAAGCAGCTTCAATCATTTGAGGTGATGATGATTCATCTTCGTCAAGATCTGCAATTTCTTGGATATAATTTAATACTTCTTCAGAATTGAGAATTGCATCAAGTAATTCAACATTTTCATCGAAATATTTAATGATTTCAAGAAGTTGAAAAACAATAATTTTATTAATTTTTTGATTTTCAACTTCAAGGAAAGGCAACAAGAATTCTAAATTACCTTGATCAATAATGAAGTTTACCAACATCGGATCATTAGGATCATTTAGCAAACAAAGCAAAATTTTAAGAGATATTGCTCGATTTTTAAAATTCGAGTTTTCGCTGTATTGAATAAGTAAATTTATGTAATCAGCCTCTTTCATATTCTTTCTTAGTAACGGATGCTTTGTTGCATGATAAATAATTTTTAATATTTTATTAATTTGATTGAAATCGTGATCTTCAGTAAGAAATGTACCAAAAACTTGGAGCCAGTCTTCAGGAAATTCTTCTGTTGTGTTCAATGGATCATCTTCCATCAAAAATCGTAAACAAATATATGATCGATCAAAATCAGTTGAAAATTGAGCCAATCTATGGAAAGCTATTCTTACAAACCCATTGTATATAATAGATGTTGATAATTTTGCTTTAGAATTAAGTATATTGTAAATTATTTCGAATGAATTTGAATTCAACATTTCTATTTCAGTTTCTAATGAAATCACAGGAAATTTTAATAAATCTGACCAAAATATTCTGCAAGAATTTATGTTTTCCTCTGGAATTTCTTGAGATGAAAGCGCATTTAAAAAATGTAAAATTTCATTTGTAAATTCGATATGTTCATTAATAAAATCAGCAATTCCCTGTCTATCACCTTGTAAATCGCTATGCATAAGTGTACTTATTACTAAATATAAGTCAGAATCGTAAAATTCATTTGCACAGTCACCAAGAATCACACAATTGGTGAATATTTGAAATATACTAAGTATTGTTTGAATTTCCAGGTCATTTTGTAGCATTTTTAAGAGGTATTTAAGGATGGACGCATTATCTACTTTGTATTTAAGAAATTCAATGGCAGCATCTTCAATTTTAGTACATACACTAACGATGTATATAGATTCTGCAAAGATTTCAGAATTTTCTGGGGTAATTATATTCTGAATTGCAGTATAATACGTTTCTGCATCAAATTCGATAATATCTTCTTCCTCTTCATGTTCTTCTTCTTCGCTGTTTTCTGCTAAATGTCTTTTTTCATTTGTTAAATTTTTATATTCATCCATACAATAGTTAGCACAAAATCTAAATATAAAATTTTAAGAAGAATTAACATTAATTCATATCACTACTTGATAAGACATTTTCGTTTTTTCCCCTATCAAGTAAATTGAAAGAATTTGTAAACCATGCATCCCCTTGAGAACCCGCAAGGAAGATTCAGCCAATAATGCCATTATCATTATAAATTACTACGATGAAGTACTAGATCTATTATTCTCAGAGAAAAATAAGAATCTCATATTTTGTCTAGCTTGCTCTTTCACATAATAATTATGTGGGGGTTAATGCGCATTTTCCAATCAGAAGAAACTATATATATATATAGTAACTACAAAAAAAAGCTATATTAATCGGTCGAACCTAATCTCTATTTTGAGAACTTTTGCCGCGGTTTAGCTGCAAATGGACTTTGCCAAGCTGTTCTATTTTGAGAGCATGTAACCCTGTTAAATATTGGTAGTATTAGAAAACACTAGAATTGAGAAAATAATTTATAGAGTTGTCACACTCAAAAAAAATTAGCCAGTAGTGTTCATTATTTCCTAGAGTTGCCTCACTTTTGAAGATATAAAATGTTTGCCAATTTAATATTATAACGCAGCTAGAAATATTACTGTTTTCACTTAATTCCATATAGAAAAGCATCAGAAAAAATTAATTGATATTCATGGCACCATGTTCAACTAAAAATTTAACAATTTTTGCTGATTTTGCGTTGATTGCAATACTAAGAGGGCGTTCATTAAAGTTAGGATAATTATATAAAACAATAACATAAATGATAAGTAAGATAAGAATGCTATAAAACATTGATTGATATGATAGGACAAAGAATTTCACAAAAGAGTGATAGATATGGAAAGAAAGAGAACTATTTAGAATAATGATAAATATTGAAAGATAGAAAATTACATTTAACAATGATAAATATGAAAAGAAAGAGAATTTCATGCATCAATGATAGATATGGATTGAAATAGAATTTCATTAAACAATGATAAAGATATAAAGAAAGAGAATATCATAAAACAACGAAACATATGGAAAGAAATAGAATTTCATTAAACAATGATAAAGATATAAAGAAAGAGAATATCATAAAACAACAAAATATATGAAAAGAAAGAGAATGTCATAAAACAATGAAAGATAAAAATAGACAAAAAATGTAGTAAAACAATGATAGATATAGAAAGATAAAGAATTTCATAAAACAATGATTAATATGAAAAAAAATAGAATTATATAAAACAATGATAAATATGAAAAGAAAGAAATTTGAATAAAACAAAGATAAACATGGAAAGATAAGGAATTGTTTAAAACAATGAGAAATGTGAAAAGAGACCAAATTTTATAAAATAACGATGAATACTAAAATAAAGATAATAATATAAAACAATGATAAATATGAAAGAAAAAATAATGCGATAAAATAATGCGAAATATGAATATAAAGGTTATGTGATAAAATAATGATAAATATTAAAAGAAAGAGAATAAGTTTCATGTTAACATCAGAACCATGTTCAACTAGGAATTTGACAATATCCGCTGAATTCGCTTTGATTGCTATACTAAGAGGGCATTCATTAATATCATGGTAATTTCATAGAACAATTATAGATATGATGGATAAGATAATAATATCAAGCAATGTAGAATATCAAAATATAAAGAGCATCACAATATAGTGTTAGATGTGGAATGAAAGAAAATTTCATAATGCAACTATAGATATTGAAAGATGGATAATTACATAAAACAATGATAAACATGAAAAGAAAGAAATTTATATAAATCAATGATAAATATGAAAATAAAAGAGAATGTCATAAAACAATAATTTATTGTTTGAGACAATGATAAATATGAAATGAAAAAGAATGACATTAAATGAAAGAAATTTAAATGAAATAATGATAAACATGAAATGAATAAGGATTAATTAAAACAACAATAAACGTAAAATGAAATTGAATTTTATATAACAATGATAAATATGCGAAGAAAAAGAATATGATAAAACAATGATGAGTATGAAAAGAAAGATATTATCATAAAACATTGAAAGATATAAAAAGAAAGAGAGTTTTCTAACAAAATGATAAATATGAAAAGAAAGGAAATAAGTATCATGTTAACATCAGCACCATGATCAACTAGGTATTTGACGATTTCTGTTGAATTCAAGCTGATTGCAATACTAAGAGGGCATTCATTAATATTGTGAAAATGTAGTAAAGTAATGATAAATGTGAAGAGAAATAGAATTATATAAAACAATGCTAGATAAAAAGAAATAAGGAGCGTCACAAAACAATAATAGATATGGAAAGATAAAAAATTTCATAAAACAATGATAAATATGAAAAGAATGAAATTTAAATAAAACAATGATAAATATGAAAAGAATGAAATTTAAATAAAACAATGATAATTATGAAAAGAAAATGACCTATTTAAATCAATGATGAAGGTGAAATGAGAGCAAATTTCATAAAACAACGATGAATATGAAAAGATAGAGTATTCCATAAAACAAAGATGAATATGAAAAGATAGAGTATTCCATAAAACAAAGTTAAATATCAGAAGAAAAAGAATGTCATCAAACAAAGATAAATATGAAAAGAAAGATAGTGTCAAAAAACAATGATAAATTTGAGAAGAAAGATTATATGATTAAATAATGATAAATGTGAAAATAAAGGGAATGCGATTAAACATGGATGAATGTGAAAAGTAAGAGAATTTTATAAAACAATGATAAATATGAAATCAAAGATTATGCGATAAAAATAATGACAAATGATAAAAGATAGAAAATAAGTTTCATGTTAACATCTGCACCATGTTCAATTAAAAATTTGACAATTTCTGTTGAATTCCATTTAATAGCAATACTAAGAGGGCATTCATTAAAATTGAGAGAATTGCATAAAGTAATGATTGATATGAAAAGAAATAGAGTTATATAAAGTTATGTTGTATATGAAAAGAAACATAATTTTATAAACAAATGATGAATATCAAAAGAAATGTAATATCACAAAACAATGATAGATATGAAAGGATAGATTATGTGATAAAATTAGGATGGATATAGAAAGAAATAGAATTGAATAAAACAGTGATAAAAATTAAAAGAAAAAGAGTTTCATAAAACAATGATATAAATGAAAAGATAGAGAGTTTCACAAAAAACTGATAGATATTGAAAGAAAAATAACGCAATAAAATAGTGATAGATATTGAAAGAAATAGAATTGTATAAAACAATGAAATATATGGAAGGAAAGATAATAATATAAAACAATGATAAATGTGAAATGAAAGAGTATTTCAAAAAACAACGCATAATATGAAAAGAAAAAGAATGTAAATTTTATTGACATTTGCACTATGAGAAAGTAAATAAGATGCAACATCATAATTTCCAAAATACATGCTTTCAGCAATTGAATCAAAAGTTTGTCCACAATTTGATTTAAGGTACTCAGCAATTTCATTATTATGATATTCCAAAGCAATATTAATCATCTTATCAAATGATTTACCATCTTCTATCATTTGCATAAAAATGTTTTTATTTCCTCCTTGAACAGCATATTCCTCAGAGTTATTTGTGTAAAGAGCTCCCATATTTTTCAAGTAGTTGAAACATAATTCTGATCCGTATTTAATTGCCCAATCAAGTGGTGTGATTTCATCTATTTTCCGATAAACATTAAATTTTGGGAATTTACTCTTAAGATCATCAACTTTATCGAATGCAATGTAGAATAAAGGAGAATTTGTTGAATATAAATTGTAATTTTCCAATTTGAATCTTTTATTATGTAACATTGCTGCAAGCTTTTCATTTTTAGGTTTTGTGATGCATGAGAATTCGATTAATATGTTTTGATAAAGTTTCGAAAATGATTCAATTTCTTTAGGTCGAACTTTAGAAAATTTGTCAATCAAATAAAGCGCCATTTGGATAGTTATTCTATTGTTTTTAATGAGGTCATTGATTTGCGATGATGATTGAGAAATATTACTTGAATTGACGTCCAATATTATTTTTGCAGCTAGAGTAGGGTATTTGAATACTTCAATTGGCTTAAGGTTGCTATAATCGCATTCATTTTCATTTATTAATTGCTCTGATTTAAACATTGTAAATTTTTATCTGTGGCACTTTTCTGAGGGAGAATTTAAATTGAAAAGTCGTTTTCAGAAAAATACTCTGAGATTCGTAAAGAAGAATTGTAGTAACAAACATTATAGTTTTGAAGTTCCTGAAGCAAGAATATAGCAAACTCCCTCAAGTTATCCATATGAAGATGTTCGCAGAAAGCAAGATAATAAGCTTAGAGAGTTATTTCCATCAATCATTGCGAAATCTTTGAAGATGTGAATGTTGTTGTTTTTGTATTCAAACATTAAATTAATAAATATTACATTTTCCAATTAAATCCATAAAATACTTCTTTCACACGGATATAATTATAAAAGTTATGGTTGTGATTTGGACCGTTCTGAAGAAATTTCTTAAATTTGAATTCATATCATCAATAATATACAATGTTTTACAATATTCTATTAGAGTTCAAGGAAAATGCATCTCATGGATATCAAATTGCTCTATCACACAATCATTTCTCATAATTCTCTAAGAATTCACCCGAAGAAACAAAAATTTTTCAATAAATGTCATACGAAAATGGATCATAAAAAGCACACAATACATTTTTAATAGCAAAACCATTTTTTTGAATCAAAAAGTTTGATGGGAAAAATATAAAGGGGAATTTTTTTCCCCTAAAATATAAGATTTTATTATGCAAGTTGTCAAAAATGATTTTCTCGAAGAACTGGAACTTGCTCCTACTGAAGAGTTGATTCCTACTAATGTAAACACAGATGAAATCCACAATTTGATATCATTAACTTTAGAATCTGCATCAAAAAACGATTTTAATCAATTAGCAACTTCTATTAAAAATCTCCGTATAAAGATAGTTCCAGATTTCAGGATGTACCCTAACATACTAAATAATATTGATAATAGTCAGCTGTTCTCAGTATTTTTAAGTCTATTATCAATTGATGTTCCAACCATAGTTCAAGACTCGTTAAGCCTTCTCACAGCAATTACAAAGAGAAACAAGCAATATTCTCAAATGATTTTTGATGAACAAATGATTCCAATATACATAAAGATTTTGGGATCAGAAAACATAGTTTCTCGCAAATTCGTAATGACGTTCTTGCTAAATAACATGCAAGACCATCAAGAAATTGGTTTAATTTTTATATATTATTTTTTACAGCCAGCAGATATTGTTCAACTTACTCCTTATTATGCTCTCTACATTCTAAAAGAACTGGAATACTTTAAGAACATAGATAATCTTGATTTTACAAATGTAATTTTACGTCTTCAAGATTACATCGAAGCAGGCGATAAAAATGCAATTAGATACTCCATTACCGCTGTTAAGAAAGGTCTTGAGGAAGAAATTGAAGCATTTCGTGATTTTTGCATCCAAAATTGTTGGTGGGAATTAATTTCCACAAAAGCCATTTGTTGTCCAGTTACATCTATTAGAATCATTGGATATGAAACTCTCGGTGTATTATTACCATTCATTCCACTAGAAGTACTCTCAGAAAAGCCATTAATACCTTTAGAATATATTTACAAATGTTTTATTTATACTGATGATTCAACAGGTCCAATGCTTGATTTTATTCATGAATACATTGAAGTTTTTCCTTTCTACGTGCGTGAATTTGTTGAAACGTATGTTTATGAAGAATTGACATGCTTTGATAAACTTGTTTCTTTGATGGCAAATGGAAAGAGAAAATTGTTGGATGGATGCATCAAAGTTTTGGTTGATATCATTATGAAGGCTTCTGGAAATCAACTGAAAAAGATGACGCCGGGATCAACGATTCCAGCAATGCTTGATTGGATAGAAACATCAGATAACAATCAGTTAATTGGTGATATTTTATCTGCTTTGCAAAGATGGATTATGTCGATGAAAAGTTATTGGCCTTTAGACACAATTTTGGATTTCTTCCAATTCCCATTGACAGAAGATATATTTACTGAATTGCTTGAGTCAGATGATGATGTTATATCTGAACTTGCAACAAAGATTCTTGAAGATTTATCTGGAGAATAACTATATTATATTATTTTTTTGTTATTTTATAAATATATAGAAATAAATTGTATACAACATTAAAAATCACAAATATGTTTAAGATTCCAAACAATATAATTATGCATTCTTGAGCCACAGAATCACCAGACAATTCTATCAAGAAGATCAGGTTTACACCCTTATTTATAGGTTTACAACTTGTTGCTTATTTCATTAATTTGTTGATTCTACAAATAAGCAATTTGTTCAATTCCAGAAGCCCTCATATTGATATCAAATTTCTTTGTCATAATTTGTTCTCTATAATGAAACATCTTGGTCGATGCCTATTTAAAGCTTTAAAGTCCATTTTTGCGTATTCAGTATCTTTAATTAAATATAATACAAGAATACATTCATAATTAATTAAATAAATAAATAAAATTCCACAACAGACATAGTCATCGATTAAAAGATGTCGAATTATTAGACAATTCACCATATATCTATAATGTCATTAGCTGAGACATGATCATTGAAAACTATAAAGATCAATGAAAAATATAAAAAATAAACTTTATTAATTAGTTGAGTTAACAATATTTTTGTGGGCAACAGTGAAAGCGTTGGAGATGGTAGTTTTGAGGGCGACATCCTTAATCTTTTTCTCCAAATTTGCTTTCAATGTCTTTGGCAAAACAGCAGCAGCACCAGTTGCTTCTAATAGCTGTGTGAGGTTCTTTTCTCCGATGTTTGCATCCATCATTATGGCGTCAATGTACAATTGCCCATTTTCGTCGTCATTTCTGTCATCAAATGTTGCAGCAATGACAGACAAGGTTGTTCCTTGTTCTCCCATCTTCATGAAGTGCTTGACTAAATCGTTTGAGTCCAGAATATCTAAAGCTCCTAATCCTCGGACTTTTTGAAGTTCCAAAAGTGTCAAGCGATTTTCAATCTTTCTTCTGAGTGGAGCAACGTCTTTTCTTTCTGTTGCAATCACGCAGAGATTGGCAATAGCAAGTAAAGAAGCTGCCTGACTGACAGAGAGCTCGTTCTTGTTCGCTCTGACATATTCATAAAATAAATTCGCGGATTTAACAAAATCGGCGCCGGATTCCTGTATGTAATGGAAGGCCAAGGCGCTTTCATCGAACGATAAGCTTTCCTGGACACTCTTTCTGAAGCCATGGAATTTACCAACTTCGAGAAGATCCGAAACGTATGGTACTTCGCGGTCCGCGTAGTAGGAGATTAAACTCTTTACGCATTTATCGCCATGCTTCTGGTAGCATCTGTCAAATCTGTTGTAATCGCAATCTCTGTGGGACATTTCTGCAATTGCAGTGTAGCATTCTGCCTCTATAGCAATTCTCTCCGCATCAGCGCTTCTTACTTCGAACAACCTCATAATCTGAATTTGAGATGATGGTTGCGTTAAAGCATAGATACGAACTAGGCCGCAGAAAGTGTCGCTCCTGACATCGCAAAACTGTAGGCATGCTATCAAAGCAGCTTCGAAGCTCGCTGTCTCTGCTACGAAATTATGTTTCTGATGAGTCTCGAATCCGGCATGTTCCATAGAATCCATGGATCTCTCGAGGATTCTGAGGAAGGAAGGAGCGAACTTTTGTGGGTTTCCTGCGAAAAAGTTGAATAAAGATGAAATATCTGAAGTTTGTGCAGCAGATCTGATTAAATCTGAGAGTTCTCCGAAATCATCGTTCAATGCTGATTCAAATATGGACATCTTGAAGTGATTCGATGAGAAGAAAGATGTATCAAATTTTCCGAAGTATTGGCCGGCCAATCTATACAATTCTCTGTGTACTGCGAGTCTTTCCTTGATCAGTGTGATGTTTGTTTCGGCAAATTGAGTGTCCAATTCGTTGAAAACTTCAAGAGAAATGTTATGATTACGAAGAACGTTGAAAACGTTTTGTCCGTGTATGAATTGTCTCAAAACAGAACGGAGAAGTTCCAAAAGTGGGATTGAGTTCTCTGGATTTGCAATAAATAATCTGGAAAGTCCTCCTGAGGTCGTAAGGACGCGCAATGTGTCCTGGGAGCCATAAATACCAATAATGAAGTTGTCAAATGTGTCAGAACAACGTAATGAAAGAACAAATTCGGAAAATGAAATCAAATGAGCGGACCAACTTGAGCAAACAATGCAGGCAGTATTAGAAATGGCTGTTATATGAGTTAGGTCGATTGATTCATCAAGTTCTTGTGTAGTTACTTGAGATTCTTCTGAATTTACGTTTAATATACGAATAACTTGGCGTCTGTCATTAGTTAAGTATATGGTATCATCAAACATGGTCGCAGAAACAGGTCTGCCTGATGGAATTGAAATGGTTTTGACTGGTTGATACTCTAAATCAAAAACAGTCAAATAGCCACTCAAAACACCGTATAATTTATCATGGCCGTTGACCAATATGATGCTTTCGTTGATAATGGGGTTTCTGAAGAAGTTTAATCGCTGGTAAAACGGATAATTAATATTTTCGAAAATTCTTTTTTCCGCATCAAAGATTGAGACGGTTCTATTGCTATATATGATTAGTACTTTATTACGATCTAGTGCGCAAAGGCTTGTAACTTGTGTTTCAGCTGGAAATGTAAAAATTTCAGGGTCAAAAACATTTGAAACAAGAACAATTCCAGATTTTTGAGTGTAAGCAACAAGAGAAAGATCAGAATCACAGTCTATTAGAACTGCTTTGTTCCTTTCTACGCATCCAAGTTTGAATCTTGCAGTTTCTCGATCAGTTTCTGAACTCCAGATCATAGTTTCGTTTGGTGTGAAGATTACATATATGTTTGTATTGTCTGAAAGAAGATATGTTAAGCTCCATAAGGAAGGAAGCGGCCTTCTGTAGGCAGAAAGCGGGAGTCGGATATCTTCGTCATAGTTAATTGTATTTATGAGTGAAAAAGCGCTTTTTGCCGCTGTTTTTTCTGATAATAATGTTTCCTGTGAGTATTTTAGCTGAAATAAAGAGATTTCTTCTGTGGAAAGGTCATTTGCAAGAAGGCTGCTATCAAGCAGGTTGTTTTCCCCATTGGAATTCTCACTTTTGTCCTGCATTCGACCTTGTGTCACTTTTTAATGTAAATTTTTTTAATGAATTTTTTTTATAAAAAAAATTATAAAAAAATTTTTTTATTGTTTTTAGAGAGACCACGGACTGTTGTTGTGCCTTATAACAAGTACAGCAAGGTTTTATTTCCATCTATAATAAAAATGGACCGGAATAAAAGGCTCTAAGTCTCTCTAAAAGCAATAAAAAAGCGAAATTTAATTTTTCCTATTTTCACGATTAATTCGGAGCAAATATTTATTCCATCGGCTACCAAGACTAAACACATGCCAGCAATATTCAGCTATTGTAAGACCCATAGAGTCGATTTTTTAAAATTTATCAATTTTTGTAATTAATCAATATAGAAATTACTTTTTGAGCGTACATTTGTGAGAAAGATAGGGCACAGGTGTAGCTTACAAATCATATTATTTGATTTTATCGAGATATAAAGTCGATTTGATTTACCTTGAAAAATTCCAACAAATAACCATATAGAAATACATGTTTTCAGTTACTCAATCAAATTGCTTCAGCTGAAACGCCTCATTCTATTTTTTGCCAATGAAATTATTATGAAATGTTTTTTCCAATTAGATAATATAGATTTGATAACTCAATATCGATTCGATCGAACCTTACAAGTGTTTTACTAAGCAAATGTTCGGCTCTGACGCTTCAAGTGAAATCAGATCCATCTTTGCTTAAAAAATATAAGAAAAAACACTCGTAATTATAGATTTAACCTTTAAATAATTTTTCAAAAAGATACTTTACTGATAAGGATTAGCTTCTCTCTGCATATCGCGACTTTGATCATATTGGATATTATCTAACCAGACCTTGAGTGTTCCCCAATGCATATGGAACCAATACAACAAATTCACCTTCTTCTTTTCAGATTCAGTAATCGGAACGCCTGATTTTTGGGCAACGAGCTGACCTAATTTTCTTAATTCGACGATTTTCATATCTTTGGATACATATGGTTTGAGCTTTTCTTGCATTTGAGCGAGGATTTCTTTGTTGGCAACTTCGTCAACGTATATTCCTGTATCTAATTTATTTACTTTTTTGAGTAATTTTTCTAACTCGGTTGTGATGAGCTTCTGCTTATCTGGGGATTCATATGCCCTCTTCTTGATCTGGTCGAATAAATCATCAAGAGGAAGTGGAAGAAGATTCTCTGGAGGAGCGGTCATTGACCGAACGATACAAATGTTGTCTTTGTAAAGTTTACAAAAAGCGGTTTATTCGTTTAATCGAGTGATTTGCTTTGCATATTTCGTATTAATTACCATAGTTGCTAAAAATCATAGTTTCTCTCAAATATTTTTTCTTCAATTTTGGCGCCAAAATTCAGCACTTTTTGACCTGAATAAAGTTCCGAATTTGCTAGTCATAGCGTTAAATTTAATCGTTACTGACATTGGCATTTGTATAAATTAGAACAAACACATTATGCTATCCATTAAATTTGATTAAAAAGAAGAATTTCTGATGCATCTCAATTTTCTTTCATTATTTCATATTATTTTGCATATATTTTAAATGCATAGCAATTGGATAACTCATTTCTATTATCAAATATTCATAAATCTATACTAACGGCTAATCAATAAAATAAGAATATCGATAAAAGTGGAATTTATTCATCAGGGGAAGATTAAATCGACTAGAAATGTAAATCCGGTATCGTTCAGCGGTTAGGACGTGTGGTTTTCATCCACAAGATCGGGGTTCAACTCCCCGTACCGGAATTTTTTATTATTATTTTTTGATATGGATCCATTTATTTTGAAATCCTTTTCATTTACTAGATAAAACATCAGCAAAAAGATTCACTTGCAAAGAATTAACTCAATTTGTTATGATAACATTTGCATCATCAAAATCAATATGTTCTATTTGAAAGTATGGAATACCAACGAGTATATAATCACTTATATCTGTGGAAATAATGACATTATTAAAATGTGCATTGTGTCTAATTACAGACAATGCCTATAAATTTTAATTCATATATTTCAGGAATTATATTATATTTCTTCCAAAATAACAAAATATATAAGTTATCCTCAAAAAATATATGAATTTATATGATGAATAAAAAAAATCAAACAATAAAGTTATTTTTGAAAGCAATTGAAGCTTAAATCAACAAATACTATCATATTAATGCTCATATTTAAAGCGACGAGCATTTGTACGTTTTGCTCAATTTGCCATTTAGACAACACCTTTTTTGAATTATTTATTATCCTCTCATTTTCCATTATCGCAAGCTTGCATTCTACAGATTAATTTATATTTCGATGTATAAAAAAATTGAGAGTTTTGAAAAAATTTTTACTTATTTTTTATGAAGAAAAGTAAAGCTCATTTTCTTTGGCTCTTATATACACTAAGTGATAAATGCAATGACACAAAGGCAAAAGAACTATGCCAGAATCTAGATGCAATGGATTCTCAAGAATTTTTAGGCTATTTTTCCGATATCAAAACATATATTTTACTAACGAACTATATTTTCGATGTAAATACAGATGCTCCAATCGACATTCTGCATAATCACGGATACTACAGGTATGGCGATGCATCAATATTCGCGAAATCCAATTTTGACGAGATCGCATTTATCAACTTAATTGAATGTTACATGTGGGCAAGCTTAGACAGAAAGATACCGACAAATGTCCTTGTAAAGAAGGTTGGAAGAACCAAAGTTTTTTCACTAAATGATCCAGAAGCAATAATTTGTTCATGGATCAATACATGTTGCAGCACATATACAAAACTTAGACCAGTTACATCTATTTCGCAATATTTCATCGGTTCTAATCAGTTCAGGGCCCTTTTATATTCATATACTCGGGATGAATCATTATTGCAATATTCAGACCCTAAGACAAATGCAGAAATATCTCTTCGTACATGTTCTACATATGGAATTAAGCAAACATTTGAATACGAAAATTATCAGCAATCTCCATTAGTAATCATGTGCTTCTTAGTTGATGCCATTGCCAAACTCGACAGTATAAAGCCATTACCACGCCCAAGAACCATTTCTAGAATGGACATGCAAAGGATCGAAAAAAATATATCAGATACAAAGAAAGAAGTTGAATCCCTTAAAATAAGATGCGGAGTTCTCGCTAATGATGTCAATCTTATCGCTGCAAGATTAGTTAGAATGAAAAGACCTTCAACTTCAATCAGCGCTGTTAAATCAAAGCCACAACTTCCTGTTCAGATGCAATTCCCAGATGGACCAGGACTTCCTCCATTGCATGATCTTCAATCTGATATTCCAGATGACAGACCTAAATCAGCTTTGCATGTCAAATGGGAGATTCCTGTAGAGATGCTTAGTAATAGAGGTGGTGGTAAACTCAAAGATCCACAAAGTTCTCCAGTTGAATCATTGTAATTTTCTCTTTTTGTTTTATTTTTTCATTCTATCTATAAATTGTTATGTTTTCAATGCATATTTTTATTGAAATATTAAGTTTCTAACTATTTTATCTATACCGAGAACGTGAAGATAGTTTAATATTCAAAAAAATACTCTATAGATAGATAAGTGAACGATATTGGCATTCACTGTGATTATGATTCATGTTATAATACCTATGAACTGCAAACGCACAAAAAATAAAAACAAATCAGGAATAATACTTTAATTTTACAAAAGATTTACTTCACTGACACACCACCGAATCATAATACCGAAATAAATAGATATATTCGTTAAAAATTTGTTTATAACATCACATTTACAAAATTATTAAAATAATCAAATAAAGATGATTACAGAAACTAATTTTCATGGAAATATAATCCAAAAACAAGATATTTGTCATATAATTGCGGCAATACTCTGTACAAACATATTTCCTATCGACTATTGGACAACCTAGAAATGTAGATGAATTTTTGGAGAAAGAATCGGAAACATGTACTCTCACATTTGTATTCGATAAAGAATTTTTTTCAAATGTGTTCAATCCGCAATAATATATATCAGCAATTTTCGAATTATTAAAAGCGTCTGTTTCTATAATGCTAACACATGGAGGAAGAATTATTTCCAGTAAATTTGTATAAGAGAAACATAATGCACTAATTTTTGTTGTAAGTGGTGGAAAAATTACTTTAGATAATTTTCTTGATTCATAAAACATCACATAACTAATTGATGTTGCTTTAGCGCAACTCAAATCAACATATTCAAGTTTCGAACAACGCCGAAATATCTGTGGAGAAAAATATTTGACAGGAATTTTCAAAGTGAAATTGACAAAAGATGTGGAAGAGAAACCTCTAGGATTTGAAATTGTGGTTGTGGATGGAAGCAAATCGGTAAAGCAATTGGATGGATACGCATATAAAATTTTGAGATCTTTACTGTAAAGCGCTCTGTTCTTGACAACAAACTCTGGACTTTCAGAATGAAACTCTTCTAAATTTGGAGCACATAAAAAAGCCGCATAGAGAATTTGTTTGCATGATATAGGTATTGTGACATTTCTAATAGCTGCATAGTAGAAACAATTTATGGGAATACTTTCCAAACTATCTGGGAAACGAATTTTTTCAATATAAGACCCAGCAAAATGATTATCTCCCTTAAATTGTTTGATTTTTGTTTGGCTAAAATCAGCAAACTTAAATAAGCATGCATAAAAAGCATATGAGTAGATTTCAATTACATTTTTGGGGCAAATGAATTCAACAATTTTACAATAGTTAAAGGCATAAGAGCCAATATATTGAATAGTATCAGGTAGTTTTATGTAGCTGATGTTACATTTCGAAAATGCGTAATTAGCAATTGATATTACATCTTTTGAATCTACTTGAGGAGGAACTTCAAAAGTTCCTCTTAAATCACCAATACAAGGATCCTTACCGTTTCCAACTTGAATGTAATCTTTTCGATAAACAACATATGTAAATTGTGGACTTTCAGGTTGGCTCATTTATTTGTTGGCATTGTATGATGTTCAATAAGCAAAAATTGCTATATTTGAGAGATATTGTCACTTCATCATGGAAATGACTCCCAGTAGCGGCTGAAAATACAAATTATGTTGCTAACTTTATGATGTATCAGACTCTCTGTTGTAGAACTAATTTTCCTCAGCTGTTATCTATTTCAGCAAAACATAGTAAAATTTTTCCCATAAGGCTCTTTTAAATCATTCTTTATGCAATAAATGTTATTTTACAAGTTCTTCATAAATAGAATCAGCTTCTCATTGAAAAACAAAGCATTACCTTCTGATAAACTGCTTCAAGGAAAACAATTATATTTGGATACATTAACATTATCCATTAATGATTAAAATCTGTGGCATATATCATATGCCGATGTACATCATATTGTAAATCTAAATTCCGAAGTATTATTTTTCTGAGATATCAAATAGAAAAAAAATAATTGATAAAAAAAGTCAGAAATTCAGAATCAAATTCGTTTTATTTATAAAGAGCATACGGAATATAAATATATACTTAGATGATCTTAAGGTAACCCTTGATCTTGCGGACGAGTTCCCAGTCCTCACGAGCGAGCTCATCTCTGAAGTGTTCCTTGAGGAGATCGATGAGTGGTCTTGTCAACTTGGAGACAAAAATGTCCTTTGGATGGAAGTCCTTATCTGCTTCTGGAGACCATGATGCTGGATCTTTGATAAGGATAGCGCATTCCTGGCCGATCTTTGCCTCTTCGATTGGCTGCTGGTTGACCTGGATTGAATCAACTGTACCGATGAATCTTGCATTTTCACCGATTGTGGAGATTGGTGTACCTTTCTTGAGTGTTCCGTCGAGGACCTTGATACCAATGATAATTGGCTTGGATCTGTGAATCAAAGACTTCTCGAGATACTGGAATTCGACTGGCCAAACCATCTGAGCTCTGGCAGCTTCTCTAGCCTTGACCTTGAGGTCTTCGATGTACTTGGCGTACATGTCTGTAAGGTGGTAAATGATTTCAGCGCTGAAAATCTTGATATCGTTTTGTTGAGCGAATGTCTTAGCATCTGCAGAAATTTCGACGTTGAAGCAAAGAACGCAAGCATACTTAGGATTAGCCTGAGCGATGTGTAAGATCTGTTGAATGTCTTTCTTGTAAAGTGGACCAATTCCGACAGCTGCGACGTTGACGTTTTGGCTCTTGAGGTAGGAAAGAAGGGCTTCAAGGGAACCAAGTGTAGATGCTTGGACAAGAAGACCATCTTCGTTCTTGTTGACAGAAGATGTGATAGCAGTGATATCTGCTTCGACACGCTTCTTGAGGATCTCGACATCTTCATCGCTGTGGGCAACGAAAAGTTCGGAACCAGCAATAGCGCTCTGGAGATCTGGTCCTGAGATCTTGCAACCCATAGCAGCGTAGATCTTGTCGTGGTGGAGGTATTCGGAGCGGACACGAAGTTCCTTGAGAGGAGCTGGTGTAAGAAGTGCTCTGATACGACTGACAATCGGACCATTCATACCGGCCAAAACAATAATATCGTTGACGTGAAGGACACCGTTGACAAGGATGACATCGAGTGTTGTACCCATACCCTGTTCGACCTTAACTTCGAGAACTGTGCACTGCAATTCGTTCTTTGATGTAAGGCGATTCTTCATCTGGATGTGGGCACGGAGCTGAAGGATGGCGAGAAGATCTGGGATACCTTCACCTGTAATAGCTGATGTTGGAACGATTGGAACATCTTCAAGTTCGATCTTTGTTGAGATGTTACGGACCCAGTTGTTGAATGGGACACCGTTAAGACCCTGCTGACCAAGCTGGGTGATAACACGTTGCAGACCCTTCTGATACTGGGCCATTGTATGCTGATCCTGAACTTTGACGCCATTAACGAATTCTCTCCAGTCCTTTGACTGCCAGCCTGAGAGACGATCGATCTTGTTAAGAGCGATGATGAATGGAACCTTCTTTGAGACAAGCATCTGAAGGGATTCAAGTGTCTGGTTTTCGACACCGTGCATGATATCAATAACGAGAATAGCGATATCACAAAGTGAGGAACCACGGGAACGAAGGTTTGAGAAGGATTCGTGTCCTGGTGTATCAATGATAAGAAGACCTGGGATATTGTATTCGAGTTTGAATGGACCCTTGAAGAACTGTGTTCTTCTCTTGATTTCGGACTCTGGGAAGTATGTAGCACCGATCTGTTGTGTGATACCACCGGCTTCACCGTCCTGAATGTTTGAGTGACGAATCTTATCTAAAATCTTTGTCTTGCCTGTATCGACGTGTCCCATAATAACACAAATTGGAGAACGCTGGTGTTCTGGAACAGCTTCCATTTCTGTATATTGGATTTTTGACTTTGGTGCTGAAGTTTCCTTTTCTTGCTTAATAGGTTCTGGTTTAACTGGCTCTGGCTTAACAGGTTCTGGCTTCTTTGCTTCCTCTTCTTCGGATTCTGAGGATTCTTGAGCTTGTTCCCAAGCTGCTGGGCCATCTTCCTCCTCCTCTTCGGGCTCTTCCTCTTTAGCATCAGAGCCGCTTTCTTCAAGATCAATATCGTCAATCCACTGTGACATTATCTAAAATTTGTTTTATGACCGCCTTCATTCAATTTTTTTTTCTATGGCTCTTGGAAAATTTTGTCTCTTGTTTGATGTTTTATTGCTTTTTTTATTATGTATTAACTGGCTATGTAATTTTGCTATTTTTACTGATTGGATATTGGATTGATGAAATTAATTTTTTTTCTTCGTTGACGAAAACTGTCCAGTTTTAATGGTCCCTAGTTGATGAAGAATAATGCAGGTACTAATACACATATATGGCACGCCTGAGGACAGATTTCCCATTCCAGATATTGCTTAGATGCTGCGTTAGAATGCAGAATCCCCTTAAGAACAACAATGTAATATCAGATTTCTCAACGTCAGTGTCGAATTCCTTTATTCCATTGGTTAATTTGGATTTGCTCAGTCGAAAATTTTGACTTAAAACTATTGATATGAAATTTGATTCCAATATGTGTATTTTCTATTGAAAATTTATTACAAAATTTTATAAAAATACAAACGTAAATGAATGATATTACGAACCAGCAACTCCAGCTTGCTGAAAAATACATATCCACACTTGCTGACAAAGAAATAATACGTAGATACTATGATGTTAAAAATAAACTACTCTCAGACAGTATAAATACAAATAGATCAATTGAAAACGCTTCAAAGAGCTATTCAAGATCAAAAATAGGAAGAGAAACAGCTATTGATGGTGAATCAGTATCAAGATCAATAAATTCGGATGATCCTAATGAACCAGATTCAATTTGTCTAAAACTTCACGAAGTACAAAAGAAAATTATAACTGGACAACTATTACAAGTATCTACAGATCCACTCGAAGAGCTTGAAACACTAAAAAGAGTTGTTCAAGCTAAAATACAATCTTTATCACTCGTCAGAAATAAAATTAGAGATGAAAATATACGATTAACCAATGACTTCAAGGAACTATCTGCCCAATACAATGCAAAACTATCAGAAGTAAAAGAAAACGGAAATGCGGAATTTCAAAAAATTGTTGATGAAGAAACAGCATTAAATGATAAATATTCTATTGTAGAAAGCGAGTTAGAAGATTTACGAGAAGAATATGATTCATTAAAGGGTGAAAATGAAGAAAAAATCAAAAATCTCACTTCAATATCATTACAAGACTGTCAATCAGATAATCAACTTAAGAAGTTAGCAGAACTTATTCAAACTAAAAGAAGAGAAGTAGAGAGTCTTCAAAAGAACATTGAAAAGATGCAACAAGATATTGAAGATAAATCAAAATCATTGTCGAAGAAGAAATATGGCACAGATGACGAAAAATTACTTGAAGAAGTTGTTCATCTAACAGAACAGATCGATTTGGTTAAGTCTCAAAACGCACAGATCGAACTTAAACTTAAGAAATATCCTATATTAGTTCCCGAAACTACATCTCCTATTGACATTGACGAAGATGAGATGGCTAGACAAATTTTGTTTAATAACGTTAAATAAATTGTTTCTATATGCATTGTTTATTTTCAAATTTAATTCCTTTTTTCCAAATGATTTAATTCAAATTTAATTAGGATCGCATGAAATTTCAAATAACTTACCATTGTACATTAAGCTAAGAGCTATTGGAACTCAAAAGTGGACATAAATAATTTGGATGAGAATTCAAATCTCATTTTTTTCATTGTCTTATTCATTATTTTTCAGTATATTCTTATAAGTTCATTCAGAATATTCGGCATGCTGCACCTTGAAATTCATTGAATTCAATTTTTATTTTTTGAATTTTTGGCGATTGAGTGATTGAATACAATACGATGATGCCAGATGTATCAGATATAATATGCCTTTACTTCTAAAAAGACTTAATAAATGTGATTACAAATTGATTTTACATGAGAAATGAATTTTTTGAGCTCTGATAAAAATTCTTTTCATATATCATAGGATATTAAATAAATAACAATGGGGAGAAGCTTCCTAAACTTTTTAATCCCATAAATATGGTCATTATCTGGAATAAAGAGTTAAGCGTCATATGTCACTTTTTGTACTAAGGAAACATCAACTTTATGCGTTATGACTTTTCGATGAGGAAACAAGTGTTCACGTATTATAAACTTCCTTATTCCAATAAACCGACCCTAAACATAATTAATTCTAAGCATGATAATGGTCTCTTTTCTATGATAACCAAATCAATTTGGTTATCATAGTAAAGCACCAAAAACTGGAATAGGAATCGGCAATATGGAATCATGAAGCAACTCGGATAAAATAAATATGGAACATTCATACATCCATTCCCTATTTTTAACCATATTATATTTTCAAACAAAATTCTCGTACTATTTTCAATAAAATTTGCATAACCTTGTTATTACTCTTAGGCGAAAGATGATTTTAATGTTAATTTTATAGAAGAACTTTTAATGCATAATAAAATAACCATTTCCTATAAATTTAGACTTAAAACGGTGACAATAAACAAGCTTTAGTCTAGAAATTAATTTTCTACTACTATAAATGCATCTTTATCTTTAATTAAAAAAATTTATCAATTTTATTATCCAGATGAAAAAAGAAGTGACATATGATATTTTATCTAATTTAAAATCTTTTATTGATTGTTTTTAAAAACTTTGCATTTTGTATGAGTATTTCATGTTTAAATCAGTATAAATACGCAAAATACTTATGAAATTCCAGCTGTTATTCAGTACTATTCATTTTTCAGCAATCATTAACTGTGGAAGAGTATGGCAAACGTTCGATAATGATCATGTATACTCAGATCATCAAGAATGAATTAAAGTCAATGCAGGGAAATGGATAATCCGATTAAAAACCCCAAAAAGGAAAAAGATATTATATGAACGTCTCACAAATGGTTAGTACTAAGCTCTTTCCTGATGATTGAATATTCTTTCATATTTTTGTATATTGTAAGGGATTTTCTCCCCAAATATATAATACCTTCCTTATAAACGATCTACTTTCTTTGAATACAAGTATAATTTTACATTTTAGGAAAAAAAATTATTTTTTCAAATTTATCTTATAACAATAGAGATTTATATATGTGTGTGTCAATATAGGCTTTAGTGGTATAAAATTGGGTAGATTTTGTTTTATTTTGAGTAAAAAATTCAAAAAATACTACCTCATTTTGCGTGCAAAGGAATAGTCAGAGCTATTTAATAACATTTTACGAATGAACTATGGAATTACTATAACTTTTGAAGAAATTTCAAAGTTAATAGAAGATTGTATTTTAGAAATCAGCTAAAAGAATGATGTGCATGCATCAAGCGTTAAAGTATCCTAATCAGAATATAGTAATATACAATGATTAGCAAAGCAGATTTGAATCGGCAAGAAGAGTTGCTTAAAAATCAGTTGAGTCTTCTCTAGTTTCCACACTGCCTATTCCTGTTTAAGTGCGGTTATTCTTATTCCAGTTTTTGGTGCTTTACTATGATAACCAAATTGATTTGGTTATCATAGAAAAGAGACCATTATCATGCTTAGAATTAATTATGTTTAGGGTCGGTTTATTGGAATAAGGAAGTTTATAATACGTGAACACTTGTTTCCTCATCGAAAAGTCATAACGCATAAAGTTGATGTTTCCTTAGTACAAAAAGTGACATATGACGCTTAACTCTTTATTCCAGATAATGACCATATTTATGGGATTAAAAAGTTTAGGAAGCTTCTCCCCAATATAAAATGTTCTGACAAAATCAATTCAAAAGTGTAAATAAACTGTCAGGAAATTCCATGATATTTTAATAGGCTAAAGTAAATGTTTAGATTTTTGATTTCATAAAAATATAAATATTCTCAAAAGTCAAATTGAAATTTTATTAAAATGTTCTTGTTGTTACTATCATTACGAAGATATAATAATAGTAACATTAGTAGAGAAATCGATACAAAGCTTATTTCAATGTTTCCCGAATGTAATGGACGACTTTTGACAAAAAATTTAGATCAAAACAAAAATCTCGACATTTTCAAAACATTGAGTAATGACGAATATTTATGTGTATATGGATCATTGATTATTGGAGCAAATTCTTCAATATCTGCAAATGTTTTCTATCCAAAACTTGATTCGAGGTTACAAATTTCGATAACTAACAGTACAATCGTTGATCCATTTGTAATAACAAATAAAATAGATACTGAAGACATTTATACTGCTATATATGATATTAATCCTTTATCCAAAGTTTATTGCTCGAATCAACTCCAAAACTGTGAAATTCAGATATCATTCATTCAACAACCATATCATATTTCAACTGAAATAACAAATAATGGAGAAAATATCAAAATTGAAGATGAAAATGTTGTTTATATTTCATCAGATGATAACTTCTCTGTTGATGAAAATGTTTCGTTAGAAATATCTAAAGAAACAATCAAGTATAAAACTTTATCAGTATTCATTACTGGAAATAATAAAAAGATTCTAAAATACGAAAAGAATGATAATATATTTGATATATTCACTTATAATATAATCGATAAAGAAGCAAATCCAAATAGTATTCTTTTCTTCACATCATCAAAAAATATCAACTCAATACTTCCTGCACAAACACCAATTCCAAGTCCAGTTCCTACTCCAATTCAAACACCATTTAATACACCATATCAAACATTATCTCCAACCTTGGACCGTTATGTGAGAGTTAAAACATTTATACATATAGAAGAAGGTATATTAACAGAAACAGAAATTATAATTGGTGTACGACATGCAAAAAGGCTTAACAAAGCAAAGAAATTAGAAAATACAATAGCAACACGAATTGAATATCACAAAACACATCCAATTATTAAAGAAGTAGAACATTTAGATATTTATTATGAAGATTTCGTTTTAATGGGAAATCATCAGGCAAAAAATGATTTAAAAATTCATTCAGAAAAAATAGAAGAACTGAAAGAAACAAAGAATTATTATCCAAATAACACTACAATTGTTCTTAGAACAAACAATGGTGCGAAGAGGCTTGTAGATTTAATTGATGTTTCACATCCAAAGCCTACATCAAAACCAGATGTTGACGCTGGAGTTAAATTCCCATATTTGATAGTATTTTTAAGCGTTTTTGGTGCATTAATTATTGCCTCTACAATAGCTATTGTAATAGTAATCTGTATTAGACGAAATCATAGAGAAAAAACTTCGTCTGATTCAATAACATGCAACACATCAGATGCTTACAATTAATCTCATATTGTTTAAGACACAAGCTCAAATGCATTTCTAAATCTTACTTGAGCATAATAGATGTGGAATATTGTTATCCATCATTGAATTTCATTTGATCAACAATATCTTGTCAAAGAATTGCGAATAATTACCTCTATGAATTGTGTATAATAAAAATATATATATAAGCAATTAAAAATATAGTTAATTTTAAAAATACTTTCAATCAGACAATGTTCTTAAAATACTATTCAAACGAAAAGAAGAGAAGTTGATAGTCTTCAAAAGAACATCGAAAAAATACAACAAGATGCTGAATATTAATCAAAATCATTGCCAAAGAAGAAATATGGCACAGATGAAGAAAAATTACTTTAAGATGTTGTTAATATAGGAGAACTAATATATAACACTGACTTAAACTTAAGAAATATCCTATATTAGTTCCTGAAATTACATCATGAACAAGATGAGCTAGTGAGTCAAACATTTAAAGTTTCTCTCATTCTTTATTCATGGTTATATCAGTAATATTCAATAATCATCATCAGGACATTTTAATTCTGGGCTTGAATTTGTCCAATTCTTTGATCCCCAGTAGATTATATCGGAATGTCAGAAATCAATTGAAAAAGTTTTGATCTGATATTAAAATCTGCATGACCCTTTTCAATAGCATTAATAAGTAAAGTCAAATGAGTCAGATAGCAAGAAGGACAAATTTTCTTCGGTCCTTTTTCTCCTGAAAATTTTGAAAAATTAGGGATTGTTTGGCATCTTCTACATTAGTGTATTAAATTGCGAAGATAATTAGATTTAGAGCTGAAAATTTTTCGAAAAATCGGTAAAAAGGGGGGTTGGCGTCCTAAGGCGTCCTAGTGTAAATTTCTCAAAATTGTGATATTTACATCACATTTTTGAGAGGTTTATGGGCGTCCTAAGGGAAAATTGAATAGCTAGGGCGTCCCGAATTTTCATTCTAAGATTTAAATATATTATATACTTAAGTATAATACAAGGAGAAAGGGACAGACTAGCCCATTGTCACTTTTTAATTTAGCAAATGAACGCTTATGGAGTGGAGTTTTTGGGTAAATCTGATTTGCTTATAAATGAAATAAAATCAAAAGAAACCATATTGGCATTATATTATGCAAAAATAAATGATCTTACTTAGTACTTTTAAAGTTAATTTCAGAAAAAATTTGACACAATGGTATCCGGCACATACAAGTGGTGTACAACCAAAATATAAGTTAGTTTAAACATATATTGCTATATCTCATGATCTTACTTAGTACTTTTAAAGTTAATTTCAGAAAAAAATTTGACACAATGGTATCCGGCACATACAAGTGGTGTACAACCAAAATATAAGTTAGTTTAAACATATATTGCTATATCTCATGATCTTACTTAGTACTTTTAAAGTTAATTTCAGAAAAAATTTGACACAATGGTATCCGGCACATACAAGTGGTGTACAACCAAAATATAAGTTAGTTTAAACATATATTGCTATATCTCATGATCTTACTTAGTACTTTTAAAGTTAATTTCAGAAAAAATTTGACACAATGGTATCCGGCACATACAAGTGGTGTACAACCAAAATATAAGTTAGTTTAAACATATATTGCTATATCTCATGATCTTACTTAGTACTTTTAAAGTTAATTTCAGAAAAAATTTGACACAATGGTATCCGGCACATACAAGTGGTGTACAACCAAATCTTCGACTCGATGAACTTGTCATCGAGTTATATTCCAGTGTTGTTCCTTCATTCCTGATTAAGTTGCAAATTAAAGGTCTGGATTCAGAGAGAAGTGTTAAAGTTATCAAAAAAGTCACAAGAGATTTCGAAGAAATGACACAATTTAAAAAAGTCGAATGCATCAGTATGCTTGAAGCTGTTCAGAAAGGTCTGAAAAATGATACACTTGATCCCAACATTGTTTACTCAACATTAAAAATATTATTGCAAAGAAAACATTTGATTTAATAAACATTTAATTTATTATAATTAATTTTTTATTACAGTATAGTAAAAAATGCTATAAATAAATTATTATATTTTATTAAAATGTGACTTTTAATAGTAAGTGAATAAAATAAATCAGGAATTGGGAAAGAAATAAGGTTAATTAAAAATAATGAAAATTATAAGTTTAAGGTTAATGAAAAAGTGACAATGGGCGAGTTTGTCCCCCACTCATAATACAAGCAATATAAAAATTAAATTTTTATTATGTTAACTTATAAGAAATTTTTTTTGAATTATCGTTGATTTATTGTAATCTTTCCAGGCTATACTTTTGAAATCAACTTTACCTGTCATACGCATTAATGTAGTAGATGTCCAGGTGTAGCTATTATATCCCAGCAACATTGGTATTTTATCATTGTAAGATATCAAAATGAAGCGTTTTTTCAGATATAATTTTTCGTAAATTTTTCAAAAATAAGATGGTAAAAAAGCCTCGACTTGCTCGAAAAATAACAATTTTTTTACTTGTAAAAATAACCCTTTTACAGCATGGGCAGCTATTCAATCACTATTTCTTTTTCTAAAAGTATATTTTTCAAAAAAAATTAAGATCAAATTCGACAATTTCTTGATGAAAGCAAAAATATTACACATACTTCTAGATGCATGGGATAAAATATGCAATTATTCAATCAATTCGCATGATTTGAAAAAAAAATCTAAATTTGATAAAAATGTGGAAATTTTTTATTTTTAACTTGAGATTCGATTTTTTTGATCCAATTTGTGAATTTTTTTTTGATCGGAATTTCAATTAATTTGTTGATCAAAAATGACCTCACAATGTTTGATCATAAGTGAAGTCATCTTCATGGGTATTTAGAAATTCCAAGAGAAATTGCTTATTTCTCGCAGATGTAATATCTGAGAAAATCAAATTTAAATATTCATAGAAACCCAAATCATTCTCCGGTTCGAATAATTCATCTGTTGCTTTTTCTGTTTTTTCTATGAATTTTAATAATTTGATTAATAAATCTTCATCAGGAAGAATTATTGCTGCATTTGTGATAAAATTCCATATTGAGGTAATATGGCAATAATTACATTTATAAAATGTAATTTTACCCAAAATTTTTTGGCAAATTCGCATAATAGCATTAATATTTGAAGCTGAGATTAAACCTGTGATTACTTCTGTAACTTTTGGAAAATCATCGCAATTTAATATCTCTTTATATTGAATTGAGAAATAAAAAAAATCAAATGGATTCATTTCTTCAATTTCAAGGAGATTGTAAAAATTGATAGAAGTGTTATTGCAACAAATTGTATTTGCAGCAAAAAATATCATTTGCTCGATTCCATTTTTGGAATAAATTTGCTGGAACAATGTTAAATTAAAACAGTTGCTTAATTTTTCTTCATCGTTTTCATAAAAAAGTAACAAGTTTGCAACTGAAATTTCAAAATTTTGATAATTGCCAGTTATTTCAGTAAATATATATATTTGCTTTTCTTCATCTAAAAATGGCAAATATTGATTTGCAATATTAACTAAAGTTTGGGATAAATTGTTCCAGTTTGATTTTACAATTTGTGAGCACATTATGTAATATGTAAATTTATCCGCTTTGTAGGAATTTAAAATTGTTTGTTGTTCTGTTTCAGTTAAATTACTGAATTTTTCAAGATTAATATTGTGATAAAAAATAGAATCCTTGAAACATTCTGATATCTTTTCAATGTTTAAAACGGATGCTAAAAAATGTAAAAGAACTTCATCAGTCACTGTGATTTTTTTGAAAAATTTATCCCAATTCAAGCATCCAATTGATCTTTCTGTCATTGTACTTATGCATTGATAAAGTTGATTTAATGAATCCGAAGAATAATCATTATGCTTGACTAGTTGAGTTAGTTGATACAGACTGTCGTCAGCCATTTTAAAAAAATGAATAAAATTGTATAGTAAATTATAGGGTGTCCAAAGGTGTGTTTAGCACAAACCTGAATACTGCGAATAGAAATAAACAAGTTACATATATATAAAGTTTATTTAAATATAATCACCATTGGATTCAATCACGCGTTCGCAGCGATCGATCCAGGCTTGAAAGACACGCTTTAAATCATCATGAGAAAATTGCTCAAATTGCTCTCTTACAAAATTTTCAAGATCATCTGGACTCGCGAATTCGCGTCCTTCAGCTCTCTTTTTTAGCGTGCCGAATAAATAAAAGTCAGAGGGTGCAATATCAGGTGAATAAATTGGGTTTGGAACAACTTTGACATTGTTTTCCAACAAGTAATTCATTACCTTATGACTTTTGTGAACTCTTGAATTATCAAAATGAATTGCAAACTTTTGTTTTTGTTGTTTGGATTTCTCAAACTCATCAGAATTGATAATTTGAGTAAGAACATTGTCAATTAGATACTGAGCATTCATCGTATTAGGTTTTTGAAGAATATCAATTGCGATGATGCCATTCACGCCCCAAAAAACCGACAACATCATCATTGGTGTGTCAATTTTTTCTTCGGGAATGTTTGCGGATTTTCATCCTTCGGGATCCACATGATTTTGGCTTCTGTTGCATATTGAAACCAAGACTCGTCCCCTGTTACTAAAAAGCGAAACTTCTTGGATTGATACGCACCCAATATAGAGAGGAGCTCTTTCGAAGATTGGACTCTAGATTTTTTTTGAACTGAATTAAGGTTGTGCGGAACCCAACGTGTATACGCTAGTTTGTAGTTCAAATAATTGTGCAGATAATAACTGACTGTTGTACGTGGTATCTTTGTCATCTCCTCTATCCTTCTGAGTGATGCTCTTGGGTCTTCATCTAGCGCTTGAAGAATTGCTTTGATTTTTCTTTGATCCGGCGATTTTTTGTCAATTTTTATGATGGGCGCCTTTTTGTTCATGAAGTGATACATCCTAACATGATACGTTACAGTGGAATAGCTAGGAGCATCCATACCGAAGCATTTTACCAATGTCTCGTAGATTTTTTTACAGTCTTTGCATTTTTTTGCAAGAGCGAGGATGTTTTCTTTATGATTCATTAAAAAAATGAAAAAAATCCCGCCAAAATTTCCCGCGAAACCGCCTCTTGTCTCAAAATTCATTTTATATCCCGGCATGGCGCCAAAATACAACATACTCATCATATACATATATTCATATTTTTTATTATATATTTATAATCAGCATATATCTCCTTTAATAGTCTCATATAGAGCGCTGTGCTAAACGCACCTTTGGACACCCTATATATTTGTGAAATTTGTGACGCTACATTCAATCTAAGACCAATATCTCAAAGAATTCCTCATTTAAGTATTACTTTTCATTGTTTTTTAAAAAATATCTTTGCTTATTTGTTCACTTTTTTGACATTTATTATATGCTTTTTATCAAATTTCCGATGATATGAATATATATTCTATATAAGAATGACGCTACATTCAATCTAAGACCAATATCTCAAAGAATTCCTCATTTAAGTATTACTTTTCATTTTTGATTCAATTTTCGAACGGTTTTCGTAAATTTTGCATCATTTCATTTTTTAATGGGAAAATCATCTATATTTAATCAAAAAAGAGCAAACTTTACAAACGAAAATAAAATATTTATCAGGGAACAATCTGATAAATACCAAAAATCAACATCGAGAGATGAAAAAACGAATATAATCAAACAAGTTCTTCAATATTTTAATATTAAATACGCCGAAAATGAATCTAAAGCTGTCAGAAGATATTTTAGTTATATTGCAGTTAAAAATATTCCCGCAGTTACTGGAAAATATCCTGATACAATTGTTCGCAAAGATATGCTTTATTCGCATGATCATACAAATATTATTAATTCAAATAATATTGAACGTTACTACCGTTGCATCGATCATTCTTGTCAAGCACGTTATTTAGTTAAAATTGAGAACAGTTCAGTTTCCGAAGATTTACAAAAGGAACATATACCCGAATGCAGACAATTTAAAAAGTTACAAAATGAAAAAAATGATCTTCATAAATCAATGACTCTGACAGAAATATACAATAAGGCAATGGCAAAATTTTCTGAAGACAACGGCACTTTTCAGCAGATTAAAAAATTTATGACAGAACTTGCTGTTGGTACTGATGAAAACCCATTAATTAAAGATTCATTGGTCAGGGAAGTTTATAATAAGTCCAGAAAATTTTCTGTTGGAGAAAAAATTACAGACGATGAAATTGCTAATTTTTGTTTAATAAATGGCGAGCAGTTTTTCATTGGCCATGATTTTCAAGCAAATTGTGAGACGATGTTTTTTGGTTTTGAGAAGGCAATTCAATTTGCAAAAGAAGCCACAGATTTATTTTGCGATGGAACTTTTAAAATTACACCAAAACATTTTCAAAAAGGACAGATGCTAACAATTATGATTTGTGAACCTTCAACAAATCAATATCTACCACTTTTATTTATATTCATGAAAAACCGCACATTTGAATCTTATAAGAAGGCATTTGAATATATTTTTACTGTCAAGGGTATTCAATTTTCAAAGCTAATTCAAATTCATTGTGATTTTGAAAAGGGAATGATAGAGGCACTTCAACAAATTTTCCCTAAAGTCCGTATAATTGGATGCCTATTTCATTTCAAACAAGCTTTACACAGGAAACTTGTAGCACTTTATACAAAAAATTTCAATACTTTACAAAATTCTTTATTTAAGCTATATTCTATTACTCCATTCATGTCTCATGAAGAATTTGTACTTACAATGCATATAATTAATCAAAATAAAGTTGATTCGATCAAAGATTATATTGATTATTTCAACAAAGTTTGGTTGCCGCACTACAATTTAATATCTCAATATAATAATGCAACTGCAATATTCACTAATGATTGCCTCGAGAGTATGCATTCAGAATTTTCTTCGTTAAAACATCCAAACATTTATGAAGCTATTAAGAAGATATCTCAAATCCAATTAGATAAATATAACGCCATCAAAAATAACCAGAAGATCGAGCGCCATATAAAAACCGTTATCACTGATAGCTACAAAAATTATATTCTTGACTGCTTTCAAAAAGAACTTGAGAAAACAATTTTTTCTATCAAACAATACAACGTAAGTGATCTTTCTTTGGCTCAGAACGAGATTTCTCCATATGGTTCCATAGAATCGAGTTCATTGTTCGAAAATATTCCAGTTCATGATGCAGATATACTCAAATCGATCGATCTAACAGATAAAGATACAATGATCACTAAGTTTATTAATGAAAAAAGAGAAAAAATTATGGCATTATTTAATGAAACATTAAATCATCCAGATTTTAATTCATCCACTCCAATTCAAACTAATTTTGAGCAAGCCGATACAAATCAAGGTTCAGATGCTCCAATTCGCTCCGAAAATTCAAATATTGCAGACTCTACAGATTTAGAACCAGAAAATCAAAACCATCCTTCTACAAATCAAATGTCTAGTAATCTAGAACATAAGCTGGACCTTCTTGATCATATTGAAAAACAATTATCGAAAATGCGCTCGTTATTGGGAATTCTTCCTACTACAAATGCTATTGTTGGGCCGTCAAAACAAGTTTCAGTTAATAGCAAGCAAAATTCTGAAAAAAATAAGAAAAAATCTTCCATAACAACAAAATCAAACAATAAAAAACAAAATTCATCCGACAATCCTCCTAAACGTAAAGCTCCTATTTCGGAAAGGATTCTCAGCGATAATAACTTATATTTTCAAGTTCATCGAAAGAGATCGAAAAGCAAACGTTCCACATCTACAGAGAAAAAGAATTGATATATGAAGTCTAATTCCTTTTATAACTAAAAAAAAAAAAAAAAAAAAAGGTAGTGGGGCCTCCAGGCACTTCGTGCCCTCTAGCCCTGAAGATGTTTAGTATAACTTTGTCCGGACAAGTAAGGGTCTATCGTCGCTACAGGAAAAGTTACAGGCGTTCCAAGGAAGTAAACTTTGAGAAGCCTTTTTCCCCTTATAGAATGAGATAGGACGGTTATTTTACAAAACTGACAACACTTTGACCGAGTAGTTTTTTGTGCTGAACAAAAAGTGTCATATAAACATCTGTCAAAAACCGTTTTTAACTTCACTTAAAATGCCACGTAAGCTACGTAAGAATATACGTAAGAGGAAGAGAGCATTGAAACATCCAATAGTAAAACTGACACCACAACAACAGTTGCAACAACAAATGATGAATGACCCCACTATGTTGCAACAAATGTCAAGCAACCCTATGCTTTTAAACCGAGTTATTGGTGCACAGAGTGGAGGTTTAAGAGCGGCACTTTTAGCGAAAATGGCAGGCTATGGTGGAGCTGCAGACGGAACAGCTTATAACCCTCAAAGTCAAATGAATTTGAGTTCACTCAAAAATCAAATAACAGATGTCAAAAAGTCAAACATAGACATACAGAAACAAATAAGTGAAAACGAAAAGAAACTAGAATATGACAGACACACAAAGAAACTCAATGAGTTAAACGTAGAGAAAAAGAAGAAAGAAGAACAACTGAAAGAACTAAGTACAGAGGAATATGCGAAAAAAGTGTCAGAAAAAGCAGCAGAAGTAGCAAAAATGGAACAAGATGTTATAAATTTGAAAAACCATACTACTCAATATAAAGTACTGAAAGATGAAGAGATAAAACAAAAAGCCATGAAGACATATATGGATAGCGATGAGTATAAAAAAGAAGTTGAAGCAAATGTAAAGGCAGAAAAACTTTTACAGTTGCAAAACCAAACCGTACAGTATGAAAACTTAGCACAAGAAAGTAAAAATAACGACGCAGCCATGCAAAAGGCAATGAAAAGCGCAGAATATATAAAAGCTAACAATGACTGGTTAGATGCCCAAGCCAACGCTAAAGCAGCCCAGCTTATAGGGTCAATAAGGACAAAAATACAAGCGGATGAAGACAGTTCAAATGAAGCTTTAACAAATGCTGACTTTAAGAACGCCTTCGAAGCTCTTCATAGTAAGGTGAAACAAGTGAACGACTTCTCATCTGGAAAGAAACTGAAGTCTGAAGGTTTCGACAAAGAGTTAAAAGAAGTAGCACAAAATATGACGAAAATAACAGATGCAGCAACGAGACAGGCAGTTCAAAGTGCCTATGACGCCGTTAGAGCAACTGTTGTGGAAAGTCAAGAAAAAGAGTTACAACAGACCAAAACAGACCTAGTAAATGCTTTCTTAAGAACGAAAAGTCAGGTAGGACATTATGCTGCAGATGGAACATATGTGCCAGCTGGTGGAACTTATATACCAGCTGGTGGAACTTATATACTAGCTAGTGGAACTTATATACCACCAAACCCTCCAAGAGAAGCACCTGCACCAGGACTACCTAAAACATTTACATCGTCACATGGACACAGACACAGGCATGCACCAAAACCAACACAACAACCAACACAACAACCAACAGTTCAAAACACTGCACCACAACCAACAGTTCAAAACCCTGCACAACAACCACCTCCACAACCAGCACAGCAACCAACAGTTCAAAACCTGCACAACAACAACCACAAACAGAGCAAGGACATAAAAGAAGTAGAGAACAAGGAAACCAAGATTTCTTAAAAATGCTTAAAGAAGACTATGGTTACCCAGATACTCTTGACTTTAGTGACAGATATAAAGAAGCTATTAGAAAGTTCAAGGAAGGAAATACTGACCCGAACCTATTTAGCTTTATGGTTCAGCACCAAATGGGATATAATTTCAAACCTGGAAAATACAAGCTCGCTAAGGGATATGATTTAATAGCATATCATCCAAATGACATGAACGAATTTACTCCGAGATATTTGGTGTCAGAGATAAATGATGATTCAACTATCTTCATGAAACGCGTAAAAAATAGAGACGGAACGAAAGAACAAAGGCTTATGAATGCGGATGACTTAAATAGGGAACTTGTTGAAAACGGTCTCGGAATATATGAAATGCCAGCAGATGAGGTACAAGAAACTCCACAGGAAGAAGTTCAGATACAACCAGACATGGAAGAAATAGTTCAGCAACAACAGCTAGAAGAGCCTGAAGGAAACGAACAAGTCCCTCCTTTGGAAACTAACTTCACAGAACTAGATGAAGATTTGGAACAGCCGAAAAATCTTGACCCTCAACAAGAGTATGAGGTGAATATGGAATCTTTCCAAGAGTCTAAAAAAAATTCGGCTGACATGGTAGAAGAATATCGAAAAATGTTTGCCGACATACAAAAGACTCCAACATCAGATGAAAATATTCAGCATAGAATGGAAGTACTGAAAGAAAATGTACACAAATACAACAATCCTTTTTACTTACGACCATATAACGTTCAATCTTTGGCTGAACTCGGTGAAAATAAAAGGTTAAATTTCAACAAAACATATAGAAATGAAACATTGTTTAAAGTTCATTCAGAACCTAACCAATATGGAAACAAACCTACTTTTGTTTCTGCAGACTATGGAACTACAATGAGATGGGGTCATAAAGCTAACCCGGATAGGTGGTTCATAAACTTACAACCTCAATTCCAAGAAGTTGTAGACGCAATGGAAGTCAATGGTGAACCAGATTTAGCTGGTATTTTCAGCGCGGCTTTAATGCCATTGAAAGATATGAAAGATGCAGATATTTTGAACCAGTATGAAATGAACATGGCTGATGGAAATATAACACCTGACGTTCTAGAACATTTATCTCAAAGAACTACACAGAACCATAAAGATGGTATATTTGGTGAAGAGTTTAGAAAGAAAGTTAGGGAGACAGAAGGAAGAGAACCTATTGTACATGACCTTGCAAACGAAAGTTTACAAAATGTCATAAAAACTTACTTTGCAGACAATGAACCGAGAAGGGATGAATATTTAAGAAAACTCAAATGGACAGTACCAAATGAAATGTTAGTATTGAAAAACATGTTCCTTGACAAAATAAAACCAACTACAGAAATAAATGACGCAAGACTGAAACATTGGGTAAAAGCTTTCCCATTCACAAAAGATATTGTTGGTAACATGGAAAGAAAACCAGAATGGCTACAAAAACATATATTTGGAAACGAGCTTATTCCATATGGACAAGCTCTGTTTGAAGAGCTTGAACCGGAAACTCAGGAAAGAGTCATGCAAACAATACGCGAAGACTCAAATACAAACTATGACAAAATCTTTCTAGGATATAGGTTACCTGAGATGGGCGACCAGAGCCCAAAGGCAAAAAGGACATGGGAAATTTACAACATACTAGGTGAACATGAGGCAAAGATGCAACAACTTGAAGCAGAGGGCAAGTTACCAAAAGCGACACCAAAGAAGAAGAGAAGAGTAGAACAAAGTGAAAGTAGTGAAGATGCAACTAGTGAAAGTAGTGGCAATGAAGGAAAAAGAAGAGTTAAAAACTCAGTCAGGAAGAAAGTAAAGCTTGGTCCGAGTGGGTTCTATTATGACACATAAATCCAACTATTCTATATTTTTACCCATATGAAATGTACGCCGCTCAGAATATAACGCCAACAGTTTTGGATGCCATGAACGGAAATGTTTCCGAATGGTATAACGAATGCGACAATGCCATTAGAAGGTCAGAAATAGTTCCTGGAACTTACGAATATACAACTGCTGTTTCTTATGGAAATGTAGGTGAGTTTGGAGAAGGTTCTTCAACAACAGTAGATATTGCTTGCGACAGGTTTCATATAATTTCTATTGACAACTCATTCTTATACGTGGAACAAGACATTGAAATAAAACCTTCTGCCAAGTTGTCTGACAAGAAAGGTTGCAATGGAATTTTCTATGTCGGATACCAATATGCTCCAGAAGTTTTCATGGGATATAAGATATATTCTAACTCTGACTTAGTTCAAACAGTAACATGGGCAAACTATGAATGGTTCGCTTTGAGAAACTCAGTACAACCACAAGCTAGAGAACAAACAGACCAATATGCAACTATTGAGAAAATAAGAAGACTTGACCCTAACGTTCCAGGAGTTTATGTTAACCTTTCTGGTTCAGATGGAAATGCTGTCACTAAAGTAAAACTGAAACTTAGAGTTCCTTTGTCATCTTTCCTCATCTTCAGGTTTTTAAGATACTTGCCAAACTGGGCAGGAAAAATTTCTATTGAACTTACTCCAAGCAAAAATAACTTAGTCATTGCACCAACGCAAGACCCATTCACTCTTACAGACGTAAAGGGAGCAAATCAAACGTCATTCGCCGAATTTTGCAAAGACAAAGTTGACTTAGACTTTGGTTTCTCAAACCTCAACACTGAAGTAAAGTATTATTTCAATGCTGCTGGAACTGCTTGGGACCCAGTTAGGTTTACATGCGAACAGTTTGAATGCAAGAGAATAGAAAGCAGACTTGCAGTCTATATGTTGGACCCAGATATTTCAAATGCTTTAGCTGCCAAATATATTGCAGTTCCACTTATGTTCCCTATACACCAAATCTGTCAAAGACTTTGCAGGTGAAGTTGGAAACCAAAATCCAGGAACCGCAGGTGCAAGAACAGATATTGCTTTAACAACTGCAATGAAACACGCAGATACTATGTTTGTACTGTTCAGACGAACTATAAATGACTATTCTTGTTTCTACAACCCCGGTATTAAATATCATATAAACATAGATGGCAAATATTATCCAAGAGAAGAATATTCTACAGTTGAGGATATGAGGTCATACAACTTGACATTAGATGCTATGAACTTTAACAACAACTTCACAACAACCATTAACCCTGAAATGCAAAGTTCTATTATGCCATATGTGAAAGTATGGACCCATACAGGAAGTCAAAAAACTCAATATACAAATGGAGACCGTTCAAACTTTTGGCTTGGCATTCCATTTGCTGACTCAGAAGACTTTATGGGTGGTATTTCAACTGTTGGTACTGTACAAATACAATATACTGGTGACAGAGACGGTCCATATGAACTGAGAGCAAAGAAGTTTACAAAACCAATAGCACTTTTCACGGAAGATGCTCTTTTGAAGATTCGTTCGATGAAACCTGCTGGGGCTCCTCAGATTGGCATAACGACAGCTTCCATCGAGCAGATTTTGGCAGCAGGTCAGTAAGTTGTTCTTGAACTGACTTCTCTCCATCGTAAATAGTTATGACACCAGTTTTGACATAAAATTGTATTATAAACTTACCTTTAGAAATATCTGTAAGTTTTGTTGTTATATTTTTGTCTGCTTCAAGAACTTTCACCATTTCAGTTATACCAACTTTCTTTGCTTTATGAAAATATTTTGGTTCAGCAAAGACTGCTATTCTATAACATTTACCATTGTTTGTATAAAGAACTATTCTGTCAATGTATTTGTATTGTTTGTGTGTGTAAACTTTGTTCTGCTTCAATTCGAAGAGATACTCAAATACGTCCATCTTTTTATTCTAAGTAAAATGTCATTTCCGAAAAATAGAAGCGTGAATGTTTCAAAAGGTTTAATGGCGGTGGCAGATGTGAAGTTAAATTCACCAACTCAAACAAACAGTCAAAGTGTTATTGTCAATGTCAAAGAAAGAGATGTTGAAGTGGGGAAACCATACGAGGACGAAGATGGTATAACAATTGTTCCTGTAAAAGAACAACCAACATATCCTGAAGTTAGCAGAGACTTAAGTTCTGTTGCAGATATTCGAAACGACTACCAACAACTTAAAGACAAACTTCAAACTCAGGAGAAGATTTGTCAAGCTTTAGGTATAATGTTAAACTTGGTCGAACACAACCCTGTAAAAGTGAACTCATATGTCATTGCACCTCATGAAGTTTTGAAAGAACTATTGAAACTTTTGACAGAGGCAGACGATATAAACATCAAAGAAATAGAACCCGACGTTAGTTGCTGTGGTGTTTCATATAATGTCATTGACAAGATATACGTTATGAAAGGAGGTGAAACGTTGAACTTAAAATATAGTTTCCCAGACGTTATAAAAATATTTGACGACCACAACATTTCATTAAAATTTATTTGCTAAGTAAATGGCAGAAGACATAGTGGTTTATACTATTACGACTAAAAACCCTGAGTCATATAATTCTATAACAACAAACTTACAAAGTCCTCAAGGACGATATTGTAAACTAACTTTAAACACAATGACGACTAAAGCTTGTTTTGCTCTTTTGACACCAGAAGATTTTATTGTTGTGAATGGTAAAAAATACTCCTTTGAAGATACTTACTCAGATATACCACCAACAGGTTTTGTTGACTTATTTAATACTTTAAGGACGAGTGTAACATGTGCTGCAACTAGAGCAGGTTTCATTATGTTTGGATGTCCGACTGAGTTTACTATAAACAATATGAGCTATAATACAAAACTTATATCTGGTTTTTACTACCAACAGTTTCCTATAACAGGAAAAGGTGTCATACAAGGAATGTCTATTCCATTGACTTTAAGTACACCTATTTTATATATTGTTTCAAACTTAGGTTCAAAGTGTTATTCGAATGTCGACAGAAACTATTATGACCAAAAGATACTTATGCGTATAAACAACACATTCTCTGCTGGTTTGCCTATTGTTCATTCGAATGCAGAGTTTTCAGCTTTAGTAAACTCAAACACTTTAGCAAACATAAACTTAACCTTAGTTGACGCAAACTTTGTTCCTGTAAAACTTTTATGTCCTATGTATTTGTCAATGACGGCAGAAAGTTTCGAATTGGAAGATGCAACTGGTGAAAGTATTGTATTACAAGAACAACTTCAACAACAAATAGCTCAAGAACAACAAATAGCTCAAGAACAACAAATGCAACAAATAGCTCAAGAATAAAAAAAATATTTTTTTTTATTTTTATAAAAATGTACAGAATAGATGTTTCAGATTTTTATGACTTCCAAGCATTCAGAAATATGTGTCCATTTCGAGACTATAACAAAGCAGTCGAGAATTTGAAACGTTTAGTCATTTATGTTGACTCTGCCCCAGAATGTTATGTTATGAAAGAATGGGATGTAGTCTTTAACAAACCTAAAGCGACAATAGTTTCAGAACAAGAATGTAAACAGAAACTTAAGAAAATAAAAGTTGTACAAGTTGGCATGAAGATGTTAGATGCTTGGGATATCTTATTGTCAAAGTTAGAAGATTTTTCAGTTCGAGGTATAAAGTTCTATACACCTTCTCCAAACTTCTATTCTATCTTCACTGGATATAAATACGAACAAGTAGAATGGAAAGAAAATGTTATAGAAGCTTGGTTAGACCATGTCAAAGAAATTATATGCAATGGAAACGAAAGAGTCTATGAGTATATCTTATGTTGGTTTGCAAACATCTTACAACATCCAAGTGCTAAAAATGAAACTGCTCTCATTATAATTGGAAAACAAGGAACAGGTAAGAACACTTTCTTTACAGATATTTTGTGCAAACTGTTAGAAGGTTATTCGAACCCTAATATGACAAACTTAGAAAACATCTGCGGTAAATTTAACTCTTCAATAGAGAATATGAAACTTATAGTTTGCAATGAACTTCAAAGTATAGATACAACAAAAGTTTTAAACTCAGATGCTTTGAAGAGTCTTATAACAGACAAAGTTGGAGTTGTTGAAAGAAAATATAAAGACCAAAGAGTTTGTGAAAATGTTGCAAACTTCGTTATGGTTTCAAACAATGCTGTTCCGATGAAGTTAGAAAGTTCTGACAGAAGATATGTAGTTGTCAGAACGTCAGATTCTCATATGCAAGATACAGAATATTTTGATGACTTAGCAGAAACTTTGACATCTGACTTTTACAACCACTTGTTCTCATATTTTATGACATTAGATATTTCAAAGTTCAATCCAAGACAAATTCCACATACCGAAGAGAGACAAACATTGTTAGAAGCAAACAAGAGTGTATATGAACTGTTCATAGATGAAACTGACTTTGAGTGTTTAGATGAAAGGTCATTGTACGATTCGTATAAACAATATTGTCAAGAGTATGGTTATATGACAGCGTCTAAACGAACATTCTTGGCAAATGTCAAAAGTCTTTTAGACGTACAGAATGGTGTATATACAAAGAAAAATTTTTCTGAGTAAATTTTAAAAAAAAATATTTTTTTATCCGATAGAAAAGATGACAGAAAAATTAACTTTTTACATAGCGCCACACCCTTCTTGCCCACATCTTTTTAAGCCACAATATATAGACATAGAACTAAATAGAGAAAGCGAAATTCTACAAACAGAAGAAAGCGAAATTCCACAAACAGAAGAAACATATAGAGACCTAGATAACGAAAATGGATATGCGCTATTCTGGTTAGATTGTCCTTATGAAATGTATGAAAAAAAGGCTTTATATGAAGAATATAGAAAATATTGTCATGAAAACGATATAAGACCAAGCTCTAGAGAAAAATTCTATGCTGGTATAAAACATCTTTTCGAAGTTCGGAATGGCAAATATAGAAAGAAATAATTTTTCTGAGTAAATTTTAAAAAAAATATTTTTTTTATCCGATAGAAAAGATGGCAAAATTCATCTCAGTAAACAAGTACATGTCAGGACTTAAAGAAGAACTAGACCCATTCACATATTTGAATGTTTACTTCTACCATTTTGAAAAGTCTTCATTCAGCAAAGTTTGGAACATCGAACCAGTTAAGTTTGCTATTGTGACTAAAAATGGTGCGAAATTTGAAGACTTAGACATAGAAGGTTTGTTAGCAGTCAAAGAAAGTTTTGACAGAAGGTTCTCAAAACTCGAAGAAGGCAAAGCATACAAACTTGTTATACCTTATGAACCAAAGAAAGCAGACGACTATGAATATTATGAGTCTAAAGTTGTAGAAGTTCAAGGTAAATTGGGTAAAAAGATTTTAGAGTCTAAGCCAGTGTTTGCTCCTAAAGAGGAAGAGAACATTGACATTGACCCAGAAATGTTCTAAAAATAAAATTTTATTTTTACATGTCAAATTTCTTTTTCTCTGGTTCAGGTTCTTTCTTCTCTTCTTCTACTTTCTTTTCTTTCTTTTCTCTCTTCTTCTTTTCTGGTGGAGTTATGTCAAACTTCTCAGAACCATATTTTTGTAAAAGTTCTTTGTCCTTTAATAGCTCTTCTATTCTGTTTTCTATTTCATCTTCAAGAACAGTGCATGTGTCTTCTTTGCATTCTAAGAAGTTTTGTTGGACTTCATCTCTCCAAGAGGCGTCATCTCTGTCAACAAGTCTGTCATTGACAAATTTTAAGACTTCTCTGCTTAATGTTTTATGGTTCTTGTCATATTCCCAGAAACAGAACTTTAGAACAAATTCACCTTTCTTGTTTACACTATGTAAGATTTTATGGTCGACAGATGTTTGTGCTGTCGAAAAGCTTGTCTCGAATATAGATGGCGAAATCGCTAGACATTTTCTAAAAGATAAAAATTTTAATTTTTCTAAAAATATGTTAGAAAAAAAGTTTGCTGACATTACAAGAAAATTTGAGAATGTTTTAAACAAGAACAAGGTGAAGTTAGAAAATGCTCAGATAAAGCCTATACATGACAAGTTCTTATTTGCTCAGAATGGTATAACAGGTCTAATTGCACCACCTGGGTCGGGTAAGACTTTCACTTATCTAAAATGGCTGCACAACAACAAGAACTAGATGAGAAGAACCCATCTATGAGTTAGTTGTCATTTGTAGTACTTCTGGTCAATTTGACCAAACCGTCAATTCGTTCAAAGATATTATAAAGAAGTCTAAGTTTAGTATGTATAAAGGATACTGAGTTGTTAGATTGGATAAAGAAGTACAAAGAAGAGTTTTGAAGTACAATGCTATAAATGAGTATATAAATTCGAAGTTTAAAGACCCAAATGAGGAAATGCAGAGAATATTAGAGAAGAAACACTTCAGAAACAAACAGAAAGAGATAGAATACATTTCGAAGAAATTGCAATCTTACGATTGGAAGACTTACCCTCATAGATGTCTTCTTATCTTAGATGACTTTGCTTCTCATCCTTTGTTAAAGAATAGAGAACAAGATATGTGTCGAATTCTTAAGAAGCTCAGACACTTTAACATCTCAGTTGTCATTTGTGTACAGACAGCAAAGAGTTTAAGTAAGGATGTAAAGAGAATACTTACTGACATTGTATTTTCCCCGGATTGTCCGAAGACGATTTCATGGAACTTATGAAAGAGTCCATGGCAGGTAAGTTGACAGACATGAACTATGGGAGAAGTACAAAGTCATACAAGACCCTCATACTTCTTTCAGAATTCACATCTACGCAAACAAAGTTCAAATTGTAAAAAGTCAAGCTTGAAAAATATAAGTGTTTAGTCTTAGTAAGATGGTAGCTTCTTAAAGCAAATACCATTGCTGAGTTTTATGTACGTGAAGAGAAGTACAATGAATTCAATTACGAGTACAATTGCAATGACAACTAAGGCAACTATTTTTGTCTTTTGCCAGCAAGGGTACTTCTTCTCTTCCAATGGTTCGGCAGAACTATACTCACTCATGAGAAATGCCAAAACGGTTTAATAGAAAAAGTGAAAGTTATTCTTCATTTTTTTGTATGTAAGATATGATTTTAGGGATTTTTTTGACGAAGTGTCAAGTTCTCTTCGTAAAAAAATAACAGTTATATAATGAAAAAGTGTCATTTTTTCACGATTTCAGGGATTTTTTTGACGAAGTGTCAAAGTTCTCTTCGTAAAAAAATAACAGTTATATAATGAAAAAGTGTCATTTTTTCATGTCCGAAGACTCGAAGGTGCAACACTTCCAAAATACCGACGAACTCAGAAGAGCAGCATGGCAGTATTCTTGACAACTTCTTTGAGTTCTCCAGGTACACCTTGGAAAATGCTGAAGAACTCCGACACAGAGAATTTGGAGAAATTGCACTCCAATACTACCTTGACAAACAAAGGGTAAACAAAGGGTAAAATAAGACTAAAAACTTAACGTTTAAAAAGTGACATTTTTAATGAGCTCCGAGTCACCGAGAAAACTTGGTCAGATGTTAGCAGCTTACTTCCCTGAGGAGGATGGAAGCGTTACATACGTAAGGTTCAAAAACAACGAACCTGGAATTGCGTACCAAATTCGCAATTACATGACCATGGAAGAGTACGAAAGGCTCCTACAAGAGAAACCAGCTCTAAACAACTCAGAAAAGAAAGAATAAAAAGTTTAACTCGTAATTGTTTATTTTTTTACTTGTATGGGCAAGCTGCAAGAATGAAGTCGACTATCTCAGTCTTTGTCTTGACGAGCTGGACGGCTCTTGCAAGTACGTCTGTTTTGCGGTCTCCAGCTGGTGTTTGACCTTCGTAATTGCGCATGTTCTTGAGAGCTCCAACTGTAAATGATTGTAGGATGAAGAGTCTCTCAGACTGCTTGAGGTAGTCTTCACGGTCGCGAACCGAATCTGTGGTACGAGTCGAATCGGTCGATTTGAGGGAAGAGACTGAAAGCCTGTCATCTTCCATTGGAGCTGTAGCATACTCTTTGCGTAAGCGGTTCAGACCTTCTTCGAAGTCTTGGTCTCTCTTCGATTGAGATTGGAATTGGAATTGCTGGGGTGGAGCTTGCTGGGATGGAGCTTGCTGGGGTGGAGCTTGCTGGATGGAGCTTGCTGAGATTGGAATTGCTGGGGTGGAGCTTGCTGGAACATCCAAGGGGGGGAAGTAAGGCATAGGTTGAGGAGGAGGGTAGTTCGGGAAGCCTTGTGGTGGGTAGTAACATTGAGGTGGAAATTGGTAGTAATTTGGTGGAGGTACTTGCTGGAACTGAGGTGCAGGGGCTGGTGCTTTAGGTTCTGTAGCTTTCGGTACTTCTGGCTTTGGAAGGCATTCAGGAAGAGGAACGTCAGTCATCCGTTTGTGTCCTGTCGGAAGGAAAATTTTTTCCTGTCGGATGGAAGGACTCGGAATGCCAGAAGGAAGAACTTTTCCTGTCGGAAGGAAAAATTTTTCCTGTCGGAAGGAAGAACTTTTCCTGAAGTTCGACCAAAAAGTTCTCAATTTTCGAAAATTTGAATGGTTTACGGACGGACAACTGGAAAATTTTTTCCGGACAAAGGGAAAAATTTTTCCTTCCGACAGGAAAAAATTTTCCAGTTGTCCGTCCGTAAACCATTCAAATTTTCGAAAATTGAGAACTTTTTGGTCGAACTTCAGGAAAAGTTCTTCCTTCCGACAGGAAAAATTTTTCCTTCCGACAGGAAAAGTTCTTCCTTCTGGCATTCCGAGTCCTTCCATCCGACAGGAAAAAATTTTCCTTCCGACAGGACACAAACGGATGACTGACGTTCCTCTTCCTGAATGCCTTCCAAAGCCAGAAGTACCGAAAGCTACAGAACCTAAAGCACCAGCCCCTGCACCTCAGTTCCAGCAAGTACCTCCACCAAATTACTACCAATTTCCACCTCAATGTTACTACCCACCACAAGGCTTCCCGAACTACCCTCCTCCTCAACCTATGCCTTACTTCCCCAACCCTTGGATGTTCCAGCAAGCTCCACCCCAGCAATTCCAATCTCAGCAAGCTCCATCCCAGCAAGCTCCACCCCAGCAAGCTCCATCCCAGCAAGCTCCATCCCAGCAAGCTCCACCCCAGCAATTCCAATTCCAATCTCAATCGAAGAGAGACCAAGACTTCGAAGAAGGTCTGAACCGCTTACGCAAAGAGTATGCTACAGCTCCAATGGAAGATGACAGGCTTTCAGTCTCTTCCCTCAAATCGACCGATTCGACTCGTACCACAGATTCGGTTCGCGACCGTGAAGACTACCTCAAGCAGTCTGAGAGACTCTTCATCCTACAATCATTTACAGTTGGAGCTCTCAAGAACATGCGCAATTACGAAGGTCAAACACCAGCTGGAGACCGCAAAACAGACGTACTCGCAAGAGCCGTCCAGCTCGTCAAGACAAAGACTGAGATAGTCGACTTCATTCTTGCAGCTTGCCCATACAAGTAAAAAAATAAACAATTACGAGTTAAACTTTTTATTCTTTCTTTTCTGAGTTGTTTAGAGCTGGTTTCTCTTGTAGGAGCCTTTCGTACTCTTCCATGGTCATGTAATTGCGAATTTGGTACGCAATTCCAGGTTCGTTGTTTTTGAACCTTACGTATGTAACGCTTCCATCCTCCTCAGGGAAGTAAGCTGCTAACATCTGACCAAGTTTTCTCGGTGACTCGGAGCTCATTAAAAATGTCACTTTTTAAACGTTAAGTTTTTAGTCTTATTTTACCCTTTGTTTACCCTTTGTTTGTCAAGGTAGTATTGGAGTGCAATTTCTCCAAATTCTCTGTGTCGGAGTTCTTCAGCATTTTCCAAGGTGTACCTGGAGAACTCAAAGAAGTTGTCAAGAAGATACTGCCATGCTGCTCTTCTGAGTTCGTCGGTATTTTGGAAGTGTTGCACCTTCGAGTCTTCGGACATGAAAAAATGACACTTTTTCATTATATAACTGTTATTTTTTTACGAAGAGAACTTTGACACTTCGTCAAAAAAATCCCTGAAATCGTGAAAAAATGACACTTTTTCATTATATAACTGTTATTTTTTTACGAAGAGAACTTTGACACTTCGTCAAAAAAATCCCTAAAATCATATCTTACATACAAAAAAATGAAGAATAACTTTCACTTTTTCTATTAAACCGTTTTGGCATTTCTCATGAGTGAGTATAGTTCTGCCGAACCATTGGAAGAGAAGAAGTACCCTTGCTGGCAAAAGACAAAAATAGTTGCCTTAGTTGTCATTGCAATTGTACTCGTAATTGAATTCATTGTACTTCTCTTCACGTACATAAAACTCAGCAATGGTATTTGCTTTAAGAAGCTACCATCTTACTAAGACTAAACACTTATATTTTTCAAGCTTGACTTTTTACAATTTGAACTTTGTTTGCGTAGATGTGAATTCTGAAAGAAGTATGAGGGTCTTGTATGACTTTGTACTTCTCCCATAGTTCATGTCTGTCAAACTTACCTGCCATGGACTCTTTCATAAGTTCCATGAAATCGTCTTCGGACAATCCGGGGAAAAGTACAATGTCAGTAAGTATTCTCTTTACATCCTTACTTAAACTCTTTGCTGTCTGTACACAAATGACAACTGAGATGTTAAAGTGTCTGAGCTTCTTAAGAATTCGACACATATCTTGTTCTCTATTCTTTAACAAAGGATGAGAAGCAAAGTCATCTAAGATAAAAGACATCTATGAGGGTAAGTCTTCCAATCGTAAGATTGCAATTTCTTCGAAATGTATTCTATCTCTTTCTGTTTGTTTCTGAAGTGTTTCTTCTCTAATATTCTCTGCATTTCCTCATTTGGGTCTTTAAACTTCGAATTTATATACTCATTTATAGCATTGTACTTCAAAACTCTTCTTTGGTACTTCTTTATCCAATCTAACAACTCAGTATCCTTATACATACTAACTTAGACTTCTTTATAATATCTTTGAACGAATTGACGGTTTGGTCAAATTGACCAGAAGTACTACAAATGACAACTAACTCATAGAATGGGTTCTTCTCATCTAGTTCTTGTTGTTGTGCAGCCATTTTAAGATAAGTGAAAGTCTTACCCGACCCAGGTGGTGCAATTAGACCTGTTATACCATTCTGAGCAAATAAGAACTTGTCATGTATAGGCTTTATCTGAGCATTTTCTAACTTCACCTTGTTCTTGTTTAAAACATTCTCAAATTTCTTGTCAATGTCAGCAAACTTTTTTTCTAACATATTTTTAGAAAAATTAAAATTTTTATCTTTTAGAAAATGTCTAGCGATTTCGCCATCTATATTCGAGACAAGCTTTTCGACAGCAAAACATCTGTCGACCATAAAATCTTACATAGTGTAAACAAGAAAGGTGAATTTGTTCTAAAGTTCTGTTTCTGGGAATATGACAAGAACCATAAAACATTAAGCAGAGAAGTCTTAAAATTTGTCAATGACAGACTTGTTGACAGAGATGACGCCTCTTGGAGAGATGAAGTCCAACAAAACTTCTTAGAATGCAAAGAAGACACATGCACTGTTCTTGAAGATGAAATAGAAAACAGAATAGAAGAGCTATTAAAGGACAAAGAACTTTTACAAAAATATGGTTCTGAGAAGTTTGACATAACTCCACCAGAAAAGAAGAAGAGAGAAAAGAAAGAAAAGAAAGTAGAAGAAGAGAAGAAAGAACCTGAACCAGAGAAAAAGAAATTTGACATGTAAAAATAAAATTTTATTTTTAGAACATTTCTGGGTCAATGTCAATGTTCTCTTCCTCTTTAGGAGCAAACACTGGCTTAGACTCTAAAATCTTTTTACCCAATTTACCTTGAACTTCTACAACTTTAGACTCATAATATTCATAGTCGTCTGCTTTCTTTGGTTCATAAGGTATAACAAGTTTGTATGCTTTGCCTTCTTCGAGTTTTGAGAACCTTCTGTCAAAACTTTCTTTGACTGCTAACAAACCTTCTATGTCTAAGTCTTCAAATTTCGCACCATTTTTAGTCACAATAGCAAACTTAACTGGTTCGATGTTCCAAACTTTGCTGAATGAAGACTTTTCAAAATGGTAGAAGTAAACATTCAAATATGTGAATGGGTCTAGTTCTTCTTTAAGTCCTGACATGTACTTGTTTACTGAGATGAATTTTGCCATCTTTTCTATCGGATAAAAAAAATATTTTTTTTAAAATTTACTCAGAAAAATTATTTCTTTCTATATTTGCCATTCCGAACTTCGAAAAGATGTTTTATACCAGCATAGAATTTTTCTCTAGAGCTTGGTCTTATATCGTTTTCATGACAATATTTTCTATATTCTTCATATAAAGCCTTTTTTTCATACATTTCATAAGGACAATCTAACCAGAATAGCGCATATCCATTTTCGTTATCTAGGTCTCTATATGTTTCTTCTGTTTGTGGAATTTCGCTTTCTTCTGTTTGTAGAATTTCGCTTTCTCTATTTAGTTCTATGTCTATATATTGTGGCTTAAAAAGATGTGGGCAAGAAGGGTGTGGCGCTATGTAAAAAGTTAATTTTTCTGTCATCTTTTCTATCGGATAAAAAAATATTTTTTTTTAAAATTTACTCAGAAAAATTTTTCTTTGTATATACACCATTCTGTACGTCTAAAAGACTTTTGACATTTGCCAAGAATGTTCGTTTAGACGCTGTCATATAACCATACTCTTGACAATATTGTTTATACGAATCGTACAATGACCTTTCATCTAAACACTCAAAGTCAGTTTCATCTATGAACAGTTCATATACACTCTTGTTTGCTTCTAACAATGTTTGTCTCTCTTCGGTATGTGGAATTTGTCTTGGATTGAACTTTGAAATATCTAATGTCATAAAATATGAGAACAAGTGGTTGTAAAAGTCAGATGTCAAAGTTTCTGCTAAGTCATCAAAATATTCTGTATCTTGCATATGAGAATCTGACGTTCTGACAACTACATATCTTCTGTCAGAACTTTCTAACTTCATCGGAACAGCATTGTTTGAAACCATAACGAAGTTTGCAACATTTTCACAAACTCTTTGGTCTTTATATTTTCTTTCAACAACTCCAACTTTGTCTGTTATAAGACTCTTCAAAGCATCTGAGTTTAAAACTTTTGTTGTATCTATACTTTGAAGTTCATTGCAAACTATAAGTTTCATATTCTCTATTGAAGAGTTAAATTTACCGCAGATGTTTTCTAAGTTTGTCATATTAGGGTTCGAATAACCTTCTAACAGTTTGCACAAAATATCTGTAAAGAAAGTGTTCTTACCTGTTCCTTGTTTTCCAATTATAATGAGAGCAGTTTCATTTTTAGCACTTGGATGTTGTAAGATGTTTGCAAACCAACATAAGATATACTCATAGACTCTTTCGTTTCCATTGCATATAATTTCTTTGACATGGTCTAACCAAGCTTCTATAACATTTTCTTTCCATTCTACTTGTTCGTATTTATATCCAGTGAAGATAGAATAGAAGTTTGGAGAAGGTGTATAGAACTTTATACCTCGAACTGAAAAATCTTCTAACTTTGACAATAAGATATCCCAAGCATCTAACATCTTCATGCCAACTTGTACAACTTTTATTTTCTTAAGTTTCTGTTTACATTCTTGTTCTGAAACTATTGTCGCTTTAGGTTTGTTAAAGACTACATCCCATTCTTTCATAACATAACATTCTGGGGCAGAGTCAACATAAATGACTAAACGTTTCAAATTCTCGACTGCTTTGTTATAGTCTCGAAATGGACACATATTTCTGAATGCTTGGAAGTCATAAAAATCTGAAACATCTATTCTGTACATTTTTATAAAAATAAAAAAAAATATTTTTTTTATTCTTGAGCTATTTGTTGCATTTGTTGTTCTTGAGCTATTTGTTGTTCTTGAGCTATTTGTTGTTGAAGTTGTTCTTGTAATACAATACTTTCACCAGTTGCATCTTCCAATTCGAAACTTTCTGCCGTCATTGACAAATACATAGGACATAAAAGTTTTACAGGAACAAAGTTTGCGTCAACTAAGGTTAAGTTTATGTTTGCTAAAGTGTTTGAGTTTACTAAAGCTGAAAACTCTGCATTCGAATGAACAATAGGCAAACCAGCAGAGAATGTGTTGTTTATACGCATAAGTATCTTTTGGTCATAATAGTTTCTGTCGACATTCGAATAACACTTTGAACCTAAGTTTGAAACAATATATAAAATAGGTGTACTTAAAGTCAATGGAATAGACATTCCTTGTATGACACCTTTTCCTGTTATAGGAAACTGTTGGTAGTAAAAACCAGATATAAGTTTTGTATTATAGCTCATATTGTTTATAGTAAACTCAGTCGGACATCCAAACATAATGAAACCTGCTCTAGTTGCAGCACATGTTACACTCGTCCTTAAAGTATTAAATAAGTCAACAAAACCTGTTGGTGGTATATCTGAGTAAGTATCTTCAAAGGAGTATTTTTTACCATTCACAACAATAAAATCTTCTGGTGTCAAAAGAGCAAAACAAGCTTTAGTCGTCATTGTGTTTAAAGTTAGTTTACAATATCGTCCTTGAGGACTTTGTAAGTTTGTTGTTATAGAATTATATGACTCAGGGTTTTTAGTCGTAATAGTATAAACCACTATGTCTTCTGCCATTTACTTAGCAAATAAATTTTAATGAAATGTTGTGGTCGTCAAATATTTTTATAACGTCTGGGAAACTATATTTTAAGTTCAACGTTTCACCTCCTTTCATAACGTATATCTTGTCAATGACATTATATGAAACACCACAGCAACTAACGTCGGGTTCTATTTCTTTGATGTTTATATCGTCTGCCTCTGTCAAAAGTTTCAATAGTTCTTTCAAAACTTCATGAGGTGCAATGACATATGAGTTCACTTTTACAGGGTTGTGTTCGACCAAGTTTAACATTATACCTAAAGCTTGACAAATCTTCTCCTGAGTTTGAAGTTTGTCTTTAAGTTGTTGGTAGTCGTTTCGAATATCTGCAACAGAACTTAAGTCTCTGCTAACTTCAGGATATGTTGGTTGTTCTTTTACAGGAACAATTGTTATACCATCTTCGTCCTCGTATGGTTTCCCCACTTCAACATCTCTTTCTTTGACATTGACAATAACACTTTGACTGTTTGTTTGAGTTGGTGAATTTAACTTCACATCTGCCACCGCCATTAAACCTTTTGAAACATTCACGCTTCTATTTTTCGGAAATGACATTTTACTTAGAATAAAAAGATGGACGTATTTGAGTATCTCTTCGAATTGAAGCAGAACAAAGTTTACACACACAAACAATACAAATACATTGACAGAATAGTTCTTTATACAAACAATGGTAAATGTTATAGAATAGCAGTCTTTGCTGAACCAAAATATTTTCATAAAGCAAAGAAAGTTGGTATAACTGAAATGGTGAAAGTTCTTGAAGCAGACAAAAATATAACAACAAAACTTACAGATATTTCTAAAGGTAAGTTTATAATACAATTTTATGTCAAAACTGGTGTCATAACTATTTACGATGGAGAGAAGTCAGTTCAAGAACAACTTACTGACCTGCTGCCAAAATCTGCTCGATGGAAGCTGTCGTTATGCCAATCTGAGGAGCCCCAGCAGGTTTCATCGAACGAATCTTCAAAAGAGCATCTTCCGTGAAAAGTGCTATTGGTTTTGTAAACTTCTTTGCTCTCAGTTCATATGGACCGTCTCTGTCACCAGTATATTGTATTTGTACAGTACCAACAGTTGAAATACCACCCATAAAGTCTTCTGAGTCAGCAAATGGAATGCCAAGCCAAAAGTTTGAACGGTCTCCATTTGTATATTGAGTTTTTTGACTTCCTGTATGGGTCCATACTTTCACATATGGCATAATAGAACTTTGCATTTCAGGGTTAATGGTTGTTGTGAAGTTGTTGTTAAAGTTCATAGCATCTAATGTCAAGTTGTATGACCTCATATCCTCAACTGTAGAATATTCTTCTCTTGGATAATATTTGCCATCTATGTTTATATGATATTTAATACCGGGGTTGTAGAAACAAGAATAGTCATTTATAGTTCGTCTGAACAGTACAAACATAGTATCTGCGTGTTTCATTGCAGTTGTTAAAGCAATATCTGTTCTTGCACCTGCGGTTCCTGGATTTTGGTTTCCAACTTCACCTGCAAAGTCTTTGACAGATATTTGGTGTATAGGGAACATAAGTGGAACTGCAATATATTTGGCAGCTAAAGCATTTGAAATATCTGGGTCCAACATATAGACTGCAAGTCTGCTTTCTATTCTCTTGCATTCAAACTGTTCGCATGTAAACCTAACTGGGTCCCAAGCAGTTCCAGCAGCATTGAAATAATACTTTACTTCAGTGTTGAGGTTTGAGAAACCAAAGTCTAAGTCAACTTTGTCTTTGCAAAATTCGGCGAATGACGTTTGATTTGCTCCCTTTACGTCTGTAAGAGTGAATGGGTCTTGCGTTGGTGCAATGACTAAGTTATTTTTGCTTGGAGTAAGTTCAATAGAAATTTTTCCTGCCCAGTTTGGCAAGTATCTTAAAAACCTGAAGATGAGGAAAGATGACAAAGGAACTCTAAGTTTCAGTTTTACTTTAGTGACAGCATTTCCATCTGAACCAGAAAGGTTAACATAAACTCCTGGAACGTTAGGGTCAAGTCTTCTTATTTTCTCAATAGTTGCATATTGGTCTGTTTGTTCTCTAGCTTGTGGTTGTACTGAGTTTCTCAAAGCGAACCATTCATAGTTTGCCCATGTTACTGTTTGAACTAAGTCAGAGTTAGAATATATCTTATATCCCATGAAAACTTCTGGAGCATATTGGTATCCGACATAGAAAATTCCATTGCAACCTTTCTTGTCAGACAACTTGGCAGAAGGTTTTATTTCAATGTCTTGTTCCACGTATAAGAATGAGTTGTCAATAGAAATTATATGAAACCTGTCGCAAGCAATATCTACTGTTGTTGAAGAACCTTCTCCAAACTCACCTACATTTCCATAAGAAACAGCAGTTGTATATTCGTAAGTTCCAGGAACTATTTCTGACCTTCTAATGGCATTGTCGCATTCGTTATACCATTCGGAAACATTTCCGTTCATGGCATCCAAAACTGTTGGCGTTATATTCTGAGCGGCGTACATTTCATATGGGTAAAAATATAGAATAGTTGGATTTATGTGTCATAATAGAACCCACTCGGACCAAGCTTTACTTTCTTCCTGACTGAGTTTTTAACTCTTCTTTTTCCTTCATTGCCACTACTTTCACTAGTTGCATCTTCACTACTTTCACTTTGTTCTACTCTTCTCTTCTTCTTTGGTGTCGCTTTTGGTAACTTGCCCTCTGCTTCAAGTTGTTGCATCTTTGCCTCATGTTCACCTAGTATGTTGTAAATTTCCCATGTCCTTTTTGCCTTTGGGCTCTGGTCGCCCATCTCAGGTAACCTATATCCTAGAAAGATTTTGTCATAGTTTGTATTTGAGTCTTCGCGTATTGTTTGCATGACTCTTTCCTGAGTTTCCGGTTCAAGCTCTTCAAACAGAGCTTGTCCATATGGAATAAGCTCGTTTCCAAATATATGTTTTTGTAGCCATTCTGGTTTTCTTTCCATGTTACCAACAATATCTTTTGTGAATGGGAAAGCTTTTACCCAATGTTTCAGTCTTGCGTCATTTATTTCTGTAGTTGGTTTTATTTTGTCAAGGAACATGTTTTTCAATACTAACATTTCATTTGTACTGTCCATTTGAGTTTTCTTAAATATTCATCCCTTCTCGGTTCATTGTCTGCAAAGTAAGTTTTTATGACATTTTGTAAACTTTCGTTTGCAAGGTCATGTACAATAGGTTTCTCCTTCTGTCTCCCTAAACTTTCTTTCTAAACTCTTCACCAAATATACCATCTTTATGGTTCTGTGTAGTTCTTTGAGATAAATGTTCTAGAACGTCAGGTGTTATATTTCCATCAGCCATGTTCATTTCATACTGGTTCAAAATATCTGCATCTTTCAATATCTTTCAATGGCATTAAAGCCGCGCTGAAAATACCAGCTAAATCTGGTTCACCATTGACTTCCATTGCGTCTACAACTTCTTGGAATTGAGGTTGTAAGTTTATGAACCACCTATCCGGGTTAGCTTTATGACCCCATCTCATTGTAGTTCCATAGTCTGCAGAAACAAAAGTAGGTTTGTTTCCATATTGGTTAGGTTCTGAATGAACTTTAAACATGTTTCATTTCTATATGTTTTGTTGAAATTTAACCTTTTATTTTCACCGAGTTCAGCCAAAGATTGAACGTTATATGGTCGTAAGTAAAAAAGATTGTTGTATTTGTGTACATTTTCTTTCAGTACTTCCATTCTATGCTGAATATTTTCATCTGATGTTGGAGTCTTTTTATGTCGGCAAACATTTTTCGATATTCTTCTACCATGTCAGCCGAATTTTTTTTTAGACTCTTGGAAAGATTCCATATTCACCTCATACTCTTGTTGAGGGTCAAGATTTTTCGGCTGTTCCAAATCTTCATCTAGTTCTGTGAAGTTAGTTTCCAAAGGAGGGACTTGTTCGTTTCCTTCAGGCTCTTCTAGCTGTTGTTGCTGAACTATTTCTTCCATGTCTGGTTGTATCTGAACTTCTTCCTGTGGAGTTTCTTGTACCTCATCTGCTGGCATTTCATATATTCCGAGACCGTTTTCAACAAGTTCCCTATTTAAGTCATCCGCATTCATAAGCCTTTGTTCTTTCGTTCCGTCTCTATTTTTTACGCGTTTCATGAAGATAGTGAATCATCATTTATCTCTGACACCAAATATCTCGGAGTAAATTCGTTCATGTCATTTGGATGATTGCTATTAAATCATATCCCTTAGCGAGCTTGTATTTTCCAGGTTTGAATTATATCCCATTTGGTGCTGAACCATAAAGCTAAATAGGTTCGGGTCAGTATTTCCTTCCTTGAACTTTCTAATAGCTTCTTTATATCTGTCACTAAAGTCAAGAGTATCTGGGTAACCATAGTCTTCTTTAAGCATTTTAAGAAATCTTGGTTTCCTTGTTCTCTACTTCTTTTATGTCCTTGCTCTGTTTGTGGTTGTTGTTGTGCAGGGTTTTGAACTGTTGGTTGCTGTGCTGGTTTGTGAGGTGGTTGTTGTGCAGGGTTTTGAACTGTTGGTTGTGGTGCAGTGTTTGAACTGTTGGTTGTTGTGTTGGTTGTTGTGTTGGTTTTGGTGCATGCCTGTGTCTGTGTCCATGTGACGATGTAAATGTTTTAGGTAGTCCTGGTGCAGGTGCTTCTCTTGGAGGGTTTGGTGGTATATAAGTTCCACTAGCTAGTATATAAGTTCCACCAGCTGTATATAAGTTCCACCAGCTGGCACATATGTTCCATCTGCAGCATAATGTCCTACCTGACTTTTCTCGTTCTTAAAGAAAGCATTTACTAGGTCTGTTTTGGTCTGTTGTAACTCTTTTTCTTGACTTTCCACAACAGTTGCTCTAACGGGTCATAGGCACTTTGAACTGCCTGTCTCGTTGCTGCATCTGTTATTTTCGTCATATTTTGTGCTACTTCTTTTAACTCTTTTGTCGAAACCTTCAGACTTCAGTTTCTTTCCAGATGAGAAGTCGTTCACTTGTTTCACCTTACTATGAAGAGCTTCGAAGGCGTTCTTAAAGTCAGCATTTGTTAAAGCTTCATTTGAACTGTCTTCATCCGCTTGTATTTTTGTCCTTATTGACCCTATAAGCTGGGCTGCTTTAGCGTTGGCTTGGGCATCTAACCAGTCATTGTTAGCTTTTATATATTCTGCGCTTTTCATTGCCTTTTGCATGGCTGCGTCGTTATTTTTACTTTCTTGTGCTAAGTTTTCATACTGTACGGTTTGGTTTTGCAACTGTAAAAGTTTTTCTGCCTTTACATTTGCTTCAACTTCTTTTTTATACTCATCGCTATCCATATATGTCTTCATGGCTTTTTGTTTTATCTCTTCATCTTTCAGTACTTATATTGAGTAGTATGGTTTTCAAATTTATAACATCTTGTTCCATTTTTTGCTACTTCTGCTGCTTTTTCTGACACTTTTTCGCATATTCCTCTGTACTTAGTTCTTTCAGTTGTTCTTTCTTTCTTCTTTTTCTCTACGTTTAACTCATTTAGTTTCTTTGTGTGTCTGTCATATTCTAGTTCTTTTCGTTTTCACTTATTTGTTTCTGTATGTCTATGTTTGACTTTTTGACATCTGTTATTTGATTTTTGAGTGAACTCAAATTCATTTGACTTTGAGGGTTATAAGCTGTTCCGTCTGCAGCTCCACCATAGCCTGCCATTTTCGCTAAAAGTGCCGCTCTTAAACCTCCACTCTGTGCACCAATAACTCGGTTTAAAAGCATAGGGTTGCTTGACATTTGTTGCAACATAGTGGGGTCATTCATCATTTGTTGTTGCAACTGTTGTTGTGGTGTCAGTTTTACTATTGGATGTTTCAATGCTCTCTTCCTCTTACGTATATTCTTACGTAGCTTACGTGGCATTTTAAGTGAAGTTAAAAACGGTTTTTGACAGATGTTTATATGACACTTTTTGTTCAGCACAAAAAACTACTCGGTCAAAGTGTTGTCAGTTTTGTAAAATAACCGTCCTATCTCATTCTATAAGGGGAAAAAGGCTTCTCAAAGTTTACTTCCTTGGAACGCCTGTAACTTTTCCTGTAGCGACGATAGACCCTTACTTGTCCGGACAAAGTTATACTAAACATCTTCAGGGCTAGAGGGCACGAAGTGCCTGGAGGCCCCACTACCTTTTTTTTTTTTTTTTTTTTTTTTTAACTACTATATTTTTATTCTTATGACTAAAAAATAATATATTATTTAAGGGTGCACCCGTATGTACGTTTATTTGAGAGGAGGAGGATTACCCTCTCAATTTTGAGGGATTCGTTAGTTTATTTTCTCGATGAATATGCAATAAAATTGATTTTTACCTAGGGCTGTACAAGATTTAAAAAAACATTGCCGGGTTACCGTAGAGGCCTAAAAAAATCGCGCCTCGGCGGCAAGCCGCCTCGGCATTAAGAATGCGCATCTAAATTTTTATATGTCCTTCTTTCTTTTATTTTCCCCCTTTCTTTTCTTTTTCTTTTTTTCCCCTCCTCTTGCTCTCATTACCTTTTTTTCCTTTTCTCATCATTTTTCAAAATTTTAAATTTTTATCAAAAATCTTGCCTATAAAAGCAGACTATGGAACCTTTTAATGCCTCTTAATCAATATTATACAGCATAAAGCATATTAAATGAAAGTAATTACGTATAAATTATTTATTATCTTATTTATTAATTCTTTAGCATGTATTGTTTAATATTAACTTTTCTGTACATTAAATATGATATCTCCAAAGTATGAATGCCTTGTAACGAAACGAAAACTTAATTTTATGTTGAATATTTGTCACAAACATTAGATTATTAAAATATATGTTGGATATCCCTTAGTATGAGACTTCATGACTCTTGTAGTCTAACGTGAGCTTTGGATTGCAAGCTCTGTGGTTAACGAACATAAATTAATTGTTAAAGTTTTCAAAATTTTTCATCGTTTCTATCAGCATCTATTTTTCCTTTAAAATAATATATTTGTATGAATACAATATTTAGTAATTTTTTATTTCCCATAATTTCATTCAAAATTTCAGAAAAAATTAATTTCTATTCAATATTATTTCAGCTTCAAAACACTTCATTCTTATAGATGTTGATTCACTAAAGTGTGATACTCAATGTCTTATTTCAATGAAAATTGTTCTGCAAATTTATTTCACTTTTGACCTCACTTTTTCCGTAATTCAATTTTTTACTTTTAATATTTTAGATCTTCATAATATCATTTGAAAATTAACCATATAAAAAAATCAAGTTAACAATTCACTTTTTCCGTAATTCAAAAATCAAAAATATAAATAATATATCTTTTTATCAAATATTATTATTATATTCTATGAAAATGAGGTCCGGAAATTTTGCGGATTCCCGTAACTCAATTTTACGGAAAAAGTGCAGTAAACTATTCAAATACGGAAAAATTGGTGTAAACTAATGATTTTACGGTAAAATCACGGAAAAGTCCCGGAAAGAATATATGTGCCTATATGAAATTATACAAAAATGAATCAAACGCATTTTAAAAGATTGTTCTTGTATTATAAATGCTATTCGCAGATTTATTAGTTGAAGAAAATTACCAAATTTTTGCCGATTTACAAAAAATGATTTACAAAGCATATTTTTATAAGGCTTTAAAAATCTTTAAAATGTGACCGGTGACGAAATCCATGGTAACCAACCGCGGTTCCCGTTTGGAATGCCATATTTTTACCTTATCAATATACTTCATATAATATACACATGTTCATGTAAAAACTTTTTCCAAAATCCTCAGGAATTAAGGGATTTTTGAATTTTAAGAATTTTTTTTGAATTTTTTTCGAAAAAAAAATATTTTCAGAACAGCCTTAACGGCTAAGATTTAGGAACAATGTTAAGTATCAAAAAGAAAGGAGGTCTGATATAGACAACATATATCGTTGAAGGTTGAAAAAATCTCTAATATTTGAGCCCAAAATTTCAAATTTTAATTTTTTGAAAAAAGAGGCCACCCGTATGTACGTTTATTTGAGAGGAGGAGGATATATTTTGAAAGGGTGAAACATTATGAATATGTTAATTATATAATAATATGTATTATTATAAAAAAGAAAAATAAAGCACGTTAAATTTTTTCTTTCTTGATTTTTTACAAAATCTACTTAGAATTATGCAAAATATGAATAAATAATTATAATTTCAAGTTAAATTTTAATTTTGATAAATAATTTAAATTTCAAAATATCAAGTTCAGTTCGACTATGTATGTAGTAATTCCTCAATAAAGTGCCAAAACCCTATTAAAATATATGAACATTTTCAACATTTTAATGTTTTTATTTAAAAATTTGATGGAATATGAGCTTCAAACAATTATTATGTAAATAAAAATAATTAAATATATGTATTTATTCGTATTACAACCGTAGTAAGTCGATTCTTCCTTTCTTCTACTGAGTTTTGAATTTGATTTCGAATTGTAAAGAGATTCAAAGGGAAAATACTAGCGGAGAAAAACTACCTCCATGAAAGGGTCATAATGGAGTCAAGTTGTATTTTTTGATATTTTTTGCTTTTCGAGCCTAAATAGGTAGCCAAGATAATGCCTAAAAATAAGGTTCTAAATTCTGAAGTTTACATGATCCTCTCGTGTGCAAACTTAACAATATAAAATAAAAAAAGTATTTCTTTTAGAACCTTTATATTTTGAAATCGGTTTAGTTCAGAGGCAACATTCGATATGAAAGTTTCCTCTGTCGAGAAACTTCCTCACACCTCAAGAGATGCGAAGAACTTTTGACAGGCAAAGTGCAATATTGATAGGTGATTGCACTTTGCCTGTCACATACATCTCGACAGAGGCAACATTCGATATGAAAGTTTCCTCTGTCGAGAAACTTCCTCACACCTCAAGAGATGCGAAGAACTTTTGACAGGCAAAGTGCAATATTGATAGGTGATTGCACTTTGCCTGTCACATACATCTCGACAGAGGCAACATTCGATATGAAAGTTTCCTCTGTCGAGAAACTTCCTCACACCTCAAGAGATGCGAAGAACTTTTGACAGGCAAAGTGCAATATTGATAGGTGATTGCACTTTGCCTGTCACATACATCTCGACAGAGGCAACATTCGATATGAAAGTTTCCTCTGTCGAGAAACTTCCTCACACCTCAAGAGATGCGAAGAACTTTTGACAGGCAAAGTGCAATATTGATAGGTGATTGCACTTTGCCTGTCACATACATCTCGACAGAGGCAACATTCGATATGAAAGTTTCCTCTGTCGAGAAACTTCCTCACACCTCAAGAGATGCGAAGAACTTTTGACAGGCAAAGTGCAATATTGATAGGTGATTGCACTTTGCCTGTCACATACATCTCGACAGAGGCAACATTCGATATGAAAGTTTCCTCTGTCGAGAAACTTCCTCACACCTCAAGAGATGCGAAGAACTTTTGACAGGCAAAGTGCAATATTGATAGGTGATTGCACTTTGCCTGTCACATACATCTCGACAGAGGCAACATTCGATATGAAAGTTTCCTCTGTCGAGAAACTTCCTCACACCTCAAGAGATGCGAAGAACTTTTGACAGGCAAAGTGCAATATTGATAGGTGATTGCACTTTGCCTGTCACATACATCTCGACAGAGGCAACATTCGATATGAAAGTTTCCTCTGTCGAGAAACTTCCTCACACCTCAAGAGATGCGAAGAACTTTTGACAGGCAAAGTGCAATATTGATAGGTGATTGCACTTTGCCTGTCACATACATCTCGACAGAGGCAACATTCGATATGAAAGTTTCCTCTGTCGAGAAACTTCCTCACACCTCAAGAGATGCGAAGAACTTTTGACAGGCAAAGTGCAATATTGATAGGTGATTGCACTTTGCCTGTCACATACATCTCGACAGAGGCAACATTCGATATGAAAGTTTCCTCTGTCGAGAAACTTCCTCACACCTCAAGAGATGCGAAGAACTTTTGACAGGCAAAGTGCAATATTGATAGGTGATTGCACTTTGCCTGTCACATACATCTCGACAGAGGCAACATTCGATATGAAAGTTTCCTCTGTCGAGAAACTTCCTCACACCTCAAGAGATGCGAAGAACTTTTGACAGGCAAAGTGCAATATTGATAGGTGATTGCACTTTGCCTGTCACATACATCTCGACAGAGGCAACATTCGATATGAAAGTTTCCTCTGTCGAGAAACTTCCTCACACCTCAAGAGATGCGAAGAACTTTTGACAGGCAAAGTGCAATATTGATAGGTGATTGCACTTTGCCTGTCACATACATCTCGACAGAGGCAACATTCGATATGAAAGTTTCCTCTGTCGAGAAACTTCCTCACACCTCAAGAGATGCGAAGAACTTTTGACAGGCAAAGTGCAATATTGATAGGTGATTGCACTTTGCCTGTCACATACATCTCGACAGAGGCAACATTCGATATGAAAGTTTCCTCTGTCGAGAAACTTCCTCACACCTCAAGAGATGCGAAGAACTTTTGACAGGCAAAGTGCAATATTGATAGGTGATTGCACTTTGCCTGTCACATACATCTCGACAGAGGCAACATTCGATATGAAAGTTTCCTCTGTCGAGAAACTTCCTCACACCTCAAGAGATGCGAAGAACTTTTGACAGGCAAAGTGCAATATTGATAGGTGATTGCACTTTGCCTGTCACATACATCTCGACAGAGGCAACATTCGATATGAAAGTTTCCTCTGTCGAGAAACTTCCTCACACCTCAAGAGATGCGAAGAACTTTTGACAGGCAAAGTGCAATATTGATAGGTGATTGCACTTTGCCTGTCACATACATCTCGACAGAGGCAACATTCGATATGAAAGTTTCCTCTGTCGAGAAACTTCCTCACACCTCAAGAGATGCGAAGAACTTTTGACAGGCAAAGTGCAATATTGATAGGTGATTGCACTTTGCCTGTCACATACATCTCGACAGAGGCAACATTCGATATGAAAGTTTCCTCTGTCGAGAAACTTCCTCACACCTCAAGAGATGCGAAGAACTTTTGACAGGCAAAGTGCAATATTGATAGGTGATTGCACTTTGCCTGTCACATACATCTCGACAGAGGCAACATTCGATATGAAAGTTTCCTCTGTCGAGAAACTTCCTCACACCTCAAGAGATGCGAAGAACTTTTGACAGGCAAAGTGCAATATTGATAGGTGATTGCACTTTGCCTGTCACATACATCTCGACAGAGGCAACATTCGATATGAAAGTTTCCTCTGTCGAGAAACTTCCTCACACCTCAAGAGATGCGAAGAACTTTTGACAGGCAAAGTGCAATATTGATAGGTGATTGCACTTTGCCTGTCACATACATCTCGACAGAGGCAACATTCGATATGAAAGTTTCCTCTGTCGAGAAACTTCCTCACACCTCAAGAGATGCGAAGAACTTTTGACAGGCAAAGTGCAATATTGATAGGTGATTGCACTTTGCCTGTCACATACATCTCGACAGAGGCAACATTCGATATGAAAGTTTCCTCTGTCGAGAAACTTCCTCACACCTCAAGAGATGCGAAGAACTTTTGACAGGCAAAGTGCAATATTGATAGGTGATTGCACTTTGCCTGTCACATACATCTCGACAGAGGCAACATTCGATATGAAAGTTTCCTCTGTCGAGAAACTTCCTCGAAACTCAAATTTTTCTTTAGAACTACAATATCTTAACAATTAGCTCATCAAAACATAACCTATAAACTTTAATTTTTACTTTTGTTTTTTTCAATATATGAACTAAATTTTTTTTTTCAAATTACTCCCACACGGGGAAAACTATTTTAACTCAGATGTTGCCACCCTCTTCATCATTGCATTAACAAGTGCTTTGACTTAGAGGTTGCCAGCCTCTTCATCATTGCATTAACAAGTGCTTTGACTTAGAGGTTGCCAGCCTCTTCATCATTGCATTAACAGGTGCTTTGACTTAGAGGTTGCCAGCCTCTTCATCATTGTAAAAATGTATTACCGCTTTTTTTTTAATTCAATCGTAACATCTCAATTATCCCGCCAAAAATTATTGGGTCTAAATTGGTTTTTATTATTATTATTTTCAGAAACAAACTAACTTGTTTTTTAGGAATTTATCATTCATAAAGTCTTTATGATATATTTTCAACTTATAATGAATATGAAATTATAATTGTTATTTTGAAAAAAAAATATTCATGATCAATTCATGATTTAACCAGTTCCTTCAAATTAGGAGAGCATATTCAAATATAATCGCTCATTAAAATCAATTTTTATGTTTTTTTTAAATCGAAATTATCTCATCATAAACCATGCAAACTGACTATTTGTTCTTATCACCATGTTACCAATATCAGAATTGTCTTTACAGCCAAAATTTCGCTCGATAAAAGTCCATCCAATAGTGAGATAATTGAGCAACGAACATTTTTCCATATCACAAAAACCTCCGCCCAAATGATTCAATCAATTTCATATAAAATAGCTTTAACAAATTGAGAACCGCTGATTTGTAAACCACACAAATTTTAGATAAATGATAAATAAATCTTCACAGCCCAAATTCCGATATTACCATGTAATGATGATTATTAATATATTAGCAAAAATTAATATTAACGTAAACGAAACTCTCTGAAAATTTGAGAAAATATATGGCCATGGTTTTTCTGTTGATTTTAAAAGTCTTTTTCAAGGCTTAAGGGCGACGTATTCTGGAATGGATGTCGGACATCTTGCTAATACTGGAGTCAATTTAACAGGTTATGCTGATCAAATCAACATAGAAAGAAAGAAATTCACTATCAACTACCGTAAAGAGAAATTTTTCCAAAATGTCATACATATGAAACGCAATCTTGCTGAATTGAAACCGAAAGTATTAACCAATGATTCGAATCTTGAAGCATTAAAGCCTGAATCATTGTCAGATGCCTTCCAAGCCCAAACAGAAGAAGCGATTCATCAGTTTTTATCAATATTCTTAAACGTTGCACAGTCAAGTTTGAATGATGTCAAAAGAGTAGTATGTACAGATCAATTTATTGATGGCTTATCTTCTTTATACAATCTCACTTTTTCAGATTCAACAATGTTTGAGATATACGAAGTTACATCCATCACTTTCAACAACTGCAGGAACATGCAGAAGCTCGTAGACTCTGATATAATTGGAACTTTGACTGGTCAATTATACGAACAAAATCCGAACTTGATATACAAGCAGATAGAACTTATTAGCTCCATTGCCATGTCCAGCGACTATGCACGCGATGCTTTACTATGTTTTGGAGTCCATAATATCATGGTCGACATTTTTAACTCTTCAGAAGAATCAGATTTGAAGACACTTAGCTGCAAATGTATCTACGCACTGTTCCAGGCCAACGGCAAAGTAGATACTTGCATTATCCAAGAATTTATTCCTTCTATCGTAGAAATGTTCTCAACAGCTGAAAATCCTCAGCTCGAAGCACTTTTTGGCACATTGATAGAGATGACAAACCAAGATCCTGAAGCCGTTTTTACCATCTACAATTTAAACGCATTTCCAGCCATTGTTCAAGCAATTTCTAGTCCAGATCTTACCAATGTCGCTCTCAGCCTCTGCGGCAATTTAACAGTCAGCCAACCTGTGCAAATTCTTAACCTTATTGAACTTGGCCTGAAGGAGCAATTATTTGCACAGTTAGATGGCGAATATGCTCCATTATCACTTTGGGTCCTCTCCAACATGATCGAATGTTGTCCAAATGAAATTTTGTCAACATTTACACCCGAAATGATTCTTAGTATCATAAAGAACGCAAATGAAGGATCATCAGAGTTCAAACAAGAGGCAACATTCCTTGTTAGCTCACTTGTTCTCTTCTCCACCCTCGATATGAGATTCTATTGCCAACAAGACGTAATTGACCTCTTAACTGAAATGCTCGGATGCGGCATCTACTACGTAACAATCAGATGCATCGACGCTCTTATAAAGATCATTGATTTCTGTAACAAAGAAGGAACAACAGACGAAATCGAGTGCATGCTCAAATCATGCGACTTCTGCGACAGAATTGACGATCTAACTGACTGCCAGAATGATGAGATTCAAAAGAGACTCGCAATCCTTCAGAAAACTGCTGATTTTTGTTAATATTATTTTTTTTTATATTATTATCATAATAAACCATGTTAATTACTTTTCATTGTTTGAAAGCAATTAGTCTATATTATTTATTATATCATCTTTTGTGATCCTCAGTTTCTAATTTCAATGAATTGCTGTATCCACACTGCTAAGTTGTAAGTTCTGGAGGCATAATAGAGAAATTAATTTTCTGAATTTGAATGCATGCCATTATTGAATATACGTAACATATATGATTATCAATTAAATATATTAAAAGTATGGATTGAGTTAGATTGACTCTGTTTAAATAAAAGGTTCTATGATCAGTAATGCTATGTTTCTGGCTTTAATGAAAATGGCACCCTGATTTTGGGCATGCATAACGACAAAAAATATTTATAAAATAATTATAATTCAAAAGCCATGATAGAGATAGTTATATATATCGAACCATTAATATCCCTTGCATGTCACTTTTTAGATGATGGAAAAAATAATTAAATGCTGGAAAAATTTCATTTTACTTGATGAGCCAATTTGATCCAATCGACTATTTTGAATTGGTTGAGACATGTAATGGATATATTGACTCAATGAGAGCATTGTACCAGCTTAAAACTGTAAAGGAAGAAGAAATAAATTCTATTTACGAACTTATTAAAGTTAATTTGCTCGAAACAAAGTTGTCACAGCAAATTGTATTCTTGAAACTATTTGGAAAATAAGCATGTATAATAACCGCTTTTTGAATTCATATTGGATATTATTCAAAAAGATATTTGAAGAATATCGACAAGAAATTAGCAAAATACCAGGATTTTATGTCTATTTCATTTACAAAGAGTATAGGATTATTATAGATGAATCAGATAAAAAGGAACTCAAAAAATATAAATATGAAAATATTTCCTTAGAAGTTTTTGAAAAAAAAAACATTTTGCAGGGCAATAATGGACAATGATATAAAATCATTGACAGTATTAACTATCACTGGCGATTTTGATCAAAAAGAGCAACCAAAAATATGTCGTGATCTTTTTATAGATCCTCCTCGTTCATATCTTGAATTATGCTGCTATTATGGTTCAGTTGATTGTTTTAAGTTTTTAAGATCTGAATACAACTCAGAAATATCAAAAATGTGCTTGGTATATTCATTTTACAGTGGAAATCCTGATATTATAAATGAATGCTTAAAAGAATGCACTCCTACAAATAATTGTATGAGGTATGCAATTATATCACATAACATCGATTTTATTACTTTTTTGATGAATGAATTCCAATTAAGAATTGATATTGATGCCTGTAAATCATTTCAAAATCTTCCAGCAAAGTTCATTTATTTCATTAAAAATAATAATATTAACAAATTTTTTAAATCATTTATTAAATCATTTGATATTCAAATCCCTGAACTCTATGAATATCTCATTACGCATGGTGCAGATGTCAATGCAGAAGATTCTTATGGAAATCCAGCCCTCATCATTGCAATTAAATCTGGTAATGCTGATATCGTAAAAGTCCTTCTTTCGCATGGTGCAGATGTCAATTCAAAAGATTATCATTGGGATTCAGCTCTCATCATTGCAATCAAATCTGGTAATGCTGATATCGTAAAAGTCCTTCTTTCGCATGGTGCAGATGTCAATTCAAAAGATTATCATTGGGATTCAGCTCTCATCATTGCAATCAAATCTGGTAATGCTGATATCGTAAAAGTCCTTCTTTCGCATGGTGCAGATGTCAATTCAAAAGATTGTCATTGGGATTCAGCTCTCATCATTGCAATCAAATCTAGTAATGCTGATATCGTAAAAGTCCTTCTTTCGCATGGTGCAGATATTAATGCAAGACATCATAGTGGACTTCCTGCTCTTGAGTTTGCCAAACAAAATCATCAATTTGAAATCGAAAATCATTTACTATCATTTGGGGCAAAAATCAAAAAATGATATCTCTATAATCTATTTTATATTTCAATAATCACGGTCTATTTAAATAGAATATTGAATTTCAACAAAGTTGATACTATTAAGACGTAATAATTAAGTCTATAAAAATCACATTTATTTACCTTTTGAAACTCAGAAGTGTAATACTTATAGATAAAATAAATAAAAAGTTAACAAACAAATAAAGTTTAATATATAATATCTATAACAAACAAACAAAAATAAAATATCATAATAAAATGTTATTAATCAAATGAATTAGATTTCGTATTTAGTGCATATTTCATTGTGTTGAATATAGTGAAGGATGAATCGTTTGAATCATATGCATAAATAGCTTGTTTCGAACTGTCCATAACTAAATGAACAATTGTATAAAGTGGAAAGCGAGAGAAGTTGTATAAAACTTTTGAAATAATTGATAAATTGAAAAGAACTAAATAACGAAGCGTAGACATATTGATGTCATATTTATGGATATGAGTCATAATATATGAAACAATGTCAATAGTGAGCGAATACATTTTATACTCCGAATCAACAATAAGACAATCAATGATTTCCTTGAATTTATCTGGTTGGTTTTGGAATATTAGGATGTAACTACCAATAAATTCGGAGATATTAATATAATTAGTGTTAAAATGGTAACTTGGTAAGAAACCTTTGTTGTCATATGAAAAATTTTCAAATAAAATGCTCCCAACATTAGCATACATAGACATGAGTGGAGCAACACTAGATTGGTAGAATGTGTTCTCGTTTGAAACAATGAGTGAGTCCATATAATGTTCTGAGATATCCCAGATGCGTGATAATGTCTTGTAATACTTATTTTGGAATAATGGTAATGATTCAATCTCATAAGGTTCTGCCATTGAAAAGAAATTTGCAATTTCTGGGGAAAAACAATTTTATAATCAAAAATAAAAGGTCATTGTACGCATTATATGTGTTTAACAGATAATATTGTGCCTAAAAATGATGATATAGAGATCTGTTCGAAGTAAGTTGTGTTTGAAAACAAAGAACTACGATTTTAGGAGACATTTTATCAGTAAAATATATATTATAGCATAAGATTACTATAAATATTAATGCGTCTATGGGGTAGAGACAGTACTGATTGATAGAACTCTTGAGAGAAAAAAAAGTAAAATCAATTTCTGGATGTTTAATATGGAAATAAAGATGGATTTCGTAGAAAATCATCAATATTCTTTAGTCACTAATATATCATTGTTTCAGACTAATAACATGGAAAAATTCTGTTTCGATGATAAGATAAAACAGAAACAATATACTAAGCTGCCACTTTTTAGGTATAAAAATGAGTTCCATCTTTGATGGAAATATGCTTACGATATAAACGGTCATACAGGGTGTTGAATAGAATCTTTGTTGCACAAATTATTTGAGAAGCAAACATTTAAGTAATACTCTACATCGAATGGTATTTCTGATTTAATTCTTTTTTTATTTTCCCCTAAAAATCGTTAGTTTGTTCTCTAAGTGAATTTAACCATTTCGATATTATTTAAATTGAGAAACTATGATAAAGCTCAAACCTCTATATATTCATTTTGTTAAATTGAAAGAATTCAATTTTCAGATATAAGTTATCGAACATGAAATTAATTATGTATTTATCTAATCAATTTTGCTATTTTGATAAATATTTATATTTCAAATCACTTTAAAAATTGTGAGCAAAACTTCTTTTCATTAATCGATTATAGTTCCATTATTAATAATTATTACAAATAGGACATATATTTCGATTTTTAAATTTAAATCATTTAATTTTGCAAATTACCTCAGACTTTTCAGAGGATTGAGTGGCAACTCAATCCTCTGAAATAGTCTGTGGTAATTTTTAGTCTCTACACTATTTCAATATAAGCTCCATTTTTAAACAGTTTTTAAAAATCGAGCATTGAAGAGTGTGATGAGACTTAAAAATCATAGCAATTTGAACGAAGATTGCATAAAGCCAAATTTAAGAGATTTTCCTTGATCGTTTGCACGTTAAATTTTCTGAAAATTCGAATGTTTGAAATTTTTTTGAAGTTTATTAAGAATGGTTGTTGAATAAGACATATTTTATGCAGATATATTCATAGCTAATTTACATACTCCCATTGAACGAATCACACTCTATCCACCATCATCCCATCTGACTTAAAACATACATTCCTTTTAATCGTCACTTCTCAGCTCCTATACACCATCGAATAAATTTAAATGACAAAATCACTCATTTGACTTAGTTAAATCTTCTTCATCATTCCTTCTTGTTTCACTTTTTGCGTATTCCAATTTCCAACTTCAAAAAATAACATCTTTACAAATTAAGATTTTCGTTTTCCATTTCTTTTTAATTTTTATAAGACAATTCTCCATTATGAATAATCTACCTCTGAAAAATTTTCACTTTGAAAATTAAAATCAAGTATTTAAATTGATATTTTTGAATTATATATAAATAATACATAAATAATATATTTTATATTGTTTTGTTTTCTACTTTCAGAAAGTTCTAGTTCTCAAAATTTTTATTATCGAGACGATAAAGAGGAAGTTCTTATTGCATGTGATTATAGATCAAGTGGTGATATTGTAATCCCTAAGACTGTCAAAGAAATATCTGATGAAGAAATACCACTTCCATTCGCTAATTGTCAAAATGACATCACATCAATTAGTTTCGAAGAAGAGAGTGAACTTATCAGTATATGTAATAACAGCTTTTATCAAACAGCTATTAAATTTGCAAATCTCAGTCATTGTAATAAACTTCAATTTCTCAATGGATCAATATTTGAACAATGTCGTAACTTGGAAACAGTTTTTCTTCCTCAAAATATATTAAGTATCGGAATTAATTGCTTTTATGTTACGGCTCTCCAATCAATCAATTTCCCAGAAAAATTAACATATATCGAAGACTATGCATTTAGTAGTTGTAAGATAAAAAACATCAATTTCCCAGAAAAATTAACATACATTGGAGATGGTGCTTTTTCTAATAGTGGACTTACAAATATTATCATTCCAAAAAATGTAACATACTTAGGAAATTATTCATTTGTAGGATATCCAATAACAAATTTCCAAATCTTAAGTAACATTACATATATTGGAGATGGTATGTTTTCTGGTGGTTCATTCATAAACTTCACAATTCCAGATAAAATCACATATATTGGCAATAATGCATTTGCACGGTGTAGATCATTAACAAACTTCATATTTCCAGATAAAATCACATATATCAGAAATAATACATTTGAACAATGCACATCATTAACAAACATCATTATTCTCGGTAAATCTGTTTCAATCGGATATCGAGCATTTTATTCATGCACAAGTTTAACAAATTTTACCACCTTAGGAAGCATATCATATCTTGGGAGAGAATCATTTTCATTTTGTGGACTCACAAATTTCACAATATTAGTGAATGCATTAATTATAGAAATGGATGCATTTTCGGATTTGCCAAACTTAACAAGTATTACATTTATAGGGAGCATAAATTCTATTAATAATTATGCATTTCATCATTGTACATCACTAACAAATGTTACAATCATAGGAAGTGTTACTTCTATTGGAAAAGAAGCATTTTCTTGGTTTACATCTTTAACAAATATTGCAATCACAGGAAATGTAAATTCTATTGGAGATCGTGCATTTTATAATTCTACAGAACTAACAAATGTTACAATCACAGGAAGTATAACATCTATTGGAAAAGAAGCATTTAGCCTATGCATTTCATTAAAAGAAATCGCAATCAAAGGTAATTCACTAACTATCGGCGATAATGGGTTTTATTTATGCATTAACTTAACAAGTATCACATTTTCTGGTAGTTTAAGATATATTGGATGGAATGAATTTGGTGATTGTCCATTTTTAACAAATATTACATTTCCAAGCAGCACCAATTCATTTTCATATGGTTATGAATTATTTATAAAAGATGCTACTCTGGATGAATATCCAATAAGTTTTTTTTTACCTGGATCCAATATTTAACATTTTCATTCCAGGAAAATTTTTTGTTGACACAGATCATGAATTTGAGGTTACTCGCACAAGTCATTTGTATGTTACTCGTAGAACAGTTTTATCAAATTCAACTAAAATATTTTTTTGGACCGAAAAGAGTTTATGTTCACTATGATAATAAAACAGGAATTTATGATCAAACAACGATTGATGTTCTTCAATACATCTCTATTGAAAACATCAATATTCCTCTGTTGATGCCAGAAACAGCAAATTTCTATCTCTTTTATAAATTTAAATACATCCAACTCTCATTTGTTACTATTTGTCTTAACACACGTCCAGTTTCTTGAATAAAATTTTAATTTCTATTTCTATACAATAATAAGATATGAATATTTTCAAACAATAACAGTAAAAAAGGTTAACAAACAAATAAAGTTTAATATATAATATATATAACAAACAAACAAAAATAAAAAAATTATAATAAAATATCATAATAAAATGTTATTAATCAAATGAATTAGATTTCGTATTTAGTGCATATTTCATAGTATTGTATATAGTGAATGATAAATCGTTTGAATCATATACATAAATAGCTTGTTTCGAACTGTCCATAACTAAATGAACAATTGGAAAATGTGAGATAGATTTTTCATAAATAACTTCAATTTTGTTAAATTCGGCATTCAAATTGAAGACACAAATTGAACCATCTGAATAACCAACAACAACTGGACGAACTTGGTCGCATCGATCAAAATCTAAAACAAGGAGACTACATGAGCGTTTCGTTAATTCAATTTCGGAAAGAAACAGACAATTAACGGTGTAAACATAAAGTCGTGAAATAGACAAAACATATAATAACCCGTTATATTCATCAAAGCCGCAATCAATCAATTGTTCTTCGAAACTGATTTTATTTTGGATTGTTGATCTCAAAATATCCCATGTCAATATGTGTCTGTCAAACATGGAAGCAGCAACAAAATCATTACCATTAACAGAAGTAGAGATAGGAGGAATGTCGTTTGAGAAACTAGAAATGCATCGGATTTCGGATAATTGACTACCTTTGAAGTACAATCTGAAGCAAATGGAAACTGAAACACTGAGATCAACAACAATGAAGCAGTTGTTTGATGATTTGCTGACTTTCTCTGAAAAAACAATGGATGAATCTTTGAAAAATGTTTTCTTAGAATTGCTCTTGTAAATAATGTTGAGTTGTGATGGATTGATCTCTAAACTATGAATACCATCACTGAGATGAAAATCAACTTTCAATGGATTGTACTTAAAATGTGTTTCTGCAATTTGGATGTTATCAAGATCACTGAAGAGAGTTGTCGTAGTTTGGATGACACAATTATCTCGAGAAGGATGTGGTTTCTTGAACAAAACAATTGGACATTGACCCCAGTTCTGTAATTGAAGTGTAAGTGTATCAAAGTTTTCGTCAGGTGATGGAGCAACTTGGTATGAGATTGGCAAGAAAACATTTTTGCTTTGAATAGCCGATTGACCCATTTGTGATGAACCAAAGATAAGATCAATCCATTTGTTAATGTCATGTGATTGCTCCAAAAAGAATCTATGTGCATGAACAAAATGTGCGGCGGACTTAGCCCAAGCAGGAAGGTCGACTTTGAATTCGTTACCGTTTTCACTGTTGAAATGATTAGGATTCAAAAATGATTCCGGAATGTCGAAAAACTCGGGAATAAGTTCTTTAACATCTGCGTTGTTAGTACGTGAACATGATTGCCATGTACCATTGATGTCTTGGAATGTACGGTGTTCGTGGTCCCATCCACCGTGTAAATCCCATTCACAAAGTGAATATGGTGGAAGACGAGCAAGATAAAAGTGGATAGAAGCAGACATAGAATAATGTTGACCGTAGAAATACTGACCGTTTGAGTCTTTGTAGATACTCTCGAAGTACTGTGCACGATCAAGAGTTTGCATGCCCATAGGTTTAGTTAAATCGCGGAATTCACGTGGTGACTTATCATTCAAACAATCCGAAATAATCCACGGAAAAACTGGATATTGAGCTAAGTCGGAAAATGACCGACCACCATGTGAATTCAAAAATAATAAGTAGTCATGTGATGTAAGGTGACCATTAGACCATAGGTTAGTAGCGTTGTCTAATGTCTGGTTGAAGAATGTCAGTGGTTTGTCTGGCAAGCTCTGTGAGAATGTACTAGATCGTGATTGTAATTCTTTAGTAAAGAATGCTGGAAATGTGTCATCGTCATTAGAAATCAAAATGAATTCTGTGCACTTGAAAATGGTGATAACTAATGCTTTGGGAAGATGGTTCCACATGTGAATGAATGAGCCCATGACGTTCTCAAATTCAATATCAAGAACAAAATGACCGCAGAAAAGAGATGACTTACCGAACATACCGATGTTGATTGGATCACTAATAGTTCTAAACAAGATTGGACTTTGGATATCATTGATTAATTCAAGTTGGTTGTTATTAACTTTGGAGTTAATGATGACAAAGAACTTATCTTTAGTGCAGAAAACTGAACATGGAAGGATTTGGTTGAATCGCATGAAACGACTACAAAAAACACAAACAAATTCGTCACGTTCACCAAAAACAGTTTCAAAGGTGTCAAAAAGAGAATGACCTGATGTAGAAATAACTTCGGAGAATGATGTAGGTGTGATGATATCTTTGATGCTGCAATCGAAGTTAATTTTGTTAAAAGGAATCAAATATGTGTATTTCAAACTATCGAAGTGAAAACAAAATGTAGGATTTCGAATTTCGAAGTCAAAGTCTTTTTCGGTGATAGGAACGCCGAATTTAACATCTGGAAGTGTACATGGACATGGTGTAATGACACGAGGTGTGGACATAGGCCATGTGAGACTAGAAATAATAAATGATTTGTGCGTATGATAAAATGGTGAAGAAAGACAGCCAACTTGGAAATTGAGCCATGATGAATAGAAATCACGCTCAAGAAATCGCATGTTGTTTTGGATAGGTGTGTTCGATAAATGTTGATAAGTAATAAAAAGTGGAGGAAAATGTGATTCGGATTTCTGAAAGTTTTTCGGTCAAAATATTTGTAAAATTGGAAATGTTTGAGTATGATTTATCAAGTGGAATGAAATCAATATCTGAGTATGGAATAGATAAGTATTCGTTGCATGCTTCAACCATGATTTTCTTAGAGTTATTAAATACTTCGCTGTTATCAACACACCAACGGTTGAATGAACCTGTGCCGCCTGTCGTTAAAAGTTTGATACCGACCATGAACTTCTGGATGGTCAATGCATCGATCAAATTACTGCTGTTTTGGTTGTTGGACATGGATTGAGGAATTGCAATGATTTTGAAGAAATCAGTAATGAATTTGTCAGAATCACAACTCTTGTCCTGTAAGGCAGAGATGAATTTAAGTGTTGTGAAAAGAACTAAGTTAAGATCTGATAAAAATGGTTCGACCTTGGAAAAGAAGTTTGGAATCTGATTGATTTCTTTAGATAGTTCGGAAAGTTCTGATGAAGTAATGAAGTTCAAAATAATAGCAAAACAAAATCGAATATCGGAATAAATTCGTGGATCACTGATTGTGAGGCCTGAAATGTTATAAATAAGATGCATGAATCCGATATAAAGTGGAAAGCGAGAGAAGTTGTATAAAACTTTTGAAATAATTGATAAATTGAAAAGAACTAAATAACGAAGCGTAGACATATTGATGTCATATTTATGGATATGAGTCATAATATATGAAACAATGTCAATAGTGAGCGAATACATTTTATACTCCGAATCAACAATAAGACAATCAATGATTTCCTTGAATTTATCTGGTTGATTTTGGAATATTAGGATGTAACTACCAATAAATTCGGAGATATTAATATAATTAGTGTTAAAACGGTAACTTGGTAAGAAACCTTTGTTGTCATATGAAAAATTTTCAAATAAAATGCTCCCAACATTAGCATACATAGACATGAGTGGAGCAACACTAGATTGGTAGAATGTGTTCTCGTTGAAAACAATGAGTGAGTCCATATAATTTCTGAGATATCCCAGATGCGTGATAATGTCTTGTAATACTTATTTTGGAATAATGGTAATGATTCAATCTCATAAGGTTCTGCCATTGAAAAGAAATTTGCAATTTCTGGGGAAAAACAATTTTATAATCAAAAATAAAAGGTCATTGTACGCATTATATGTGTTTAACAGATAATATGTGCCTAAAAATGATGATATAGAGATCTGTTCGAAGTAAGTTGTGTTTGAAAACAAAGAACTACGATTTTAGGAGACATTTTATCAGTAAAAATATATATTATAGCATAAGATTACTATAAATATTAATGCGTCTATGGGGTAGAGACAGTACTGATTGATAGAACTCTTGAGAGAAAAAAAAGTAAAATCAATTTCTGGATGTTTAATATGGAAATAAAGATGGATTCGTAGAAAAATCATCAATATTCTTTAGTCACTAAATATATCATTGTTTCAGACTAATAACATGGAAAAATTCTGTTTCGATGATAAGATAAAACAGAAACAATATACTAAGCTGCCACTTTTTAGGTATAAAAATGAGTTCCATCTTTGATGGAAATATGCTTACGATATAAACGGTCATACAGGGTGTTGAATAGAATCTTTGTTGCACAAAATTATTTGAGAAGCAAACATTAAGTACTCTAATCGAATGGTATTTCTGATTTAATTTCTTTTTTTATTTTCCCCTAAAAATCGTTAGTTTGTTCTCTAAGTGAATTTAACCATTTCGATATTATTTAAATTGAGAAACTATGATAAAGCTCAAACCTCTATATATTCATTTTGTTAAATTGAAAGAATTCAATTTTCAGATATAAGTTATCGAACATGAAATTAATTATGTATTTATCTAATCAATTTTGCTATTTTGATAAATATTTATATTTCAAATCACTTTAAAAATTGTGAGCAAAACTTCTTTTCATTAATCGATTATAGTTCATTATTAATAATTATTACAAATAGGACATATATTTCGATTTTTAAATTTAAATCAATTTAATTTTGCAAATTACCTCAGACTTTTCAGAGGATTGAGTGGCAACTCAATCCTCTGAAATAGTCTGTGGTAATTTTTTAGTCTCTACACTATTTCAATATAAGCTCCATTTTTAAACAGCAGTTTTTAAAAATCGAGCATTGAAGAGTGTGATGAGACTTAAAAATCATAGCAATTTGAACGAAGATTGCATAAAGCCAAATTTAAGAGATTTTCCTTGATCGTTTGCACGTTAAATTTTCTGAAAATTCGAATGTTTTGAAATTTTTTTGAAGTTTATTAAGAATGGTTGTTGAATAAGACATATTTTATGCAGATATATTCATAGCTAATTTACATACTCCCATTGAACGAATCACACTCTATCCACCATCATCCCATCTGACTTAAAACATACATTCCTTTTAATCGTCACTTCTCAGCTCCTATACACACCATCGAATAAATTTAAATGACAAAATCACTCATTTGACTTAGTTAAATCTTCTTCATCATTCCTTCTTGTTTCACTTTTTGCGTATTCCAATTTCCAACTTCAAAAAATAACATCTTTACAAATTAAGATTTTCGTTTTCCATTTCTTTTTAATTTTTATAAGACAATTCTCCATTATGAATAATCTACCTCTGAAAAATTTTCACTTTGAAAATTAAAATCAAGTATTTAAATTGATATTTTTGAATTATATATAAATAATACATAAATAATATATTTTATATTGTTTTGTTTTCTACTTTCAGAAAGTTCTAGTTCTCAAAATTTTTATTATCGAGACGATAAAGAGGAAGTTCTTATTGCATGTGAATAGATCAAGTGTGATATTGTAATCCCTAAGACTGTCAAAGAAATATCTGATGAAGAAATACCACTTCCATTCGCTAATTTAAAATGACATCACAAATTACCATCGACTTTAACATAATTAGTTTCAAGAAAGAGAGATGAACTTATCAGTAATATGTATAACAGCTTTTATCAAACAGCTATTAAATTTGCAAATCTCAGTCATTGTAATAAACTTCAATTTCTCAATGGAATCAATATTTGAACAATGTCGTAACTTGGAAACAGTTTTTCTTCCTCAAAATATATTAAGTATCGGAATTAATTGCTTTTATGTTACGGCTCTCCAATCAATCAATTTCCCAGAAAAATTAACATATATCGAAGACTATTGCATTTAGTAGTTGTAAGATAAAAAACATCAATTTTCCCAGAAAAATTAACATACATTTGGAGATGGTGCTTTTTCTAATAGTGGACTTACAAATATTATCATTCCAAAAAATGTAACATACTTAGAAATTATTCATTTGTAGGATATCCAATAACAAATTTCCAAATCTTAAGTAACATTACATATATTGGAGATGGTATGTTTTCTGGTGGTTTCATTCATAAACTTCACAATCCAGATAAAATCACATATATTGGCAAATAGCATTTGCCACGGTGTAGATCATTAAACAACTTCATATTTCCAGATAAAATCACATATAATCAGAAAATAATACATTTGAACAATGCACATCATAATAAACACATCATATATTCTCGGTAAATCTGTTTCAATCGGATATCGAGCATTTTATTCATGCAGACAAGTTTAACAAATTTTACCACCTTAGGAAGCAATACATATTCTTGGGAGAGAATCATTTTCATTTTGTGGACTCACAAATTTCACAATATTAGTGAATGCATTAATTATAGAAATGGATGCATTTTCGGATTTGCCAAACTTAACAAGTATTACATTTATAGGGAGCATAAATTCTATTAATAATTATGCATTTCATCATTGTACATCACTAACAAATGTTACAATCATAGGAAGTGTTACTTCTATTGGAAAAGAAGCATTTTCTTGGTTTACATCTTTAACAAATATTGCAATCACAGGAAATGTAAATTCTATTGGAGATCGTGCATTTTATAATTCTACAGAACTAACAAATGTTACAATCACAGGAAGTATAACATCTATTGGAAAAGAAGCATTTAGCCTATGCATTTCATTAAAAGAAATCGCAATCAAAGGTAATTCACTAACTATCGGCGATAATGGGTTTTTTTATGCATTAACTTAACAAGTATCACATTTTCTGGTAGTTTAAGATATATTGGATGGAATGAATTTGGTGATTGTCCATTTTTAACAAATATTACATTTCCAAGCAGCACCAATTCATTTTCATATGGTTATGAATTATTTATAAAAGATGCTACTCTGGATGAATATCCAATAAGTTTTTTTTTACCTGGATCCAATATTTAACATTTTCATTCCAGGAAAATTTTTTGTTGACACAGATCATGAATTTGAGGTTACTCGCACAAGTCATTTGTATGTTACTCGTAGAACAGTTTTATCAAATTCAACTAAAATATTTTTTGGACCGAAAAGAGTTTATGTTCACTATGATAATAAAACAGGAATTTATGATCAAACAACGATTGATGTTCTTCAATACATCTCTATTGAAAACATCAATATTCCTCTGTTGATGCCAGAAACAGCAAATTTCTATCTCTTTTATAAATTTAAATACATCCAACTCTCATTTGTTACTATTTGTCTTAACACACGTCCAGTTTCTTGAATAAAATTTTAATTTCTATTTCTATACAATAATAAGATATGAATATTTTCAAACAATAACAGTAAAAAAGGTTAACAAACAAATAAAGTTTAATATATAATATATATAACAAACAAACAAAAAAAAAAATTATAATAAAATATCATAATAAAATATCATAATAAAATGTTATTAATCAAATGAATTAGATTTCGTATTTAGTGCATATTTCATAGTATTGTATATAGTGAATGATAAATCGTTTGAATCATATACATAAATAGCTTGTTTCGAACTGTCCATAACTAAATGAACAATTGGAAAATGTGAGATAGATTTTTCATAAATAACTTCAATTTTGTTAAATTCGGCATTCAAATTGAAGACACAAATTGAACCATCTGAATAACCAACAACAACTGGACGAACTTGGTCGCATCGATCAAAATCTAAAACAAGGAGACTACATGAGCGTTTCGTTAATTCAATTTCGGAAAGAAACAGACAATTAACGGTGTAAACATAAAGTCGTGAAATAGACAAAACATATAATAACCCGTTATATTCATCAAAGCCGCAATCAATCAATTGTTCTTCGAAACTGATTTTATTTTGGATTGTTGATCTCAAAATATCCCATGTCAATATGTGTCTGTCAAACATGGAAGCAGCAACAAAATCATTACCATTAACAGAAGTAGAGATAGGAGGAATGTCGTTTGAGAAACTAGAAATGCATCGGATTTCGGATAATTGACTACCTTTGAAGTACAATCTGAAGCAAATGGAAACTGAAACACTGAGATCAACAACAATGAAGCAGTTGTTTGATGATTTGCTGACTTTCTCTGAAAAAACAATGGATGAATCTTTGAAAAATGTTTTCTTAGAATTGCTCTTGTAAATAATGTTGAGTTGTGATGGATTGATCTCTAAACTATGAATACCATCACTGAGATGAAAATCAACTTTCAATGGATTGTACTTAAAATGTGTTTCTGCAATTTGGATGTTATCAAGATCACTGAAGAGAGTTGTCGTAGTTTGGATGACACAATTATCTCGAGAAGGATGTGGTTTCTTGAACAAAACAATTGGACATTGACCCCAGTTCTGTAATTGAAGTGTAAGTGTATCAAAGTTTTCGTCAGGTGATGGAGCAACTTGGTATGAGATTGGCAAGAAAACATTTTTGCTTTGAATAGCCGATTGACCCATTTGTGATGAACCAAAGATAAGATCAATCCATTTGTTAATGTCATGTGATTGCTCCAAAAAGAATCTATGTGCATGAACAAAATGTGCGGCGGACTTAGCCCAAGCAGGAAGGTCGACTTTGAATTCGTTACCGTTTTCACTGTTGAAATGATTAGGATTCAAAAATGATTCCGGAATGTCGAAAAACTCGGGAATAAGTTCTTTAACATCTGCGTTGTTAGTACGTGAACATGATTGCCATGTACCATTGATGTCTTGGAATGTACGGTGTTCGTGGTCCCATCCACCGTGTAAATCCCATTCACAAAGTGAATATGGTGGAAGACGAGCAAGATAAAAGTGGATAGAAGCAGACATAGAATAATGTTGACCGTAGAAATACTGACCGTTTGAGTCTTTGTAGATACTCTCGAAGTACTGTGCACGATCAAGAGTTTGCATGCCCATAGGTTTAGTTAAATCGCGGAATTCACGTGGTGACTTATCATTCAAACAATCCGAAATAATCCACGGAAAAACTGGATATTGAGCTAAGTCGGAAAATGACCGACCACCATGTGAATTCAAAAATAATAAGTAGTCATGTGATGTAAGGTGACCATTAGACCATAGGTTAGTAGCGTTGTCTAATGTCTGGTTGAAGAATGTCAGTGGTTTGTCTGGCAAGCTCTGTGAGAATGTACTAGATCGTGATTGTAATTCTTTAGTAAAGAATGCTGGAAATGTGTCATCGTCATTAGAAATCAAAATGAATTCTGTGCACTTGAAAATGGTGATAACTAATGCTTTGGGAAGATGGTTCCACATGTGAATGAATGAGCCCATGACGTTCTCAAATTCAATATCAAGAACAAAATGACCGCAGAAAAGAGATGACTTACCGAACATACCGATGTTGATTGGATCACTAATAGTTCTAAACAAGATTGGACTTTGGATATCATTGATTAATTCAAGTTGGTTGTTATTAACTTTGGAGTTAATGATGACAAAGAACTTATCTTTAGTGCAGAAAACTGAACATGGAAGGATTTGGTTGAATCGCATGAAACGACTACAAAAAACACAAACAAATTCGTCACGTTCACCAAAAACAGTTTCAAAGGTGTCAAAAAGAGAATGACCTGATGTAGAAATAACTTCGGAGAATGATGTAGGTGTGATGATATCTTTGATGCTGCAATCGAAGTTAATTTTGTTAAAAGGAATCAAATATGTGTATTTCAAACTATCGAAGTGAAAACAAAATGTAGGATTTCGAATTTCGAAGTCAAAGTCTTTTTCGGTGATAGGAACGCCGAATTTAACATCTGGAAGTGTACATGGACATGGTGTAATGACACGAGGTGTGGACATAGGCCATGTGAGACTAGAAATAATAAATGATTTGTGCGTATGATAAAATGGTGAAGAAAGACAGCCAACTTGGAAATTGAGCCATGATGAATAGAAATCACGCTCAAGAAATCGCATGTTGTTTTGGATAGTGTGTTCGATAAATGTTGATAAGTAATAAAAAGTGGAGGAAAATGTGATTCGGATTTCTGAAAGTTTTTCGGTCAAAATATTTGTAAAATTGGAAATGTTTGAGTATGATTTATCAAGTGGAATGAAATCAATATCTGAGTATGGAATAGATAAGTATTCGTTGCATGCTTCAACCATGATTTTCTTAGAGTTATTAAATACTTCGCTGTTATCAACACACCAACGGTTGAATGAACCTGTGCCGCCTGTCGTTAAAAGTTTGATACCGACCATGAACTTCTGGATGGTCAATGCATCGATCAAATTACTGCTGTTTTGGTTGTTGGACATGGATTGAGGAATTGCAATGATTTTGAAGAAATCAGTAATGAATTTGTCAGAATCACAACTCTTGTCCTGTAAGGCAGAGATGAATTTAAGTGTTGTGAAAAGAACTAAGTTAAGATCTGATAAAAATGGTTCGACCTTGGAAAAGAAGTTTGGAATCTGATTGATTTCTTTAGATAGTTCGGAAAGTTCTGATGAAGTAATGAAGTTCAAAATAATAGCAAAACAAAATCGAATATCGGAATAAATTCGTGGATCACTGATTGTGAGGCCTGAAATGTTATAAATAAGATGCATGAATCCGATATAAAGTGGAAAGCGAGAGAAGTTGTATAAAACTTTTGAAATAATTGATAAATTGAAAAGAACTAAATACGAAGGTAGACTATTGATGTCATATTTATGGATATGAGTCATAATATATGAAACAATGTCAATAGTGAGCGAATACATTTTATACTCCGAATCAACATAAGACAATCAATGATTTCCTTGAATTTATCTGGTTGATTTTGGAATATTAGGATGTAACTATAAATTCGGAGATATTAATATAATTAGTGTTAAAATGGTAACTTGGTAAGAAATTTGTTGTCATATGAAAAATTTTCAAATAAAATGCTCCAACATTAGCATACATAGACATGAGTGGAGCAACACCTAGATTGGTAGAATGTGTTCTCGTTTGAAACAATGAGTGAGTCCATATAATGTTCTGAGATATCCAGATGCGTGATAATGTCTTGTAATACTTATTTTGGAATAATGGTAATGATTCAATCTCATAAGGTTCTGCCATTGAAAAGAAATTTGCAATTTCTGGGGAAAAACAATTTTATAATCAAAAATAAAAGGTCATTGTACGCATTATATGTGTTTAACAGATAATATTGTGCCTAAAAATGATGATATAGAGATCTGTTCGAAGTAAGTTGTGTTTGAAAACAAAGAACTACGATTTTAGGAGACATTTTATCAGTAAAATATATTTATAGCATAAGATTACTATAAATATTAATGCGTCTATGGGGTAGAGACAGTACTGATTGATAGAACTCTTGAGAGAAAAAAAAGTAAAATCAATTTCTGGATGTTTAATATGGAAATAAAGATGGATTTCGTAGAAAATCATCAATATTCTTTAGTCACTAATATATCATTGTTTCAGACTAATAACATGGAAAAATTCTGTTTCGATGATAAGATAAAACAGAAACAATATACTAAGCTGCCACTTTTTAGGTATAAAAATGAGTTCCATCTTTGATGGAAATATGCTTACGATATAAACGGTCATACAGGGTGTTGAATAGAATCTTTGTTGCACAAATTATTTGAGAAGCAAACATTTAAGTAATACTCTACATCGAATGGTATTTCTGATTTAATTCTTTTTTTATTTTCCCCTAAAAATCGTTAGTTTGTTCTCTAAGTGAATTTAACCATTTCGATATTATTTAAATTGAGAAACTATGATAAAGCTCAAACCTCTATATATTCATTTTGTTAAATTGAAAGAATTCAATTTTCAGATATAAGTTATCGAACATGAAATTAATTATGTATTTATCTAATCAATTTTGCTATTTTGATAAATATTTATATTTCAAATCACTTTAAAAATTGTGAGCAAAACTTCTTTTCATTAATCGATTATAGTTCCATTATTAATAATTATTACAAATAGGACATATATTTCGATTTTTAAATTTAAATCAATTTAATTTTGCAAATTACCTCAGACTTTTCAGAGGATTGAGTGGCAACTCAATCCTCTGAAATAGTCTGTGGTAATTTTTAGTCTCTACACTATTTCAATATAAGCTCCATTTTTAAACAGTTTTTAAAAATCGAGCATTGAAGAGTGTGATGAGACTTAAAAATCATAGCAATTTGAACGAAGATTGCATAAAGCCAAATTTAAGAGATTTTCCTTGATCGTTTGCACGTTAAATTTTCTGAAAATTCGAATGTTTGAAATTTTTTTGAAGTTTATTAAGAATGGTTGTTGAATAAGACATATTTTATGCAGATATATTCATAGCTAATTTACATACTCCCATTGAACGAATCACACTCTATCCACCATCATCCCATCTGACTTAAAACATACATTCCTTTTAATCGTCACTTCTCAGCTCCTATACACCATCGAATAAATTTAAATGACAAAATCACTCATTTGACTTAGTTAAATCTTCTTCATCATTCCTTCTTGTTTCACTTTTTGCGTATTCCAATTTCCAACTTCAAAAAATAACATCTTTACAAATTAAGATTTTCGTTTTCCATTTCTTTTTAATTTTTATAAGACAATTCTCCATTATGAATAATCTACCTCTGAAAAATTTTCACTTTGAAAATTAAAATCAAGTATTTAAATTGATATTTTTGAATTATATATAAATAATACATAAATAATATATTTTATATTGTTTTGTTTTCTACTTTCAGAAAGTTCTAGTTCTCAAAATTTTTATTATCGAGACGATAAAGAGGAAGTTCTTATTGCATGTGATTATAGATCAAGTGGTGATATTGTAATCCCTAAGACTGTCAAAGAAATATCTGATGAAGAAATACCACTTCCATTCGCTAATTGTCAAAATGACATCACATCAATTAGTTTCGAAGAAGAGAGTGAACTTATCAGTATATGTAATAACAGCTTTTATCAAACAGCTATTAAATTTGCAAATCTCAGTCATTGTAATAAACTTCAATTTCTCAATGGATCAATATTTGAACAATGTCGTAACTTGGAAACAGTTTTTTTCCTCAAAATATATTAAGTATCGGAATTAATTGCTTTTATGTTACGGCTCTCCAATCAATCAATTTCCAGAAAAATTAACATATATCGAAGACTATGCATTTAGTAGTTGTAAGATAAAAAACATCAATTTCCCAGAAAAATTAACATACATTGGAGATGGTGCTTTTTCTAATAGTGGACTTACAAATATTATCATTCCAAAAAATGTAACATACTTAGGAAATTATTCATTTGTAGGATATCCAATAACAAATTTCCAAATCTTAAGTAACATTACATATATTGGAGATGGTATGTTTTCTGGTGGTTCATTCATAAACTTCACAATTCCAGATAAAATCACATATATTGGCAATAATGCATTTGCACGGTGTAGATCATTAACAAACTTCATATTTCCAGATAAAATCACATATATCAGAAATAATACATTTGAACAATGCACATCATTAACAAACATCATTATTCTCGGTAAATCTGTTTCAATCGGATATCGAGCATTTTATTCATGCACAAGTTTAACAAATTTTACCACCTTAGGAAGCATATCATATCTTGGGAGAGAATCATTTTCATTTTGTGGACTCACAAATTTCACAATATTAGTGAATGCATTAATTATAGAAATGGATGCATTTTCGGATTTGCCAAACTTAACAAGTATTACATTTATAGGGAGCATAAATTCTATTAATAATTATGCATTTCATCATTGTACATCACTAACAAATGTTACAATCATAGGAAGTGTTACTTCTATTGGAAAAGAAGCATTTTCTTGGTTTACATCTTTAACAAATATTGCAATCACAGGAAATGTAAATTCTATTGGAGATCGTGCATTTTATAATTCTACAGAACTAACAAATGTTACAATCACAGGAAGTATAACATCTATTGGAAAAGAAGCATTTAGCCTATGCATTTCATTAAAAGAAATCGCAATCAAAGGTAATTCACTAACTATCGGCGATAATGGGTTTTATTTATGCATTAACTTAACAAGTATCACATTTTCTGGTAGTTTAAGATATATTGGATGGAATGAATTTGGTGATTGTCCATTTTTAACAAATATTACATTTCCAAGCAGCACCAATTCATTTTCATATGGTTATGAATTATTTATAAAAGATGCTACTCTGGATGAATATCCAATAAGTTTTTTTTTACCTGGATCCAATATTTAACATTTTCATTCCAGGAAAATTTTTTGTTGACACAGATCATGAATTTGAGGTTACTCGCACAAGTCATTTGTATGTTACTCGTAGAACAGTTTTATCAAATTCAACTAAAATATTTTTTTGGACCGAAAAGAGTTTATGTTCACTATGATAATAAAACAGGAATTTATGATCAAACAACGATTGATGTTCTTCAATACATCTCTATTGAAAACATCAATATTCCTCTGTTGATGCCAGAAACAGCAAATTTCTATCTCTTTTATAAATTTAAATACATCCAACTCTCATTTGTTACTATTTGTCTTAACACACGTCCAGTTTCTTGAATAAAATTTTAATTTCTATTTCTATACAATAATAAGATATGAATATTTTCAAACAATAACAGTAAAAAAGGTTAACAAACAAATAAAGTTTAATATATAATATATATAACAAACAAACAAAAATAAAAAAATTATAATAAAATATCATAATAAAATATCATAATAAAATGTTATTAATCAAATGAATTAGATTTCGTATTTAGTGCATATTTCATAGTATTGTATATAGTGAATGATGAATCGTTTGAATCATATACATAAATAGCTTGTTTCGAACTGTCCATAACTAAATGAACAATTGGAAAATGTGAGATAGATTTTTCATAAATAACTTCAATTTTGTTAAATTCGGCATTCAAATTGAAGACACAAATTGAACCATCTGAATAACCAACAACAACTGGACGAACTTGGTCGCATCGATCAAAATCTAAAACAAGGAGACTACATGAGCGTTTCGTTAATTCAATTTCGGAAAGAAACAGACAATTAACGGTGTAAACATAAAGTCGTGAAATAGACAAAACATATAATAACCCGTTATATTCATCAAAGCCGCAATCAATCAATTGTTCTTCGAAACTGATTTTATTTTGGATTGTTGATCTCAAAATATCCCATGTCAATATGTGTCTGTCAAACATGGAAGCAGCAACAAAATCATTACCATTAACAGAAGTAGAGATAGGAGGAATGTCGTTTGAGAAACTAGAAATGCATCGGATTTCGGATAATTGACTACCTTTGAAGTACAATCTGAAGCAAATGGAAACTGAAACACTGAGATCAACAACAATGAAGCAGTTGTTTGATGATTTGCTGACTTTCTCTGAAAAAAAATGGATGAATCTTTGAAAAATGTTTTCTTAGAATTGCTCTTGTAAATAATGTTGAGTTGTGATGGATTGATCTCTAAACTATGAATACCATCACTGAGATGAAAATCAACTTTCAATGGATTGTACTTAAAATGTGTTTCTGCAATTTGGATGTTATCAAGATCACTGAAGAGAGTTGTCGTAGTTTGGATGACACAATTATCTCGAGAAGGATGTGGTTTCTTGAACAAAACAATTGGACATTGACCCCAGTTCTGTAATTGAAGTGTAAGTGTATCAAAGTTTTCGTCGGTGATGGAGCAACTTGGTATGAGATTGGCAAGAAAACATTTTTGCTTTGAATAGCCGATTGACCCATTTGTGATGAACCAAAGATAAGATCAATCCATTTGTTAATGTCATGTGATTGCTCCAAAAAGAATCTATGTGCATGAACAAAATGTGCGGCGGACTTAGCCCAAGCAGGAAGGTCGACTTTGAATTCGTTACCGTTTTCACTGTTGAAATGATTAGGATTCAAAAATGATTCCGGAATGTCGAAAAACTCGGGAATAAGTTCTTTAACATCTGCGTTGTTAGTACGTGAACATGATTGCCATGTACCATTGATGTCTTGGAATGTACGGTGTTCGTGGTCCCATCCACCGTGTAAATCCCATTCACAAAGTGAATATGGTGGAAGACGAGCAAGATAAAAGTGGATAGAAGCAGACATAGAATAATGTTGACCGTAGAAATACTGACCGTTTGAGTCTTTGTAGATACTCTCGAAGTACTGTGCACGATCAAGAGTTTGCATGCCCATAGGTTTAGTTAAATCGCGGAATTCACGTGGTGACTTATCATTCAAACAATCCGAAATATCCACGGAAAAACTGGATATTGAGCTAAGTCGGAAAATGACCGACCACCATGTGAATTCAAAAATAATAAGTAGTCATGTGATGTAAGGTGACCATTAGACCATAGGTTAGTAGCGTTGTCTAATGTCTGGTTGAAGAATGTCAGTGGTTTGTCTGGCAAGCTCTGTGAGAATGTACTAGATCGTGATTGTAATTCTTTAGTAAAGAATGCTGGAAATGTGTCATCGTCATTAGAAATCAAAATGAATTCTGTGCACTTGAAAATGGTGATAACTAATGCTTTGGGAAGATGGTTCCACATGTGAATGAATGAGCCCATGACGTTCTCAAATTCAATATCAAGAACAAAATGACCGCAGAAAAGAGATGACTTACCGAACATACCGATGTTGATTGGATCACTAATAGTTCTAAACAAGATTGGACTTTGGATATCATTGATTAATTCAAGTTGGTTGTTATTAACTTTGGAGTTAATGATGACAAAGAACTTATCTTTAGTGCAGAAAACTGAACATGGAAGGATTTGGTTGAATCGCATGAAACGACTACAAAAAACACAAACAAATTCGTCACGTTCACCAAAAACAGTTTCAAAGGTGTCAAAAGAGAATGACCTGATGTAGAAATAACTTCGGAGAATGATGTAGGTGTGATGATATCTTTGATGCTGCAATCGAAGTTAATTTTGTTAAAAGGAATCAAATATGTGTATTTCAAACTATCGAAGTGAAAACAAAATGTAGGATTTCGAATTTCGAAGTCAAAGTCTTTTTCGGTGATAGGAACGCCGAATTTAACATCTGGAAGTGTACATGGACATGGTGTAATGACACGAGGTGTGGACATAGGCCATGTGAGACTAGAAATAATAAATGATTTGTGCGTATGATAAAATGGTGAAGAAAGACAGCCAACTTGGAAATTGAGCCATGCTGAATAGAAATCACGCTCAAGAAATCGCATGTTGTTTTGGATAGTGTGTTCGATAAATGTTGATAAGTAATAAAAAGTGGAGGAAAATGTGATTCGGATTTCTGAAAGTTTTTCGGTCAAAATATTTGTAAAATTGGAAATGTTTGAGTATGATTTATCAAGTGGAATGAAATCAATATCTGAGTATGGAATAGATAAGTATTTCGTTCATGCTTCAACCATGATTTTCTTAGAGTTATTAAAATACTTCGCTGTTATCAACACACCAACGGTTGAATGAACCTGTGCCGCCTGTCGTTAAAAGTTTGATACCGACCATGAACTTCTGGATGGTCAATGCATCGATCAAATTACTGCTGTTTTGGTTGTTGGACATGGATTGAGGAATTGCAATGATTTTGAAGAAATCAGTAATGAATTTGTCAGAATCACAACTCTTGTCCTGTAAGGCAGAGATGAATTTAAGTGTTGTGAAAAGAACTAAGTTAAGATCTGATAAAAATGGTTCGACCTTGGAAAAGAAGTTTGGAATTTGATTGATTTCTTTAGATAGTTCGGAAAGTTCTGATGAAGTAATGAAGTTCAAAATAATAGCAAAACAAAATCGAATATCGGAATAAATTCGTGGATCACTGATTGTGAGGCCTGAAATGTTATAAATAAGATGCATGAATCCGATATAAAGTGGAAAGCGAGAGAAGTTGTATAAAACTTTTGAAATAATTGATAAATTGAAAAGAACTAAATAACGGAGCGTAGACATATTGATGTCATATTTATGGATATGAGTCATAATATATGAAACAATGTCAATAGTGAGCGAATACATTTTATACTCCGAATCAACAATAAGACAATCAATGATTTCCTTGAATTTATCTGGTTGGTTTTGGAATATTAGGATGTAACTACCAATAAATTCGGAGATATTAATATAATTAGTGTTAAAATGGTAACTTGGTAAGAAACCTTTGTTGTCATATGAAAAATTTTCAAATAAAATGCTCCCAACATTAGCATACATAGACATGAGTGGAGCAACACTAGATTGGTAGAATGTGTTCTCGTTTGAAACAATGAGTGAGTCCATATAATGTTCTGAGATATCCCAGATGCGTGATAATGTCTTGTAATGCTTATTTTGGAATAATGGTAATGATTCAATCTCATAAGGTTCTGCCATTGAAAAGAAATTTGCAATTTCTGGGGAAAATAATGTAGGAATAAAGAACAAAAGAGTCTGGTATAAATCATCTGTCTTAAATAAATCAGGCTGTCTCTCCAAAAGCTTTATCAGGAACTTTTCGACTTCTGTCGTGATTTCATTCAGAGATTTAAACTCCGGTTTGATGGATTCCGGTGGGAAACATGGAGATAATTGATGGAAGAATATGGACATCAATGTTAAGGAAACAATTAACTTAATTGCTTCTGGATATTTCACATTTTTGGAGGTAAAGTTCGAAACGGTCAAATTCTCTTGGTATTTCTCTCCATATATTAAGCACAATGCTGTTATCCATGTAAACCTCTGACTTGACAAAGATAAAATATAATATAAAAATACATCATTGTTTTGGTAATAATTTGGACTTGAGGATGCCAGATATGTCATTATCTCCATTATTTCGATTTGCATCGATGAATCTAGCACTGCCAACAAAGATGAGCAAGAATCGAAATTAAATACCTCTGAAACTAAATCGCAGTTGATTTTCTTCATCATATTCTTGAAGTGAGAGATAATTGAGATGACAAGAGGATTACTGTTATAAGAAACGATCAAATAATATAAATGATTAAATAAATCAAGGGAAGGTTCGAGTTCTAACCTTGCAAAGAAGATATCTAAGTAATGCTCTTGCTTCTCTTCATTTTTCTCAAGAGAAAAAAGGGAAATTATCGTTTTGACAAAATTTGACTGGAAAATTTTTGACGAAACATTGCTTTTGTTCATTTTCTGCATTATCTGGTTGTAGAGTTCGTCGTGGTATAATGTCCACATGTTGATATCATAGATAAGAGGCTGAACATTGGATTCTATCATTCCTTGAGTTGCATATTGGATAAATATGGAAATTGTTGAAGAAATATTCTCAATAGAAATGAATTCATGCCTTTCTTTGATGACTCTGACAATGTGGATCCAAAAATCCATTACTTTTCCTTGGAATATTTCGAAACAATTTAATAATGTTTCGTAAATATCGTTAATACGATCTTTGTCTTTTGATACCAATATTTCTGCAATCATCTCTATGAAATGGCGTTTCCTCTTGATGAAAGAAGGAAAACCATTGTAAGGGACGAGAACTGCGCCTTTTCCAATCTGTTTGATCTTGGAAAACGGCGTGATTACTAATGACTCTGATGGTATTTTAGAGATTCTCATTAGACTTGGCCCGTTATGCTTCAATGAAAGAATTGAAGGGTGAAATGCAGAGAAAAGTCTAATGGAAGAGCCCAAATACCATATTGTTGATAAGCTCTGTTTTGATCCCATAACGATTTCGGATATTTGATCGATATTTTGGGAGTATTTGATATCATAAGTTTTAGAACCACATGTAAGATACATGACCTTCCTATTATTAACGACCGTAATTGCTATAACAATAAAAGTCCACTCGTTCTCGCTAAAAGGCACTGAATAGTCCTGACCAAGAAAATTAAATGTCGCCTCATTGGAATTAACGGAAAGAGATAGAGCAGAACATGACATGATCTTTATGCTCTTTTCATTTATGTGCTCCGTTTTTATCCAGAAGCTTATCGCTTTGCAATTTTCTGGAATGACAAAATAAGGATCAGCAGTATTCTTGTTTAACTGGAACATGCTGAAGTGGTCGTAGGATTTATCGGCGAATTCAACAAGTTTCTTTGAGTTTTTCAGAAGAAAACAGAATTGATAAGGAATAATGTAACGATTGGCTAAATCTTTGATGATGTGGTTACCATCTATAGGACTCTTATGGCGGATGAACTCCGAAAACCCGTATTTCGAGGATATATACTGAGAATACGGATTTAATTCCAAATTGTTAACATTTAATAAAGGAAGGAGGCTTGGAATCTGTATATATAATTGGTAGATAACATTTGGACCATAAACCAAGTGAAAAACCATCTCTTCCGAGAGAGAAAATATCATACTGTCCAAAGGTTGAGAATTTATCCATAAACTTATCTCAGGAACGAATGACATGTGTAACATTGATGATATAAAGATAGTAAGTGATGAAGGATTGAAGAATTTCTTCTCCATTAGCTGAGATATCCATTCCATGCCATTTTCTTTGACAAAAATAGAAACAGAGTCCTCATTTTGCATGAATGATGACATTAATATGGAAATAAGAGCATCAGAAGGGTTCTGTCCGATGTATTTCAACAAAGGATTCATTAAAACTTTTACGTCTTCGCCTTGGAACAGTTTCAAGCAGATATCTGTGAAATCGTACTGAGGAAAGTCATGTTCCTTCGATAAAACGATTTTGAAGATCTTCCAATGTATTCCAAAATCGTATAATCGAATTATTGAACTCAAAATTGAGAGAAAAGTAGGTTTCATGAGGAGCTCCGTGAACTGCTTAGTGTTACTAATGAAGAAACAATAGTCTATGAAGCCTGTGTTGCCTACATCTTCTAATCTGAGTAATTTATTTTCAATTAAGTGCTGAACGTGTTTGAAAAAGTCCGTCAGAGTACCCATATCGATTGTATAGGCTGTGATACCTGAGAATATGAAGGTAATGGCTCGTCCCATGCCTGGATAATTTCGAGATGCTAATGCATTGAAATAATTGATTCCAATCAGGATCCCACTGATATTATTAGTCAGATATGGTTGGAATAACTCTAAAAATGTGAAATTTTTCTCAAGATCTTTTGGAGATCCTTGATAACTTTCCAAAAGGTTTGAAAAGACGCCAAGAAGCATCGTTCCTGCTAAAAAGTTGTCTGGCTTGTTTTTAATCTCGTTTAACATGAAATCGTATACATTCTGATTAAATTGTGGAAAATTAGTTGTAGAAAGTTTAGTAAAGCACCAAGTAATTGCCACAGGTCTTCTTTTAAGTAAGTAATTTATGATTTTTGATAATCCATCTAGTTCCAAAAACAAATTTAACGTAGAAGGATCGAAATTAGAGCCCAAACGCAATAAAAAGCAAAAATATGATGTAAATGAACTTATTTGAGCCTCAGTAATCTTGTCATCTGACATTGCTGCAAAAAATTCTAGTAAAAATGATTGTTTATCGAAATAAATTAATTTGAGATTGTTTGAGTACTTATGTAAGCATTTTGTGAACCATAGTGTATTGTATGTGGTCTCATCGGATGTCAGTAGTTCATCGATAAAGAATTTCGCAAATGATGTTGAGCAAAATTGTTGAATAATTGATTGATTTGTTAGGAAAAGGCGTATGGTATGCTCGAAATTTAAAGATTCTTGTACAAAAATTGGATATAATTTGCATAATTTCGTTATATATTTTGGAATTAAATTTTCTGAAGGGAATGTATCAGATATAATATAAAGTATTATTAAGCATTTCATGATTATTATCTGAGTTTCTGGTATTTCTTGATCAATAAGAAAATAAGCAGTCAATTTCGGAACAACATCAATAAAAGGTTGAATTTGCCTAGTATCATCAATTTTATTATGAATTTTGATGTTTTTGAGAATGCCTGTGATTTCCTGGCATATTGAGAGTGCGATGAATTGGAGTTCTTTATTATCTTCGAAATTTTCAGTTGATTTGTTAAGAATTTCAACTTTATCTAATAGCTCTTGATCTTTAGTAAGTGCTTGAACAATAGGATCAACTTTGTCGCCAAAAACTTTCGAAATCCAATTAAACATCAATAAAAAATTTAAAGGAGGCTTCCGACCAGAAAGCCTTCTCAATTTTTTGTGATGTTTACACCAAAAATGAGATTCGTTAAGCGTTTTTCTCGTTGAATATTGAGTTTCCCGGATTTTAAGTTATTCATAAAGCTTCTCTATATTATACTCTATCTACTGATATGATTATTTTTGAAAAATCTCTTAAATCGACCTGCACTGAATTTTTTAGGGAAAATTCGAAATTTTATAAGCGTTTTCTGTAACGTTTTTTTACGGAATAAAATCCGAAAAATAATTTTTTGAAGAATCATTTGGGTAGAATACTTATCGAAAATTATATTTATTATAATTTTGGTCGATAAAAATAAGCGGATTCAAAACTGGCAAAAACCCTTTCGGCAATTTGTGGACGATTCCGAACCCCCTCATTTTTGAAATTTAATAAGAAAAAATAGAATCTTTATTAAATATAGATTTTAAAAAACTTGGTTATAAATTACGAAATTTTTAAGTTTTGACAATGAAAATAAGCTCTGTGACCATGTAAATATATCTATGCAAAACGAGAGGTTATGCCATAATTTTTTTTAGTTATCAAATTTTCCTTTTTTTGAGAGAAGTCTCTCAATAATTTGAGAAGAATCTTTGATATAAAGAGATACACATTTGTAGAACGAAGTAAGTGTTTTCCAAACATTTTATATGTTCATCCTGTATAACAATATAAAGCTGCATAGTGCCATCTTGTGCGTTTGCTATTTTATGCATTTTTCATTGAGATAATCCCTCTTCTCGGATGATTTTAACAGTCAACTCAATTTTAAAATGAAGATTTCATCAAAATGATTTCGAAATTCGGATATTGATTATATAAATAGCACTGTTAACATATTTTGGATGAGTAAAAAATACCTTGTTTTGTATGCATTTAGTACACCTTTATTTTTGATTAAAACTATAAAATTTTTATTCCTTATATAATAAATAGTATATGTTACATAAACATGAAATTCAATAGCATTCAATTTTGGATTTTTTAGATTTGGTAAATTTACCAATCAGCAAACAAAATAAAGAAACTTTTTTTGTATCTTCTATGATTAACTTTTGGTACTAAATTTTGCATTAATAAGTAAATTATCTGTATTATTCTGTGAGCACAAGCCCTCAGTTATGCTGGTAGTGAATGATGAATCGTCATTTTGCGAAGAGAACGCGATTATTAAGGTAATTTTGAGAATTGTCTTGAATTATTTAAAATTAAAGTTAATTGAATAGGTAGGATAACTAGCCTTTGCTAAATTTGTATAATTTGACCTTATTCTAGTTGGATCTGAGAATATTTTGCTGAAATAATAAATTATATCGCCGATTTATGAAAATTTCTCTGATGGGACCGACTCGCTGAAACGTATTAGTGTTAATGGTAACTTGTCTGAAATTTCAAATTTTTTTCGAAATCCAAAAAATCACAAACAAAAGCATCAAAATTAGATTTGCATTTAAGGTTTTCATTTTTTTTTGGAAAATAAAAATATTTTTTTCCCCAATAAAGTTTATTTTTACTTTTGAGAGGAATAGAAACGTTATTTTGGAATTTTGAAACGACAGAAATGTTCCATTTTTAATATAGATTCTAAAATGGGGTCAAATTTTTGATTGAACCGTTATCCATTGAAAAACCTCGATTTTAAAATGTTATTCCAAAATATTCATCTAATGATATAGTATATATTTATTAATTATTACTTTTTATTCAATTTTCACTTTTGGCGGGATTTCATTTTTTTTTGTTGTATGGGCCATATTGTTCACCCAAAACGGAAAACAAAGGCAATGCATAACATTTTACTCCACGAACGTCGTCGACTCTCAGCGCGACAGATGCTTGGTGCTTGCATAATGACCGGAATGCCATATACAAAAGGTGCTCGCTTTCTTTCTCTTTGTGGAACTAAGCCCCCTGTGAAGAGTGGTGTCATGAGACAACAGAGATTTTGTGACGATAAGATTAGAAGACTTAAAAGTATTTCCCTAATGCTGTCGAGAAAGTCCTTCAGTGGTTACTTATCCATTGATGCAAGATGGACGCACAGGCGAAACTCGCCAAGTTGTACAGTAACTGCGCTCGATGCTGTCACAAAAAGAGTTCTTGCATGCGTGAACATCAACCATATTGGTGGAAACAGACAGCATGCTCAGTATTCCGGAGCTTCCAACAATATGGAAAGTGCTGGAACTCGAATCATCTTGAAGCAATTAAAGAAATACAATATCTTGAAAGATGTTAAAGAGATTATTAAAGACCGAGATAACAAAAGTGTCTCTGTCTTTAAAGAATTTGGCGTCTCTCATCTTGAAAGATTCGATCCAGGTCATGTATCAAAAAATATCTCAAAAGATTTTACAAAGTTCTCAGCTTCTCATAAGACAGTTGAAGTTTTCAACGACAAGACTCAGAAGATTGAAAAAATAGAGAGACCTTTCTGGGGTCTGAATGCAAGCCTAAGTATGTGGCTTTGGTCATGTTTTGCCGAAGAAAATATTGACAAACGTACGAAAATGTGGGAGAATTGTGTCTACCATTACGTAGGCAATCATTCTTTTTGCGAACCGCACAATTACAAATGCTTTGAATGGCAAAAAGGTGTCAATTCGATCCAACTTCAATTCATGCTCTATGACTGGGTTCACAAATGGACACCCATAGTTTCCAAAGTTTCTTCCATTGGATCTACCTGCATGAATGAAGCGTTTAACTCCAAAATTGCATGCTATTTGGACAAATCAAGAGCCTGGAAGAACATTAACATTAGAGTTAACGTTGCAATCTTAGAATGGAATGATCCAGAGCATTTTCTCGGAGATATACAAAAAGCATTACATCTTTCCCCACTTCCAGAAGATTGTGTCAAATCATTTGAAGAGAATTGTTACTCCAAAATGATATTGAAACAAAAAACTGTTACAAAAGGTTCTAAAAAACAGAACAAATACAAAAAATTCATTCAGAGTGTACCAGGAGGAGATTATCAAGTTTTCAAGTCCGAATGGGAATCAGAAGACGAAGACATTGATGACTTTGATTAACGAAAATTACATTTTATTTATTGTTTTTGTTTTTAATTAAATTATTATTATGCTCATTTTCTTATTTTGATTTTTTCTCATTATGAAATAAATAATTTATTAATGCATTTATCCAATAATTATGCTATGATATTTTTATGCCTTATTTCATTTCTCTTATATTTGATAATCTGGTAAAATATAGTTCAGACTATAATCATTTTAGATTATTGATATATTTATATAGGTTAGAATAAAATTAGTTTCATTTTCTACTTTTATTTTAAATTAATAATTTATAATATCAAATATTATGGCGTAACCTCTCCTTTAAAATATAGATATATATAGGCCTATAGAGTTTATTGGCACTCTCAAAACTCTAGAATTTTGAGTTTACTATAACCTTAATCAGATCAAATTTTGATTTATGATTTTTAATTTATATTTTATTTAAATTACTAATATCATAAACTAATTACACGATTGATCATAAAATAAAATTGGAAATAAAATTTGTTTCTATTTGGCCGACACAAGTATGTAAGCATACTCATTGCTGAACATAAGATATAAATTGCAATTGAATTTTAATTTTCATTTTGGCTTCTGATGATCAGAAGATCAGCAAAGTCTTTCTTCGCTTGAGGAATTCAATAGCTCCCAATCTTACGAAAGGGAGCTATAGAACTCCTTAAATCCTCTCATCATTTTGAGTTAAATTTTCAAATTTCTCCATTTTATGTGATTTTTTTCCATTAACGAAGCATCTTGCATCTTGTGCAATCCAATGTTTGTCACCAAGGAACTGCGCACCTTCTGTGGGTTGAAAATCAGCCTGTCAATTTTTGATAAATTTATTAACCATTCGATTTATCTATAACAATATAAGATTTTGAGGTCTTGTTGACAAAGTTTTTTCACCAGGTGATATCAAATGAAGCTTTAATTCGTTTGTCACTCGCGAAAAATCAAGAGAATCTGTATAAGTGCAGTTTTTTCTGAAGTAACAAATACAATAATTAAATTTAATTGTATATATGCGATCAGAAATAAAATAACTTATGAAGGCATTGAGAAAAAAAATCATGTCCATTTTTACAAACATTATTTAATTCAGAAACGACCCAAAACGGATTGAAGTATAGAAAGCTTATTATTAAAGCTATAATTATTATCACAATAACGAAATAAGGAATGAATGAATTTGCTTGACCGTATAATTTAGTTCTTCCGCCATATGATCTTAAGAGATTCTGAATTTTGTTCGCCTTTTGTGAAATATCAAGAGGATCAATAGCCTCTTTCTCACGATGAATTGCGACATCAAGAGGTGTCATTCCAAATCCATTTAAATCATTTATATTGGCACCATGAGAAATTAACATTTCCGCGATTTCGCTATTCAACTCAAATGATGCGACATGTAGAGGTGAATCCAATCGGTGATTTTTGGCATTGATATCTGCACCAATCGACAGAAGAAGTTCAATCAAATCATTGACTTTTCTTCCCTTATCAAAAGAATTAATATAATCTTCACTTAATTTTACAAAATACGTATGATTATTAACTATTTCCCTTAATCCTTTATTATAATGGGTTATGGCATGATGAATAACATTATTCCCACGCGTATCTTGTATATTGATGTTTGCACCACGTGATATCAGAAGTTCAACAATTTCCTTATAATTCATTTCTGATGCAATCATAAGAGGGGTTAAGTGCACAAAGTTCATTTGATCATTTATATTTAAACCGTGTGATATTAGCATATCAACCACTTTAATATTATTATTCAAGCATGCAATATGAAGCATTGTAAGTTGTAGTCCAGAATCTCTGATATTGATGTTGGCCCAGTTTGAAATAAGTAACTCCACAATAGCTGTTTTGTTTTCAAATATAAAAATATTTGTGAATCGAGTTTGATTTCTATTAGGATTGTATTTATTTCATTTTATGATTTAGAAGATCCTTAGAAATGTTGTGTGAGAAGTTATTACCGCTGGTTACTTTGTAAATCATTGACATTTGAATCAATTAAAATTTTAATTTTCAAGAATCCATCAAAAATGTCAAGTAATTTACATATGATTAATAAATGATGCGTGATCGAGAAATGTTTAACAGTTTATTTAATTAAACAATATTAAAAAAAATACATAAAAGATCATAATCTTGAAGATGAAACAAAACTAATCATCTTACATCCAAATCCAGCGACATTGAGGGGGATGAGATAAGTGAATAGTGCAATATTTCCACTACAATCGTAACAAAATTGAATTCTTTGAAATTCTTAAGATTGATATGATTGGATGATGTTAAAAAATATTTATATGCTTTTTGATTGGCAATTTTATGAATACAAATATAAAAAACGATGTTCATATAAGATCATTTTTCAGAGTTGACTCACCTTCTAGTGTGAGTTCATCTGGTGTTTCGTCTTTTGCAAGTAAAACTAATATAAATCCAAGGGAGTAATATTGGAAGAATGAAGAAATAATATGAATTCCCTCAATAATATAATAATACTCCGTATTATTAAATTGAAATAATCTAAAGTATAGAGATTTCTCATATACAGATGAAATTAAATAGATGCTGTGTCCTAGACAGCTCATAAAAATTAGGAATTTGAGCTTCTTTCTTTTTGATTTTGCTATGTATTCAATAATTTCTGGAAATAATAAATAAAAATAAACAAGATAAATTCCTAATGCAGTTATTAAGTTTGAGGTTCTATTAAGGATGGGAAGGATGGGCACTCATAGGCTCCTGACAGCATAAAAATGTTATTATCTCACAATATAAAAGGAATCATAGGAATCTACAACTATATCTATATTGTTGGAAGACTTCTTAATGTATCATCCATATAAGTTATATCAATAACTCCATTATGTTATATGATTGTAATCATATTTTCGTTTCATGTTCAAAAACATTAAAATCATACTAACTATATGAGTATTATATTTAGGAAGCTGATATATAGATATGATAAAATGCTAGGTTTTGTGTTTAAGAATATATACTTATCTTTTAGAAAATAATACTTTTATAAAAAATTATATCTTATATAATCTAAAAATTTTGGACAATTAAAAAACATTAATTAAAAATAGAAGGTGAAAGTGTTTATTCAAAGAAGGTGCAAGATTATGATGTTTTGAGGGTGAAATAAATTTAATAATTATTTATGTGATTTAAGAGTAATACGAGCATCGGTAGCTTGAAGACCTCTCTTTATAGCTCTTAATGCCGCAAACTTTTTTTGAACTTGCTTTGAATTTTTGAATGCTTTGATTAAATCTTTTGTTGTATCATACATTCTGAAATATCTGTTCATCATTTCTGGCATTGTTAGTAAATTTAACCTGTATCTTATTGCTACAATCGTTTCAAACATACTTTCATTGAAATGCAATATTGTGACTGCCATCCTAATTGGCCAAGAAGCATGCCAATTAATATTTTTATTAGCAAGCATTGCTTTGATATGGTTTATCGATTCAACTACTTGAGTTGAATGAATCTTTTTTACCATATCAAAGATTTTTACGGTATCTTCGAGGAATTTTTTAAGTGTTTTTATAGCAGTTTTATTTTTTGCATATTTCCATGGTTTAATCATCTTGCATTTTTCAGGATCTGGACAAAATTTATGATTTCCGGCATAATGTTTAGCGGAATTCAACCATAAAAACTTCTTTGTTTTAATTGACATATGTGTGTCATTGAGAAGTTGCCTAAGCCAACGCAATAAATTCTTTGAAATGCTAGATAAGATTCTGAATTCTGGCAGTTTGAGCTTTTTCTGTATATTGTTAAGAAAATGTCCAGGATCTCTGTATTCTCTGATACCTTTGAACGTATTTTTGATTGTAGAAACAATTTTGACATCGCCATCATGCACAAAAAAATTTACACGTTTTTCATTATTCCAACGCTTCAGCATTCTTTTTAAGCCTTCAAATTCCATTTCATTTGATTTTCCGTTGAAATTACCTTTGAAATTTTTAAAAGATTTAGATATCACTTCCCAATCTACAATTTTTTTGAGTTTCTCTTCTACAAATTGTACATAGCAAAACATTGCATTTCTTCTCTGACTCCAAGAACCGTCAAACAAAAGTCCCGAACATTTTCTCATTCGAGATTTCCAATAATTAACAGATTCTCTGGCAACTTCTATGATAACACGACCAACCTTTTCTTGGACTCGATGAAATGTAGCTTCTGACGGAACTTTGATGTTATTCAGCATGAATTGAAATTCTGATTGGCAAAATGTAGCGCCGCTCAATAATACAGATAGCACAAATTCAACAGTGTTGACGACATATGGCTCTACCCTATTTTTCGCGCTTTGAACTAAGTTCTTTATACGCTTTGCAACTGCTTTTGTTCGCCGCGGCATGAAAAATGAAGAATAACTTGACGGTTTCTTGAACAAATGGTCGCACATTCAAATATTGTGATGTACGATCAGGATAAAAGAATGTTGTTGCCGTGAATTTAGAAAATAGCAAAATTTCAATTTACGCAATCGAGATATAACTTGATCGTTTGAGCGATAACCATGGCACCCATAGTATTAATGAAAGTACTCATACTTACAATTATTTTCTCCCATAGGAATATTGTTCAATATACTTCACCTATAGAGGAAATCTCGAAATAAAATCGAATTTTTTCAAAAATTACAAAAATCAATTTTTTACAAAGATGTTCGAAAAATAACATTATATACGCATCAAATCAAAGCATTATATGGAGCATTATAATTCTATATATGATTGTCCATCTTGCTGTTGTGCTATTTTTTTTAAACAATAATTTCATTGTTGAAATTAAATTTGCAATTTCAGTAAAAATTGCGACCCATCATTTTGAATATAATTGAATTAATACATTTATTGTAAGAATATTATATACCAAATATTAGACTTCCACATGAATCCTGGTATGATATTATAAGTATTGCAAAATTAGAAAAAAATATGCTCATGATATACTAAAATTCATGTTTCAAGGTTAACTTATAAATAAAATAAGTTCGAGAAATGCATCACTAAATATTTGAGCTTGTGCACTATAATGCTATATAATAGTCTTCACTGTTTTTAAAATATTGACTTTGCTAGACTTGATTTTTTTCATCACCCTAATGAGTGCCCATCCTTAACAAATTTAATAGAGTTTTCATCAAGAAACATTAGACATGTAGCTAAAGCAGAAAGACATAGATATATAATTTTTAATGTCGTGTAAAAATAGCAGAGAAATCTTGAAAATTTTAAGCTTTGTGTAATAGCATATGTGGAGAATGTTTGAAAAGATGAGGATATAACATTAATTGTCTTGAAAAGAAGGATAAAATAATCGAAATAATTCAAATGTTGAATGATTAAAATTAGATAATAGAATCTGAATATAATATAGGGTGTCCAAAGGTGTGTTTAGCACAAACCTGAATACTGCGAATAGAAATAAACAAGTTACATATATATAAAGTTTATTTAAATATAATCACCATTGGATTCAATCACGCGTTCGCAGCGATCGATCCGGGCTTCAAAGACACGCTTTAAATCATCATGAGAAAATTGCTCAAATTGCTCTCTTACAAAATTTTCAAGATCATCTGGACTCGCGAATTCGCGTCCTTCAGCTCTCTTTTTTAGCGTGCCGAATAAATAAAAGTCAGAGGGTGCAATATCAGGTGAATAAATTGGGTTTGGAACAACTTTGACATTGTTTTCCACCAAGTAATTCATTACCTTATGACTTTTGTGAACTCTTGAATTATCAAAATGAATTGCAAACTTTTGTTTTTGTTGTTTGGATTTCTCAAACTCATCAGAATTGATAATTTGAGTAAGAACATTGTCAATTAGATACTGAGCATTCATCGTATTAGGTTTTTGAAGAATATCAATTGCGATGATGCCATTCACGCCCCAAAAAACCGACAACATCATCATTGGTGTGTCAATTTTTTTCTTCGGGAATGTTTGCGGATTTTCATCCTTCGGGATCCACATGATTTTGGCTTCTGTTGCATATTGAAACCAAGACTCGTCCCCTGTTACTAAAAAGCGAAATTTCTTGGATTGATACGCACCCAATATAGAGAGGAGCTCTTTCGAAGATTGGACTCTAGATTTTTTTTGAACTGAATTAAGGTTGTGCGGAACCCAACGTGTATACGCTAGTTTGTAGTTCAAATAATTGTGCAGATAATAACTGACTGTTGTACGTGGTATCTTTGTCATCTCTCTATCCTTCTGAGTGATGCTCTTGGGTCTTCATCTAGCGCTTGAAGAATTGCTTTGATTTTTCTTTGATCCGGCGATTTTTTGTCAATTTTTATGATGGGCGCCTTTTTGTTCATGAAGTGATACATCCTAACATGATACGTTACAGTGGAATAGCTAGGAGCATCCATACCGAAGCATTTTACCAATGTCTCGTAGATTTTTTTACAGTCTTTGCATTTTTTTGCAAGAGCGAGGATGTTTTCTTTATGATTCATTAAAAAAATGAAAAAAATCCCGCCAAAATTTCCCGCGAAACCGCCTCTTGTCTCAAAATTCATTTTATATCCCGGCATGGCGCCAAAATACAACATACTCATCATATACATATATTCATATTTTTTATTATATATTTATAATCAGCATATATCTCCTTTAATAGTCTCATATAGAGCGCTGTGCTAAACGCACCCTTGGACACCCTATATTATTCTCTTCTAGATATTTATATTTAAAAATAAACTGAGTGAAACAATAAGTGAGTTTTACGACTATAATTGAAATTAAGATTCCTGCACCTAACAAATTTTGACGCTTTATAGTTAAGATTTGTACACGAAACAGGTAAAATATAAAGAACATGAATGGAATACATAAAATAAAATAAAAAATTGTCACAACATAAAGCATTGACATGTCGCAAAGGTTATTTCGAACAAAATGGCAGTGATTGATCTTTGAAATGTAACTGTTGTATTTGTAAATATTGTTTATGAAGTGAGAGCTCAATGTTTCTGAAAGTATTGAAAAGTGATCAGATTTACGATAAAAGATTCAACACACCTGTAATTGTTTAATTTTTAGAAGAGAGAGTGTTTCATAATTGTTATGTAATTTCATTGTTATATTAGATTGTTCCACATTTCATGTAAGATTTAATTGGTTTCTGAAATTTCTGAAATTTGTTCATTCAGAAATGGTAAATGATGACAAACTAAAGTTTCCTTAAGGCTGTAGTACCATCACGTTTTTTCATGTATCGCTATTAAACTTGGAGTAAATATCAACGAAATAGATGTAAAAAGAAAAACACCTCTTCATTATACGGCTCCTTTTGTCAAAAAGATACAATCAAATTTTTTGACAAATGAAAAGGAATTATTGGAGAATCGGCACTTCATTTTGCAAGGAGTCATAATAGTAAAGAACTAATTGAGCTTTATCTTTCACATGATTCTTTCCAGAGTGAACGTGTATATCTTCATAAGGCAACATATTTCGATAGCATTACATAAAAAAATTGAGCAGTTTGGTCGACCATTTTCGGGATTGTTACCCCTGTATACATGTGTATATGGGGCTTCTAATCCTGAGACAAACGGAACTCTTTAACCAAAACCTTATGGTGAGTAGTTAAATTGTTCCTACAATTCTTAATTTCAGAGTTTTTTTTTATTTCTATTTAATTTAACAGTTAAATTATCATTTCAAATGGTTTTCATAAGTTATTTGTTATGAAGAATACTAAAAGCAAGTATCATTTGAATTTAAAAAAGTTAAAAACAAAAATTTTATTCTAACAAAACTTTAAACATATTTCTCGACTTGATGCCTTGGTCAACAAGTGGTACATTACGAAGAAGTTCGTTGTTAATACCAAAAATGATCTTATAAGGAATAAGCGAATCATCTTTTTCATACATATTTTCTTGTCCTTCTACAATAGTATAAATAGCGTTTGCGTCTTCATTGAGATTGCACTTACGCATAACTTTTTTGTTATTTGGTAATAAGATTGCCATTTGTACGCCATCAGCTGGTTCTGGTGGTAACAACTGCAACTTCTCCATATTTTCGCGCTTTGTTTGAATTGAGTTCGACTGATTTACGTTGTCGTTGTAATTTTGTTTGAGTTCTTCTAATCTTTGTTTATCTTCCTGTTCTTGCTTGAGTAACTGCTCAGCTTCGAGCTTTTCGAACTTAGACTCTAATGAATCCTTAATAACCTTGTCTGTAGCATGCTCATCGTCGCCATCCCATACGTATGTCTTTGGAAAATCGTTATTCTTTTTAACTTCTTTCTCCTTCTTCTCTTCTTCCTCTTCTAAGGTAGTATTAACATTATATTTCTGATCACAGAAACAAGCAGGGTTATATACGTAATCTGTGTTTCCTTTCTCGCGTTTTGCTTTGATTCTTTTTGATTCTTCAATAATTCTGTCTAATTCTTCCTGCTCTGGATCCTTCACTTCCTCTTTCTTTTCTGCATCTTTAAGGTAACTCAATGGAGCAAGACCGGCATCAATTAAAAATAAACGTGTTTTCTTAAAATCTTCTTCTGGCATATTCATCATAACTGCTGTTGGAATATTAGCATCTCTAAATGCATCTACCCATTGCCAACGATCCGACATTATATCTTTTTTGTATAATGATTGTCAACCGTAAAATCTCAAATTGAGTGTATAAGTGTCCGGGCACTTTGCACTTTACAAAAAATTTTGAATACTTAAATAGTCATCTAAATTTTTCGATATTTTAAGATTAACTTTATGGTTATTAATCCGAATTCATCAAAATTTTGTCGGCTATCTTATCAATAATTCGAGAATTTAATCCGAAATCATATAATTCGTAGATATCTGATGTGTAAATGATATGTTGAGATCAATTCATAAAAATTATAAAAAATAGAGAAAATATTGAAAATAATATTTTTATTTGATGCGAATTATTTCATTAAATGCTAATGTATGGCTAGTATGTAACTATTTATGTGGATATCGTTTTATGATTTTTGTATTACATGGTTATATAAACAATATCATACATAAAGTATATAAATCTGCATGAATTTCAGTGGATAAAGTCATTTGACAGCATTCTTACGATCTACTTGTATCAGTCATTTATTAAGCACACCTTAATATCTGCTTCTATTTGAAATTCAGATTTAATGTTTTGAATATTTTCAATTGTTTAGCTGACAATTTCAATATCGCATCATCAAACATGATATAAATCAAATTATGCACTTCTTTATTAAGGTTGATGAGGTTCCAAAATTTCAATCTGTTCGGAAAGATATTTCTCAAGAATTTCATCTTTCTTATGTCGAGAGATGGTTGATAACTATTTTGCATTCAAATCCGAAAATTTCAATTCTTTTTGGGGATGTTTGATCCCTGGTGCACTGCTGAGGAAACTAAACCTGAGAATCGGTTGAAAAGAGAATTAAAGGATTCAAAAGAGCTCAGGGGTGTTACACAAGCACTCAGAGAGTTCCAGAGAGCATCAAATCAGTCAGATAAAATCCGATTATACCTAAATTTCTTATCTTTGTTCGAAAATTTCCTAGTAGGTGGACAAAATGAAAGTATATTAGCTCATGTGATACCGAATACCTTCCCGAAAATTGTTGATTATGGAGATATGGCATCTCAATCCATACCTACATTAGTCCAAACCCTTAGATTATTAACGACTTCATTCAAAATCACAATTTTTACACCACGCGCATCTAAAATGATAAAATTAATAAACGCAACATGTAAATACTCGATGCAACAACCAAAGATCATGCAAATAGGCAAAGAATTATTCTCTCGATTATTTTCTATACCTGAGTTTGTTATTGATTACGGAAATAGCGATGGATATGTCTCTTATTTACAGACAATATTGTGTTCTCAAATCAATACTCAGATTATTGAATCATCGATGGAATTTTTGATAGATACACCTCCTCAGACCGTTTTCGGAAAAATTGATCCAACAAATTTATTTACAGCTTTCTTTTCTTGCGCTACATCAGATTTGATACCGAAAGCAAACATGATTTACTGTGTGCAGCTTATTTACAAAGTAATATTATACGGATCGCAGTCAAATCAAGAAATAATTACAAAAACTTTTGATTCAAACGTACTTTTAGCCTACGACAAGATAATTGATGAAATAAACAGTCTCAAAAATAGTAGCTACTCCTCCCTTAATATTAGACTACAACTTCTTGAAATTGCTTTCAAATTATATCCATCTATCCTTGTAGAGCTTTTTGGAGCCATTTTCAAGTATATTTCGCTATATCCTGCTGAATCCGTTGAAACTTATGAATCAATTTTCTCTAAAATTGTTCCATTGATAAATTCAAATTCGATATCTTATCAAGACTTGCTTGAAACGAGTTTTTTAAACGCGTTCGCTAAGTATATACCTACACAGATACTTGCATCCATACTAACTTCAAACCAATCCTTTTCTGTAGTACTGATATCAGTTTTTTCACTTCCGAAAGCATGCAGACATCATTCAGAAGTATTCAAATGCATTCTAAAGACTGCGAAATACGTTAATTTTACAGAAATTCTTTTTCCTTTGAGCAGTGCTCTATTGAATGCGGCACATTGCTCCAAAACCATTACAGAACTACTTAACGAAGCTTATGATACAAAGAACGTTTCATTGTTCTCCATTTTACAGTCCGCTTTCGTTAAAATTCCAAATATTGCAACGAATTTTATCAAAGCTGATGGTTTGAACTGGTTAGAGAAGTCATTTAAGGCTGGTTTAATTACAATAGATTTATATGCGGCAACTCTAGGCAATTTGGTCATTTTTCGGAGATATGATGAGATCGATGACTTCATTTGGAACTTAGAAAAGGACCATCCTCTATTTTCTCTGTCAGAAGAAACCCTCGAGACCATAGTTTTCGGAATGAATTCTGCAAATCATAGGCCAATAAGAGTTTATTCACTACTTCTCAAAATTAATCACATAAATTACTTGGATCCTTACAATGCATGGATTTTAGGTAATTGCTACTTAGGTCGCTACCTAAAAGAAGGCAAAAATATTTTTGATTTTCCATATATCAAAGAAGTTGCCAACAGATTTTTACATACTACGTACATTCCTTATCTCCTAGAGAAGCCCTTTGACCTTCAGCCCTTCGCATCCCCTGATTATGACCATTTCCCTTTATTTCAGTTCTACCAAGGTCAGGACACCCTAAAAATTACTAGACCATTCAAATGTATATCGTTTTGGATCAAGTTCTACGATGAATTCGATCGCAAAACTGATTTTTTCCAAACAAATAATTTGACATTATCTGCATTTACGGGCCAAATCATCATTAACTCTGATGGAAAGCAGAAGCAGATTGATGCTGATACAACGCAATGGAGTTTTATATATATTAGCACTGAAGATTTTTTATTTTCTTCTTCATTTAACGTTTCTATACAAGGAAATGTAGTTTACACTGCTCAGAAGCCAGAAAAAGGAGACTTTACCTTTGCATCCTTTGGGTTTACCAGTTCAAATTTGATGTTTATTGGACCTGCGATCAGATTATTCAAAAACATGCCCGAGAAGATACCAGAATTATTCAAGAATGGACCTGATTTCATCGATTCCATTGAAGCTTTCAGGGTAGAAACCGTATTTACCCCTTATTTCTTCACAACTCCTTATTCTACTATTCCAAACTCATCAATGTCGAAGAAATGTACGATCCCGCCAACATGTGTAGCTGTTCCTTACTTCGGATTCCCTCTCCATTTCATTTCTATGCGTAAAAACAGCGGATTGGTCAATACATTGTATACTGCTGAGACGCAATACGAGTTCGACTCGTTATTTGTGACATTACTAAACATCAACGACCTGATTATGTTCAGTTCCAGTCGATTATGGAAGAAAATTTTGATGCCTCTCAAAAAAATGAAGAAATTCGCAACAAAAGAGATCTTCTTGAAAGCTTTGAGCTCAGTGGCCGAACACCATCACAGAGAAAGGCTCTTATCTTCAATTTTATTCGATCATGATATGTGGCTACTCGTAGACAACGAAATCTTAGTTCCTGTCATCTTCGAATATTTCTCTAATACAGATTGGCACATGATAGAGAACTTTGAGCTCTTTTTGGCCACAGTAATTTTAGCAAATCCTAAATCTAAGATAATTATTGACACAATCTTACAGAATTACAAAGTTTTACCACATATGTTAAAGTTTATAGTCACAATGTTCAAGATTTCCCACGTTTTGAATGCAGAAAAAATTACATGGGAATTATTAACAGCAAGAGACGAAAGTCCGCTCCAGAAAACCATTATTAACTGCTTATATGACTTCACGAATGCATATACTTTCAAAGAAGTCTCTTCGCACTTATCATTTAAAAAGATTTTATCTTTAATGTTGGTAAGTGTCGATGATTTGACCTTAAAACTACTTAAATTCGCAGTTAAAATGGAATCCATACAGAAGAACTTTGTAGAAGTTAGTGATATCCTTATGCATCGCATCACATTGTTGTCAAACCACTACGAAACATGGGAATACGTATTAAGTCTTACTACCGGATCCACGGAATTATCAACAGACAAACCCGTGGACGTCAAATACCTTCCTCTCCTTCTATCCCTTGTTTGGTCGATGAGTTTGTGTTTCGCTCATTCATTCACTTACAAAAAAGTTGAATCCGAAAAATTGACAAAATTTGACAATATTTACAATTTCTTCATATGTTTGTTGCAGAACAACCTTTCAGCGATGCTTGACAATCCATTATGTGTCACTTTGCTTACAAGTTGGTTCCCTTTAGTCCTTAGTTATCCATATTTACTGAGATCGATGATTGACAACTCGGAAAATTTGCCACACGATTTAGTTCAGATTTCGGAACTTTCTGAAGCCCAAGATCCTACATGGAGTGGCAAAGACTTGATCATAAAGAACCTGAAAGTCCCTCCATGTCCTCCTTTCCTTCCTCCCGCGATATTCACGGTTGAAATGATGTCTTACATTTTGAGAAACAACGGTTTTGACTTCACAACGACAGAAGAGATTGACCAAGAAGGAGTAAGTAAATGGTTGAACACTAGTCCACTTACGAAGCTCTTAATCAACTCCATTTTCGCTTCTAATAATTATAATCAGATGATTTCGATATTTAATGCGATTTTCTTCAGTTTTCCTTTCTATACTAGAAGCAGATCGACATTTACTGTTCATGTCCTGATGTACATATTACTTGAGAGATTCCCTGTCTACTATACACAACAGTTTCCTTTGCCTCAGTTTCTGAGATTCGTTCAATATTTCGTGAATCAAAAACTTTTCCAAAATTCAATCACGAAATTCGTTGAAAAATTCTTGGACGCATTGGAAACAGTTAGTGGAAATAACAGAGAACTTCAAAAGTGTTCATTGACAATCAACGCTATTTTACTTGATATAATCATTTATTCGTCACCAAACAATTATCCAAAAATCATTGAAAGTTTGTCAATTCACATCAAGTTAATTAGTGCTGTAATCAATCAGAAATCAATGCAGAAGACATGGGAATACGCATTGTCATTGTTAGGAACAGCAGACAGCCAAATCTTTGATAACTTGGTTGACGGTTTCGGTGAAAATTGTTTGTCAAAAGACAAAACTGCAATTTGCCAACTTTTGAAACAAAAGAAATTTGAATTGAACCATAATTTATTCGATTCTTGTCTCAATGAATGGATCAACAACGCGAAGTGCTTTGCAGACGAATGCTCGCAGATATCAAAAGAGATTTCTAGCTGCAGAGGCACGTTTATGAACGATTTCATGAATTTGTCACGAAGACAAAACAAATTCAAATACGAAAGTGACTGCAGACAATACTTAACGGCCCATCTTTTCTCGAAAGAACTCATGAGATTGGACACAACATTCAAACTCAGTGAAGATTACATGCACTGGAGACAGTTTATCACTGATATCCGTGTAAACAACGCTTTCGTTTCGAATTTCAGTCCAAAAACTTTTCATTTGTGTCCCCGCGCATTTCCGTTTGCTCCCCCTCGATTAGTTTCTCCGTCACCTTTTGAAATGACAGATATTTCTAAGCCGTATCGTGATTTTAAGTCTCTTGTGTTAGATTTCTTCATGGAAAACAACAAAGAGCTCTACAAGAAGACGTATTCAGAAGATGTCTCTTTGCGCGAGATTTTCCTCAAAGTTCAAAAACAAAAATACGGAGACGCAATCGGAATTTTGTCATGTAAATTACAACGATATGGAATGACGATAAAAACGGTTTTATTTGTATTTCACAGTTGTATTATGTTATTAACATATGCTACATTAACTGATAAAGAGGAAATACAATTAATAACACGTTTGGATGAGAAAGAACTCCATATTTTCCTTGAAAGTGTTTATTTAGGACATTGGGGGCAAACTTCTTTGTTTGGATCTCACATTTTGATCATTGTTCCTATGGAACAAATGATTTACGCGAGACAACATTCCAACAAAGAAATCGAAATGTGGACATTCGAAAACGGAAATTTCATTTTGCACATGAAAAATAACAACATTGCAAAAGTTTTGCCACTTTTGGAAAGATACTCCGAAAAAGCCTTCAAACAGCTCAGCGGATATCAATTCCTCTTCAAGACAACAAATGTCAAAAGAGCTCATTCCCAATGGTCTTCTTCTTTCTTGTCAACTGACCAATTTTTGTTGGTCATGAATGGCTTGGCAAGTCGTTCTTTTGTTGACTTGGAGAACTATCCCTTCTTCCCACACGTGACACTCTCAAACTGTGGAAGAAGAAGACTCAGTTTGATCGACGCAAATCGTCCTCCAAACTCTGATTCGACTCTCGAAATTTTACATAACTTGTTGCCATTCACTTATTTGTATAAAAGTGACAAACAAAATTTGATTGAAGATTGTCATGAAATTCCAGCAACGATGTTTTATGTCCCTGAATTCTATGAGGACATGAATGGACTTGGAACAAAGATTCCTACAGGAGATTCCCTTCCTTCTCCTTATTGCCAAACATTGAGAGATGCAATCGAAGCTGAAAAATTCAATCAAAATTTGATGAATTGGGTTTCGAGAATGTTCAACATTTTCCCAAGTTCAAGAAGGAATTCTTACACAGAACTCACAAACGAAGACAACGAAAGAGTCTCCCAAAACCACTCAAACATCGCAGATCTCGAATTATTCCACGTTTGTCAGGAAATCAACATCAAACCAAAATCATATCAAACGCTACTTTTCGAGAGAAATACAATCAGAAAGATCAGGAATTTGAGTGCAAGATTGGAAGCTTCGAAGCCTTATTTCGTTAAGATCGACAAGAGATCATTAACTTTGTGTTGTTTGAACAAACAAAGTGGTGAAATCTTTTGTTTAAACGTCGATCCACTTTTAGTTTTCTCTTGTGGATTGAGTTTATCAGTTAACGGAATGTTTTTGGTCGTTGATTTCGAGTTTGGTTTATCCCGTACATATCGAATTTTATACACTGATGGATTGCCAAGTTCGATTCAAATGATTACTGAGTTTTCATGGGGAGGAAGACCGAGTTCATGCATTTCTGGTGTTGATTGGATTGTCGCGACTGCAACAGAAAATCACATTTTCATTTGGGAAATTTTCTCTGCTTCTATTCATTGCGATCTTGAATTCAATGAGAAAATAGAAGGACTTGGAATAGATGAAGAGAATGGAGGAATGTATGTTGCAACAGAACACCAGTGTTTCTATTATTCAATCAATGGAGTTTTGATGTGTAAAGTTCCTTTCGAAGAACACGTTACAGTTTTGTGTCCTCTTCAGTTGCATCCTGCAGATCGAGACAGGACTTGTATTGTTGGCTGCCAGAGCGGCCACATTTACTTGTTAAGCCCAAGAGCAGATGAAATGAGAATAGATACAAAGAAATTGCCAAGTGAACACAAAAGTGCTGTTGACAGAATTGTTTTCCATCCTTCTTTGTGCGAGTTTGTTTCCATTGATAAGAACAAAACAGCTTTCGTATGGAACGCTGTGAATTTGGGAGCCCATCCTCAGGAAGCTTCTATTTTCACTCATTGTGCAACTTGCGATGGACCGGCTTTAGTAAAATGTTCTAGATGTAATAGGTTTTATTGCAACCGCTGCATGTGTGAAAACACTCGACAGATGTGTAACATGTGTGTTACTTTAATGAAATCATTTTTATTTAGTGATTTCAACTGATTAATTTTTAATTTTTATTATTATATATTTGTAATATAAAGTTTGTTTTTAGTTTTAGTTCTTTATATATGATATTGATTTTTATGAATATGAATCACGCGCGAAATATTATTCACACAACCTTTTCGATCAATAGAATAAAGAAACAGAGTAATGAAACATATCATAAGAATGCAATCTTGATGTATTTTAAAAATATCTATTTTTCTTAATAAGGTCGCCAAAAAAAGTGCGGAAATTAAAAACCGCAGTTTGAGTACTTTCTGAGAGTCTGTTTGTCAGAAAATATACATTTGTAAACTTTCTGACATTAAAATTTTTTTGTCCTTTCAAAGTTTTTGACAATGTCAAAAAGTATACATCGGGGCTCTCAATTTTCCTCTCAAACGGCGGTTTTTTAAAAACGCTCATTTTTTCATCGACCTTATACTCTATGAGTAGGCCTTTTTTTACCTTCATGATTATTGCAGAAATTTTATCGATAGAAATTTTATGATTAATTCATATGAAATTGAATAAATGTAAAGCCTGCGTAGCATAGTGGTTATTGCGTGCGCCTTGTAAGCGCAAGGTCGCCGGTTCAACTCCGGTCGTAGGCAAATATTTTTAATTATTTTTTCCTCATTTCTGCGTAAGTAGAATCGAGGAGCTTTTGATATAATAACACTCTTGTCGAATAAAAAAAATTCATCAATTGATTTTATGAATTGAAATCTTATCTGAGAATTTTGAATGATCATATGATAATTTTGGTATTTTTCTCCTACAGCAAAGACATTTTAATTTATATGGTATATATGGGCGCTGGCTGAACCATTAGGTGTCTCCACAGGGCTCAAAGAAAATAATGTGGCAAATAGGAGAAAAAAAAAGAAATAAAAATATTTGCCTACGACCGGAGTTGAACCGGCGACCTTGCGCTTACAAGGCGCACGCAATAACCACTATGCTACGCAGGCTTTACATTTATTCAATTTCATATGAATTAATCATAAAATTTCTATCGATAAAATTTCTGCAATAATCATGAAGGTAAAAAAAGGCCTACTCATAGAGTACCTTAAGAAAAATAGATTTTCCATGAATAACAAAGCCAGTACTCAATTTTATCAATGAAATTTCCAAAATTCACATTACGTGATCTTCAAAACAGCCAAAAAAATATGAAAAGAAAAACCTACTTTAATAAATAAATAAGCCTACTTAGCTGGAGCAGCTGGTGCTGGAGCTGGTGTTGATGGTGTGATAGATGTGTCTGGATACTTAGCAGCAAGTGTGTTGAGGTTATAGTTCTGGCCAACTATGATAAGTCTCTGGTGAGCAGCAGCAAATGCAGCATTGTAGTACTGGAATGCTTCAAAGATTGTTGCATACTCAGCTGGAGCCTTGGCAATGAAGGCATTAGCCTTCTCCATGAACTCCTGGTCAAACTTGATGAATTCCTTGCGGTGCTCTTCAGCCTTTGTCTCATATTCGGCTGTTGGCTTGCCCTTTTCTTGGCGAGACTTGACTTCCTTCTCATCGTTGAGGAGGAGGACGTGGAACTTGTTTCTCTCCTCTTCTGTGGTGTAAATGACCTTGAGTTCAGCAAGAAGGACATTGACCTTCTCTGTGACATGCTGTGGAAGGTATGTATCGGAAAGGTTGAGAGCCTCTGTGGCAAGGTTTGTGTTGCACTGGAGGTTTGTGGCAGTTGCAGCCTGATTTGGTTCGCCCATTGGGAAGAGGGCGGCCATCTTGATGGAAACTTGTCTTGAAACATCACCATACTTCTTGATGGACTTAGCATATGTCTTGAGTTCTTCTAAAAGAGCGTCAAGGCGTTCTTTATGAGACTTGATGGTATTGAAAGTGTTTGTGAAGATTTCAGTCTCTTCTGTCTTAGCTGTGCCTGTAGCACGCTCGATTGAGTTCATGCCGAGTGTGACGGATTCCTTTGTCTTTGCCCAGAATGCTTTCATTCTAAAAAACGAACTCAATTTCATTATCAGTTCACTTCTGATATAAAATAAAAGAAAAAATAAATTGAATTCATCTCAAAATTTGTCTTTATATATTTTGTGTTATAAATGATGTATGTACTTAAAAGCATATGTTGCTATTTGTTTGACGATAAAATTGATAAGAGTATTTTTGAAAATAAAATTTTGCTAGTCAGGTCTAGACAATTTTCTCTGTATCTACAAATTAATCTCAGATAGTAAGGGTTTCGTTTTGCGAAAAAAACGTACAATACGCAATTTCGCTAAAAAACATTTAGCTAGCAATTTCGACCTTTGACTCCACTCAAGACGTCACTTTTTTAATTTTGCGGTATCATATTTTTGGAAAATCTTTATGAATATTATATAAAAAGTCTCTTTAATATCTATATTTCATATTTTTATCGATTTTTAAAGTTTTTGCGAAAAGTATTCAATTATTTTTGCTATTTGGTCGGGTAAATGTCAGATTTGCGACATTTTCTGATATGATATTCAGATTCTACGTTGATAATAATGCTTATAGAACCCTCTTGCTATTGTGTCAAAATTGCGAAACCGATAGCAAAAATATCTCGCAATATCAAAATTGAGATATTGAGTGAATTATGCATTATAGAGATTAAAAATCTGATTTGTGAAAACATCTCATCAGTTTCTAGCTAATTCAAAAATCTTTACTATCTTATTCGATTAAAATGAAAAGGGAATAGTTTCATTATGCTTTAAATGACAGCCTTATAATATAATCATAGTTTTCGCTCAATATGCAGCATTTTTTTTCGAAATCTATGGTCAATATCCTAAATACTGATTGCTTTGCATTCATATCTCTTACATTTTCTATACCCACATCACTATTCATTGCTATTCCTATCTTTTTCATTTTTGTTTGTTTCTCATAATTTCTCAAAAAACATGATAACTTGATATTTGTAAATATCATACTTTATAACGTAAATAAGAACTTGACCTATTAAGAAAAGCAGTAATGAAAAGAAAATCTGAAATTCATAAAAATTACAAGTTTCTGATGACAATTAGCTTAATTAAACCAGGTACAAGATTATATAATTGTATTTTCTATCCAATTATCCATATAATATCTTATCCAGAAAAAATAACTTGATCAATACCAAATGATTTTTTAACTAGTAAATAAAGTATTTTCTTTACACACACATTGTATATCATAGTTTTTTTTTGGTTTCGCAAAACATCCAAAAACAAATATGCTATAAAAGTGACAATTTTAGCAAAACGAAACCCTTACAGATAGTCATGTTTAAACTCAATTCATTTTATCTAAATAAACAAGCAATTTGGAATCGAGGAGCTTCTGTCCATTTTGAAATCAATATATTGATTATGTGTGTATGTTTACAGACTAATTGATCGGGTTAAAGTAGAATCAATGAAGGACTCATAACAAATGAATCGCTGTTCCGATATTCATCTCTTTCGATCATAAAAATCCAGAAATTGTTTATATGCATCCTAAAAATGTTCCTTTCAACATCTTGCCATGTTCCTTTATAAAAAAAACTCGAATGATTAATGAAAACCACTGATTGCTAATTATTATGTTATTAAATGACATCAGCAGCTACGATTTGGAAGCAACTAATTCTGGTTAAAAATCTTCATCTATGTATTGTTTTTTTCATCGACCAAAATTGAACAACTGTACGTTTAAAATCAGTCTTGAATTTCATAAATGTCATCACTCACACCGAAGTGTTCTAGGCGCTCTCCTTTTAAATCACCAGATCGTCATGGAATACCTCTTCCACCATTAGATTTTGCTTCTCCATCAAAAGAAGATGATGAAGATGAATGCGAAATTGGTTCAATTCCTACATTACCACTGACTAGTGCGGTTCCAAGGATTACTGGAGCGACATTAGTTGATATGCTCTCTGGTGTATATGATGAATTCTTCGAATCATTGTTTATCATTGATTGTAGATATGATTACGAATATCAAGGTGGCCATATTCAAGGAGCAGTAAACATAAACAATCCTGCTCAGCTGTCTGAAGCATTCTTTGATGATCCACTTCCTAGCGCTACAATTGTATTTCATTGCGAATTTTCACATAACAGAGGACCAGAGATGGCTTCCATATTCCGTGGATTTGATAGAGAACTTAACAAGTCGAGATACCCATATTTATACTATCCTCATGTCTATATTTTAGATGGAGGTTACAAAAGATTCTATGCGGAGTATCCTGATTGCTGTGATGGTGGTTACGTACCAATGCTTGACAAGAATCATACAGTGAACGGTGATCTTGTAAGAAGCACATCACAGTATCGTGAAAACATGGAAAATTTGAATAGAGAGATGAATAAATCTCTTGGTGAGCTTCCTGGTCAGCATTCACACTTCATGAGCCCAATGGCTCCATCAATGCCCCAGTCACCGATGCCTCAATCACCAATGGCAACAAAAATGCTCAATTTCTTGGCTAGCCCTGCGTTTAAGAGGAGCCCATATCATAATACTGATTAAACATTTGTAATTTTTATATGAATTAAACATAAAAAGCTAATTTATTAGATATTCTTAATGGTTTAGATTAAGAAAACATGAGTTGAAGAAAGAACATTACAAATGAATGATTTATACATTTTACATTACTGCATACATTAAAGATGTATTGGAGAAGACAATCTTCATAAAGATAAAGAGGTTTTGTTCCAGAAAATTCAATACTAGGTTGTCCTGGTTGAAATCCATTGTTATCAAATGAGCAAAGTTGGAAAGTAACCGAATAAGGAGAAAATGAATTCGCATTATTTCCCAAAAATACACAAGAGGAAAAAAGAACATTATTTTCCTGTTCTGATAAAAGGTATCCACTCTGGCATATGTTATTAACAAAATTTATGCTAAAAAAACTTGTATATGCAATTACACTCACAACTCCGTTTGCCTGATAATTATTTATCAAACAGTTTGAGTATGAAATGGTAGATGTATCAACACCTTGGAAAATATAAACAAATGCAGTTTCAAAAACTGAATTTGATGTACTATTGATGTATTTGAGTTCAATAGTTCCATTCATGGTATGTATAACATCTGGTTTCGTGTTTTGCCTATTACAGTTTAAAATTGAAATATATTCGGCATAATTATGAGAATCTTGAACATGTTGTAAAGTAATATAGCAATAATGAGCTTTAACAAGCGAGCAACAATTTTTGCAGCAAATCGACTTTTGAATACAAGAATATCCGAGATCATCTAAAATACAGGAACCCTGATTAGTTGATGACACAGATTCAAATATAACGTATTCAATATAAACATTTGATGATGGTTTTGTAAAGTATAAAGGAGAATCACCTTGAAAAATCTGTTATTATTTACAAGATAATTGCTTGATTGTTGATCAGTAACATCTACTGCAGTTAATTTCCAAAAGCAATTTCCATTGAATAGTTCATGAAACCCAATACCCAAATGATAAGACTACTTCAACTTTGAAAAATTGAACTTTTTATCTCGATTTTTTGATAACTCCCTGTGATTTTATTCCAAAAATAAAATAAATAGAAACTAATAACGCAAGATTACTTTTTATTAAGTAATCGTGTTAATAGGCAAGCAGATTAAATTTCTCCATTTTGAATTTCAGTATTAAATGAGTCTAGTTTATGCATTCTTCTTCTATTCTTCTTGACTAAGGTATTCATTGAGTCCAAAAAGCCTTTTCCACAAAAGAAATGAATTCTAATCCAAAAAAATGCATCTGGATAGAAACATATAAGTGTTTCGTTTTGCGAAAAAAACGTACAATACGCAATTTCGCTAAAAAACATTTAGCTAGCAATTTCGACCTTTGACTCCACTCAAGACGTCACTTTTTTAATTTTGCGGTATCATATTTTTGGAAAATCTTTATGAATATTATATAAAAAGTCTCTTTAATATCTATATTTCATATTTTTATCGATTTTTAAAGTTTTTGCGAAAAGTATTCAATTATTTTTGCTATTTGGTCGGGTAAATGTCAGATTTGCGACATTTTCTGATATGATATTCAGATTCTACGTTGATAATAATGCTTATAGAACCCTCTTGCTATTGTGTCAAAATTGCGAAACCGATAGCAAAAATATCTCGCAATATCAAAATTGAGATATTGAGTGAATTATGCATTATAGAGATTAAAAATCTGATTTGTGAAAACATCTCATCAGTTTCTAGCTAATTCAAAAATCTTTACTATCTTATTCGATTAAAATGAAAAGGGAATAGTTTCATTATGCTTTAAATGACAGCCTTATAATATAATCATAGTTTTCGCTCAATATGCAGCATTTTTTTTCGAAATCTATGGTCAATATCCTAAATACTGATTGCTTTGCATTCATATCTCTTACATTTTCTATACCCACATCACTATTCATTGCTATTCCTATCTTTTTCATTTTTGTTTGTTTCTCATAATTTCTCAAAAAACATGATAACTTGATATTTGTAAATATCATACTTTATAACGTAAATAAGAACTTGACCTATTAAGAAAAGCAGTAATGAAAAGAAAATCTGAAATTCATAAAAATTACAAGTTTCTGATGACAATTAGCTTAATTAAACCAGGTACAAGATTATATAATTGTATTTTCTATCCAATTATCCATATAATATCTTATCCAGAAAAAATAACTTGATCAATACCAAATGATTTTTTAACTAGTAAATAAAGTATTTTCTTTACACACACATTGTATATCATAGTTTTTTTTTTGGTTTCGCAAAACATCCAAAAACAAATATGCTATAAAAGTGACAATTTTAACAAAACGAAATCCTTAAAACATATGAAACAAATGCATATGAAGAAACCTGTGAAACTTACGATTATCAGATTTAAAATTGAATGTGTTATCATACGATGAGATTCAATATTTTGAATCCATCCATAGAAACAATTGAAAAGTAGTTCTCGCACTTTGACCTCATTTTGAGCCAATGACCCAACCCATTGCTAAGGACCTCAACCACGTTGGTCTTGTTGTTCCAGATGTTGACAAGTGCTGCGCATTCTTAGAGGCTATCTTTGGAATCAAGTGCAGTGAGCCAAAGAACCTTTGTGGACACCTTAAGATCCGCTTTGCCATTCTTAAGAATGCTGAACTTGAAATCATCGAGCCACTTATCGAAGATTGCGATCATGCCAGATGGCTTAAGGACCATCCAAAGGGCGGTATCCATCACATCTGCTTCCATACAGAAAACCTCAAGGCCTCAACAGAAGCTCTTGAAAAGGCTGGCGTTCGCCCACTTGACCCACGCCCACTCGAACTTCTCGATGGCAACGCAGTCCAGTTCTTCAACCCAGATGACTGCTTCGGCATCTTAACTGAACTCGCTGAAGGTGGCGATTAAATTACTTCTCACTAAACTTTAAGCTGTTTACTAACTTGTTAATAATTTTTTATAATCTACGTTCTGATCAAAAAAAGCGCTCAATTTTATATCGAATGACTTTTAGCAAAATGACTTGGATGGTAGATAAGTTAGATCGAATTCGAAATTATTTTTGGTACGAATTTGCTTGAAAATTTGGGATTTATTTTTATTTTTTAATAGGATATGTCTATGGGATAGGAATTCTATTGTAATAATATATGGAACGTTGAACAAAAAAAATGAAGTTTTTATCGGTGTGCAGCACCGGTAGAAAATTAGTTCGACAACGGGACCAATATGGCCAAATAAAATTCACCGAAATTGCGTTTTGACTCATGAAGAAAGTTCACAGATAAAAAAAAATAAGTTGATTGTGTTTATGAGATGCTTATTCACCTAATTATAAGATAAGAAATAGTAGTCAAAAAAATCATGGGAAGTGACTTGATTTTCAAAAAATCATTTTATCATGACAACTCAAACTTGTTATGATCATGATCCACGCGTTCAGGCAATATATCAGGCTGGCCGTGGTGGTAATGGTACTTGCTGGATCTTAAAGATAGATGATCACTATAGAGTTCTAAAAAGACTTTTCAATCGAGATGGAACTAAAACATCTGAAATGTTTGAGAATGAGTTGAAATTCAAATACCACTCTCTCCAATATTCTATGATAACTCACAAAAACATCCTGGCGAACGTTTTAACTGGATTTTGATGGATTATATTCCAGGTATCACTATAACGAAGTTAATCAGCGGCGGTTGCGTTGGTAATCGTATTAAAAAGTTATGCATGCTCGAAATTTTCGCTGCAATTGCTTCCCAGTTGACTTTGATGAAAGAAATGGAAATAAAGCATCGTGACCTTAAACCAGACAATATTGTCGTTGATGGTGATATGATTCCTCACATTATTGATTGGGATGATTCTACAGACAGATTTTCGTTATCTATTAGTGAGCGTCACGGAACAATTCCATTTGCTGCTCCAGAAATCTTTTCCGCACAGAGAAAATGCGAATCTGATATTTTCTCATTCGGAGCTATCATGTTTAATATGATTACCGAACGTTATCCATTTTACAGTGCATACAGGACAAGAGCAGGCTTACAATCTCTTGCTGATAAATTCTCTGAACTCCAATTACCTAACCTCGCTGAAACATTAGACGTGCTTGCAGAATTCGAACAAATGGATGATTCAGAACAATACAACCATTGGCCAACGGTTGTTTCATACGTTGAGCCTATCCTTACAGAATTGATCAAAGCAGGCGCTCGAGATGACTATATCTATAATGAAAGATTCCAAAACGATCCGTTCAACAGAAAAATTTCTGAGTTGATTGGATTATGTTGCAAGCAAGAACCCGACGGCAGAATCACACCAGAGGATCTCCACGATAGGATTGATAGTCTTGCAAAGAAATTTTAACAGATCCAATGAATTGGATCAGTACACAAATATGGCGATTATTTGTTTTCACTCCAGCAACAGGAATATGGCACAAAAGAAATGATCGTAAAACTAAAAGGTTGGGTTTTTACGAAAATGATGAAACACTATTAAGAATCATTCAAGCAGAAAATCCAAGATTTGAAGCGCCAAGATCCTCTGTGTTTGCCGCTTTCGTTCAATCATTAGCTCCAACTAATTAGGTAAATAATTATTTTATTTCTTTTTCTTCTTTCTTTTCCTTTTTGCACTTTCAACATCATACCACTTCTTTCTTATATGTATATTTAAAATAACACTTTCATCAATAGTTTATATTTCAATTATCGTAAGAAGTGTAGATTGTTATTCTTTCAAACTGTTTCAACATTCAAATGGTAATTATATGTAATTGTTTTCTTTATATATGTATATACTTGAGTATGCAAGAGTTCGAATACAAAAAGTATTATCTTATGAAATTTCTCAAATCACAAAAGTAGAAACATTCAGAGCTGTCAATTATCTACATGATTGCTCATAATAAAGTAGAACATTTGATTTAATAAGCGTTAAAAACTAAATTGCTAACAATTACTTTATCTTATCTAAAAAATAAAGAATGATTTTCATAATTTACTTATGTCTATTGATGTTCATGGCTGTTTTGCAGTCGGTTGAGTATCAATAGAAATTGACTAATTCAGATGAGGATAGTTCATAAAATCGGATGGATAATGATCAGATTTTATAAATTTTATTTGAAATCCAATATAAGGGAGGCTGTGTGAGAATGATCAATAGTAAAAGGGGATAAATTTGTTACTTAAGGTCAAACATGTATAGATTTTCAAAGTATCGATTTTACATATATACTTTGACAATGATATTGAAATTCTATCATAAATCTACCCATAATCGCATGTTCTTAGAATTGTGGCTACTTCTCAGGTGATTGTATATCATATTTACTATGAACTTTCTTAATAGATCTTTCAATAGAACTATTTTTTGAGTTCAAAATAATCGTTAATATGCAAGAGGAATCATTAACTCATGAACAATTTCTGGCTTGGACCTTATCAAACAATACGTCCCCATCAATTCAATACATCTTGAAGCATCGTGTTGTAAAAGGAGAAGTTCAATATTTAGTCAGATATATGGATACGAAAAATTTTCCATATGATGCTTGGATAAGTAGCAGTAGGATTACAAATATGCAACCAATTATTTCGTATATAAACAAACAAAATCCATCTGACTTGAAGCCTAACTTAGATCCAAAAGAACAGCCTCATGAGTCTGACGATGAAATAACAGAAATACATATTAAGCATGCTAAAGCAAATACTGTGCCTTTAACTCCTGCAGTTAGTCAAAAGATCAGAATTCTCGAATTAATCGACGATAATCATTTCAAAGTCATTTATCCTGGAAATACTAAGATTGAAGATGCTACTCGAGAAGATTTAATAAAGAATTACAAGGAAGAATTTTATCAATTCTACAACCAAGAGATGGCAAAAGTATTCGACGAAGTAAAGGCAAAAGGACTTTCCTCCAAAGAAAAAGCTGAATTATTAGCATTAATATCCGGGAAATAATTTCTTCAAATATTTGTTTTTATTAAAATACTAATATTATCTCATAAATATTATAGTTCTATGAATTTTTTGTTGCAGCATGAAGAGCTGTTTGTCTATAACTATATTATCACCAAGATTCGCACCATGAAATATAAATATTCCTTCACATTTCATGGTGCCCGAAAGAAGGACTCACATTTGGGCTCTTGATAGAGTAGATGATCAGAAGCTTAACATGAGACTTAGGATTAAAATTATGAAAAATTCAATAATAAGAGAAGCAATGAAAAATAATTACTTTTTCCCTTAATTTTTTATTCAAAAATGAAAATATTCAAAAATTTCAATAATTTTATCTTTTTTCAATCATATAAGCCTTTTCATGCATTTTTAAATCAGTCAAATTGAATCATTATTATCATTTAAACTATATCATATAGTCGAAATTATATTTTCTGATATTTTCTAACATCACAATTATTTTTTTTTAACCAAACATTAATTGTGAAGAATAATTAATTTAAATAATTTCCTCTTATCATATTTTTCAATCAAAGCTTCTTTTGTAAATGCCAAAGGATTCAATCACAGATTCATTGGTAAAGGAAAAATTAAATAAAATATTCTAGGTTTTAATAAATCGATTATGGCATGCCACTGAAAATTCTCTCAATAGCAACATTAACATTACCGTTGGAAGCAAGAAGAGCACGGATGTTCTTATCGTTATCATTGAGACCCATTTCGTTCATAATCTTGAGCTGCTCTTGGAATCTCTCCTCGTTTGAGACAGATGGAGCTGGGTGAGCAGCTGCACCAGCTGCTGGAGCTGCAGATGCTCCGAAATCAGCAACATCTGGGAAGACATTGATACCTTCCTTTCTGAGGGCACGGCATGAGTCAAGGAACTGCTTCATTGCCTTGGAGCCGTTTGTAGTAGCGAGTTTATTCTTGATCTCGTCTGTTTGTGAGAGTTTTGTAGCATCGAAGAAGAGCTTGATGTCTGCATCTGAAGCTGGTGTTGAAGCTGGAGCTGGTGAAGCAGCTGGAGCGCCTCCGAAGAATGGATTTGCACCAAATCCACCATCACCGAACATACGCATGGCATCTTGAATGGCCTGTGGATCGTTCATAAGACGCTGGATTTCTGGGTTGTTCATTAAAGAGTTCCAGTCCATTCCGAATGGATTAGCACCGGCATTAGGGTTTGCGCCACCAGCTGGGGTTGCACCTGCACCTGTGTTAGCGCCAGCGCCCATGCTGCGGAACATATTCATAGCTTCACGCGTCATTTCTGGGTTCTGTAAGAGCATTTCCATCTGAGCACGAGCAGCTGGGTTGTTAGCGATCATTGGGTTGCTGTCAAGCATCTGACGAAGCATTTCTGGATTTTCCATAACCTGATTCATCATATTTTGAACGAATGGGTTGTTCATCATAGCGGAGATTTGGCTTGGATCCATGTTATATGGGTTCATTCCTGGCATTCCGCCCATTCCTCCTAATCCACCTAATCCGGCAAATGGGTTAGCCTGTGGTGGTGGTGACTGCATATTTGGAAGTGGCTGTGTTGAAACCTGAGCTGGCTGTGGAGCTGGTGCTGGTTGGGCTGGCTCGGCTGGTTTAGGAGCTGCTGACTTGCCAGAAACAACCATGTGGACGGCATGACCATCAGGGATGTTGTAGAATGAAATAGTGTTTGTATCGGCAAGGATCTTTCCGGAATAGATAAGGCGGATTTTTGTTGCATCAAGGTTACGTTCTGCAGCAATTTTCTGCTTTAATTGAGCGATTGTAAGCTCTGGACCTTCAACTTCAATATCGAAGTTATTGTTCTGGCTACCTTTGATCTGGAGTTTCATGATTTTTTGTAAATGTTAAAAAGCGGTTTTCGATTTTTTTTTCAAATTTATTAGACCAACTTTCTTATTTTGTACATTTAATGAGATTTATAAAATCAGGATTTAATAAGGTCCATTTTCGCCTCGAAAGTTTGTTTAGTCGGTCGGGCGAGTTCCGAAAAAATTTTCAAAAATTGGTGATCAAAATTTTTCGTAAAAGTGACACATATCTCTCTCAAATTTTATAATTGCTTTTCTATCTTGAATGGTAACCTCAAAATAACATTTTTTTCTAAAATGAAAATTTTCAAAAGACCCACTGACAATCAAATGGTTTACAATCACAGATTCTGCATTTACAAATACAGTCATGTTAAGATACTCTAAGATCATTTAATCACTTAGGAAAGATGATGGCTATAATTATCGCCAATGTTTAAATAATGCAACAGATTTTACTATTGTCGCATAAGGTGATATTTAAATAAAACTTCAAACAAATACAATATGGGAACATGTATATTATTGAAATGCTAGAAGATATTGAAGAATTTGGGTTTCTTTAAAATTGATAATTTTCAATGTTTCATTCTTATCTACATGAAATGGAGACTTCATTCTAAGAATAAATTGCAATGCCAAACTATAACCTCCATTAAATTCAACTTGAGAGAGAGAAAACCTAATTTTACTGAATAAGTAAATAAAACGTGACAGGAAACGATCACTCTCAATTTTAATACTTTCGCTTGACATAAAAAAATAATATCATTTTTTTAATAGTTAACACTTTGGATATTTACTCTTGAATATATTTTTTTTGTACTTTTTGCTATTAGCAGAAAGACTCAGTGATTGGGCGGATATTTAATACAACTTGTTGAGGAGAAACAATATTCTGGAGCCATGGAGGAATAGGACCCTTAATTGTTGACTTGCAAAGCTGGTCAAACTTAGCCCAGTACAAAACTAATCTCTTTGCAAGTTGCATAAGAATTTCTCTTGCAGAATTAAAGTCGCCAAACTTATGGAACTGTAGTTCAGCGATTTTCTTGACTTTGTCAACATGATTATCCTTGAAATCAAGAGCGATTTCCTTAAGCTCTTTTTCGATAACATCAATTTTAACTGGTTCTTGAGAATCAAGTTTATGAAATGCTTTCCTTACGATGTTGAACAAATCCTTGAAGTTTAATGACAACTGCAAGTCAACGAAATGCTCGACGCAATCAACATATTTCTGCTCGAATAATTCAAGAAGAGGACATCCTTCAATTGTCTTCATCGTTGCAAGAATCGCGCAGTAGTTGTTGATCAAGAAAATGACATTCAATTCAACAGTCTTGAACTCTTTCGATGTTCTTTCAAGGAGATCAATGACAGAAGCAGAAATTCCATGCATATCAGGAACAGCAATTTCCGCAACTTCGTCATCAAGAAGTAATGAAAGAGAACGTGCGAATTCGGAGAATCTCTTTGTCATTGCATTCGCGTGATGTGCTGTTTGTTCATTTTCCATGAAAACAACAGGATCGCACTGCTCCAAACTCTGAATGTTGTTGTTGCAAATCGCATGGAATCTGTCAGCAAGTTTCTTTGCAACTGTTTGGAGATGTGTGTTGATTTTGAAACATCTCCTGCGGCTCATTTCGTTCTTCTCGGCTTGTATGATGCGGAGAAGGAGAATGGTGCAGATTGGATCGGTTATACGTGGAAGGAGCTCATCGAAAAAGCTCTCGAGATATTTGGTCGTGGCCGTAAATATCGTTGTTGTAATGTTGTCATCATCGAAAAAGTAGGACGCGAAAGCATGTTCTGCAGTGACAGTGTCGATGAGCTTCTGGTATACACTGCGGAGAAGTGATTCAATTGGGAAAGAGCCTTCTTCGAAGACTTGTGGAGGTGCAAGAATATCATCAAGAAGTTTTTCACGTTCGCCGAGTGAAAAGAAGAGGGTGGATTCACCGGGAGCAAGTTTCTTCTTGAAAAATGCCCTTTGCATTGTAGGAACAATAGTTTCTGGGGACATAGAGATTTGAGCCATTTTGCGGAGAGAATTCTTGCAGGTATACTTGTAGACTTCTAAGTAAAGTTTTGAAAGAACGTCTGCGTAATAGCTTTCGACTGAGTCAGCAGTACTTGGATCGAATTCTTTGATGAATTTGATAAGGGGCTGGCATCTGAGGAGTGAATTTTGGATGGCCATTTGATCATCTGGGAAGTTGTCGCGGATTTTTGTGATCTCTTGGTTCATCCATTTTCTGATTTTTTCTGAAGCTCTTCCTTTAAGCTGCTCGAATTTTGCATGAGTTTCATGCGCAGCTGGTGTAGTTTTTATATCGGGACGTTGCACGAATTTTAATTTGTTGCCAAGTTCGACAATAATTTTGACATAATTTGGACCAGCTTCAGTATTTGTAACTGCATCTGTAAAATCTTTTGTAATTGCAACTTCTCGTGCGAATTCGCCCAAGAAATTGTCTAAAGATTTTCTGTTTTCGAGCTTCATAGAAATTTCTTGAGATCTAGTTTGTAAACTGCAAATTTCTGTAGATAATTGACCTAGAGATCCTTTGAATGTTACAAGAAGGTCTTCCATTGCTTCTAATGTTTTGTCGCAAGCCATAATTTCTTCATGAAGTGAATCAACTCTTGGAATTTGTCTGAGATAATCCTCTATTGAAGCAGACTCAATATCGTCTAATTCTTTTTTGATTTGTGCAGAATAGTTTTGTAGATCGACGCCAACTTCGAGAACTTTACGAACAGATGGTTCAGATGCAAATCTCTGAATATCCTGCTCCATCTCATCGAAATCAACATCCTTTGTGGTAATATCTAATTCGCCAAGATCTAAGCTGTCATCCATTATCAAGATTTAAGATTTTTTTTTTCTATCGATAGAATTAATAAAAGTTAGTGCATCTTTGAAGCTTATTTTGAGAGATCTATTAAGAAAGGTCATAGTAAATATGATATGTAATAACCTGAGAAGCAGCTACAATTCTAAGAACTGGCGATTATAGATAGATTTAATCGAATCTTATTAAGTGAACTTGATTTATCATAGTATTTCAATATCATTGTCAAAGTATATATATCTAAAATCGATACTTTGAAAATCTATACATGTTTGACCTTAAGTAACAAATTTATCCCCTTTTACTATTGATCATTCCCACACAGCCTCTCTTATATTGGATTTCAAATAAAATTTATAAAATCTGATCATTATCCATCCGATTTTATGAACTATCCTCATCTGAATTAGTCAATTTCTATTGATACTCAACCGACTGCAAAACAGCCATGAACATCAATAGACATAAGTAAATTATGAAAATCATTCTTTATTTTTTAGATAAGATAAAGTAATTGTTAGCAATTTAGTTTTTAACGCTTATTAAATCAAATGTTCTACTTTATTATGAGCAATCATGTAGATAATTGACAAAAAAAAAAAAAAAAAAAAAAAAAAAGGAAGTGGGGCTTCCAGGCACTTCGTGCCCTCTAGCCCCCCGTCACTTTTCTGTCACTTTTCAGGAAAAAACATTTTTATTATATATATAAAATGAATTTTACAAAACCACCGTTACCCTTCTTTGGAAATAAGAGTAGATGTAAAGATATTCTATTGAGAGAACTTAAGAAACTACCGAATGGTCTAACATTTGTAGACTTGTTCGGTGGAAGTTTCTATATATCTCATTTGTGCCATACAATATTTCCTGACTCAAAGATTATATGCAATGACTTCGACAACTATATGAACCGTCTCAAACATATACCAGACACAAACAAAATATTGAAAGAGTTAAAAGAAAAGATACCTATAGGTAAGATGGAACGTATACCATTAGATAAGAAAAATACTGTCAGAGAGGTTTTGAAAAAGGCAGAGTATATTGACTGGGATAGTATATCTGCTAGACTATTATATAGTGGTGCTATAAGAGTTCATGACATTGAAACACTTATGTCAAAAGTTTTATATCTTAACTATACAAATGTTTTCAAAGAGAACATAGAAAAATATATTGAGGGTATAGAGTTTGTGAGATGTCATTGGACAGAGTTGTATGAAAAATATAAAGACAAGGAAAATGTTTTCTTTATAGTGGACCCGCCGTTCTATAACACATGGGATTTTCAATACCAAGTAGACTGGACTTTGAGAGACTCTTTAGAAACTTTAGACGTTTTACATAACCATCCATGCTTTTACTTTACATCCGATAAAAGTGGTTTGGAAAGTGTCATGAGATGGTTAGAGGACATACATGACTATGAGTTTAGATACGATAAGATAGAATATGAGAGAGGTCCTATAAACTGGAGAAAGTGTCATAACAAAGAAATTTTACTAGTAAGTAAATGTGGTTTGAAATAGGACTACTTGTTTTAGGTTTTTTCCATTGTGTCATTTACTTATTTGACGTGGCAGAAAAGTACAGAGAATATGAAGATGAACCAATGCCTGCAAATGTTCAGTATATGTACTCGTAAGAGATATTTTTATCTAATATTAAATGGACGCACAGAACTTAGCGAATGCACAGCAACCTGGACAACCAAACCCAGAGAATATTCCAAATGAAGTTAGAATACAAACTGCAATGGCAAACTATGGTCAAGTGCCAACAGATGTACAAATGCAAACTGCCATGTCAAATGACGCTGCGTTAGGTTTGCCACCATGGTATGCAAATATGAGATGGAAAGAGTTTTATACAAACCCCGAAGTGGGATATAAACAACTTTATGCAGATGACGCGAACACAGGAGTTGACCCAGAATATGTTTTCTACAGAGGAGAAACAGAATGTATGAGCTCCAGTTAAAGAATGCTATGGAACTCAACAGGAAACGTAAGAGACTAGGCGGACATTAGATTTTTACATATAGTAAAATGGGTTTCTTCAGTAAGATAGGAAATTCTTTCGAAATGTTGGAAGAGGTATATGGAATGGAATAAATCTGTCGGAAGAGGAATTTGGAACGGAGTCAAAAATATTGGTAAAAGGGTAGGTCAGTTTGTTGGTATTATACCTAAAGACCCTGAACCAGAAGAGCAGCTCCTGTTATACAACAGCCTGAACCTGCACCACAGTCTAGTTGGCAACCAAATCCAACCCTCAACCGTATTAAAAAATTATATTTTACCGTTCGATAGTAGTTGTATATGAAACTAAGTTCTAAGTAAAACGCATGGTATAATGGAATTATTCTTTTCTTCCATCTGTAGTAAACCATACTTGAAAGTCTGAAATACTTCCACTCGGTGGTTCATATAGCTTTGTAGGTTTTTCGTAAAAGTCATTTGCCAAGCATAAGAAAGAGTTTGGGCGCCAGAAAATGAAGCATGAACTATAATAGCATCTGAGTCGAAAACATTTTCATATGTTCCATTAGGGTTTTCGACTTCATAATAGTCCGGGTGTACTGGATACCATGCAGGCTGATTTAACATCCTCAAAAATCTATGCCATGCCAAGTTGTTATATTTTGTAGAAATATAAACGTTTTCTCCAAGGTCTTCTATTTTATTGATTTTAACAGTTGCATTTTTCCTGTCATATATAATATCGAGATGGTACTCTCCTCGTCAATGTTATGGTTTGCATATTCGAGATAGATATCGTTTATTTTTTCTTGAAAAGCTTGAAGAGTTGTTTCTAAGTTTACAAGCAAATTCACTTGTAAAAGTTTTCCCTGTTCAAATTTCTCATACGTACGTTTTTCTTTGTTATAGTATCGAACTTCAAAACCGACCGTAAATGGGAAACCATGTATGGCTTCTGAAATGAACTTCATTCTACGAAAGCCAATAGCTTTTGTGACAGATGGGTCTCTTAGCCATCTTAATGGGTAGTCAAAACGATAGCCTTCATGCTTTACGGTCTCTGTCTCAAACTTTTGACCGACATTAGTAAAAAGTTCATCTAATGGTTTAGTTGTAGCAACTCTTGAATTTTCTTTTTCTATTGAAAGCATATTTTATCTAGAATAAAAATGTCGAAAGAAACAGCGTCTATGAGAGAAATACAACACAACCGACAACTCATTGTGCAAGCTCTAAATAAGAACACAACAAATTTTCAAACTTTCTAAGATATCTGAGTCATTGAAAGAAGGAAACTTAAAACTGACGATAAACCCATTGACAGACGAGTTTCTGTTTCAAGACAGTAAGAACCATACTGTTTGTATAAATCCAACAAAAGAACTTTAAACGAGAAACCTATAAAAGAACTTCTTTTGAAAGCAGATGTTGACAAACAAAGCTGACAAAGAGTATGTCATTGAAAAAGTTCAAGAAAAAAGAACATGACAGAGCAGATGCAACATATGCAACGAAAGAACATACTCATCTGAACTAGCAGACAAAACATTATGTTGACAATAAAAGTCAAGTGAAGTGACAAGAGCTGAAACGAATATTTCTAAAAAGACTCATACACATACCATTGCAAATATTACAAACTACAAGAAACCTTAAACAAGAAAAGTGACGTTGGACATACACACGATTTCTTCGCAACTGTTGGTATAGAAAATATTGCAGGAACGGTTGAAGAACCTGATGAACTGGTGGGGATGTATTAAATTGGAAACCTCCTAACTTCCACAAGGTTTAACATCGGATGAAGACATAACGACGATGAAATACACTAGATGTAGAAATGTCTATGTCATGGAGGATGAAAACAATGTTAAATTCACTGCTCAAAGATTTATATGATAAGAAAGCTGACAAAACATATGTTAACGATGAGTTAGATAAAAAGCTGACAAAACATATGTTAACGATGAGTTAGATAAAAAAGCTGACAAAACAGAGCTTCAAACATTAAAGACAGAAATACTTCAAACAGTATATCCTATAGGTTCTATTTATACGTCAATGAACTCTACCAGACCAAAGTAGTACTTGGTCTCGGAACTTGGACTCAAATAGTCGACAGGTTTTTGTATTGTGCAAACTCTTCAAAGGAAACAGGTGGAAGTAAAACGATTTCAGTGAAAACCTACCTGCACACAGTCACTACGTAGATTTAAGTACATCTCAAGCAGGTTGGCATAAGCATAAATTTTGGGATTGGCACGCCTTGAAAAAAGGTAAAGGATATGATGTTAAAGACGACGTTCAGTTTGCTATAAATTGTTACTGGAGTGACACTCAGGGAGATGGAAACCATACACATCGCGTTACAGGATATACACAAACAACGGGACAAAGTAAGACTACATGCCACCTTACATGACAGTTACGCATGTATAGAATTGCTTAGTCGTCATTTTCAACTTCTTTAGCATATTCGTCAGGAGTTGTCTTATATTTGTTAGGAACTGTCTTTGAAAGTATACCACCTTGGAACTTTGACAAGTTTGAAACGAGGTCTGACAATAGTAGTTTTTATCTTCTGCTTGCAGTGTGTACATTTTGCCATGTTTTGCCTAAAACTTCATAATATTCTCTTGTATACTTTCTTCTATTTTTACGAACACGAATGTGAGTACCTGTCGAGTTCCCATTGTTGTCATAGTCAATAGTATTTTCATATGGGTCGCGTTTAGGTATTTCTATTTTTACTTTGTCGCCTTTCTTAAGTTTGAAGCCTGGCATTCTTTCTTGTTTTCTCTTTTGACTAAACTATTAAATATATAGTCTTTCTCTAAGTCAGGGTTGTTTTTCATTTCTTCGGGGAGTGGTTTCCCAAGCCTTTTTGTTTACGGCTATTGTAAATATTTAAAACTTGTCTCATCTTTGCCATGGAGAAGTGTCTATACTTGTCGTCATATGACATTTCATCTACCTCACCACCTTGTGGTTGGTTTAAGTCTCTTAAGATTTTTATACAACTGTCAATGACACCAAGAGCAGAATGGTTTTGGTCGACAATGAAATATTGGTTTACATTTTTTGAACGCAGATAGTTTTAATATCATCTGATTTGAAAGAACTTTCACAGTCAGATGTCAGTTTTGTTGGATGGTATTTGTCAACGAATATTGTCAAAGCAGTTTTCACATCTAAAATATTTTTGGACTGTAATGGTATGGCTTCACAGTATCTTGTGTTTTGACCAACAAATATTAGCCAGTATGGTGGTCCATCTGTTCTAACTCTCGGAATGTTTTCCAAGATATCCATAAACCAAGCATTTGGTGTTGAACTAAAGATTTTACCATGAGTGCTTTCTTTGTTGCTTTAGAAACATAGGGGTCCTTGTTTGGATTCGTCATTTTTTAACCCATAAGAAATGGGTTTTATTTGGCGCATTAGCAGGAGTTGCATCCAGATTTTGCCCGCAGTGGGAACAATAGCCAGAGTGTATTTGGAGTTGAAGAAGATTTTGAGTACATTAGGTATACTTAAAGAGAAAGCACAACCTATTATACAAACTGTACAGAAGGTTGGGATGTAGCACGAGATGCAGCAAATCTTATTCCAAACCCTGAAACAAGAGGAAAAGTTCAAGGATGGATGACAATGTAGGAAGACAAGCAGGAAACTACTATAACAAAGCAAATGACTACTATAACCAAGCAGGACACTACATGGACCAAGGTGAAAGATTCTTTAACAGAGGATATAACCATGCACAACAGTGGGTAAACAACAACCAACCGCAACCGCCTCAAACTTGGGGAATGTAAATTTTTTTACTGAGATGAAATGAACAATACAGCATTGAGACAAATGGGTTCAAGATGGATTTGTCGACTTCCAGCAGTTACACAACGTGTTTGTCAAGTTCTTCCTATACCTCAGGAAGTTTTAGACCGACTTAAAAAACAACAACAACCAGTTGAAAACAAACCAAACTAAAATTTTTTACTGAGATGAAATGACCGAAGAAGTTGAAACGGTAGATTTGACACCACAAACAAAAAGTTCAGAACCATTGTCAAAACCTGTCAAAGAACTTACAGATGAAGAGAAAAATTCAATAATAGAAAGTGCCAGGTCTGGAAATACAAACCTAACTATAAAGTCACTTTTCATAGAAATGGAACGGCTAGTATCTCAAAAAAGAAACAGACTCTCACAAATAAAATATTGAAGTCTGAAGGAGCTTTCGAGACAACAGATGGAAAAGTTTACTTCACTGACCAACAGTTCATTATAGAACATCTCATTGACTTAGAGTCGAAATATTCTAAACTTTACAACAAACACAAAAAGTTGAAAGGAAAACAAAAACAGATGGCATATGATATTTATGAAGATGTTGACGACACAACCATACCTGCAAGTGAAGTAAAGTCAGAGGAACCGAAAAGTGACGAAAAACCGATAGAAGAAGAAAAACCAAAAACTGAAGATAAACCAAAACCAAAGTTTAGTTTCCAAACTAAACCAAGTCAACCTTCATTAGCTGGTATGGGTTGGCGTCAAAGACTTATGGCAGCCGGTGGTTACGTAAAGTAAAGAAAAAAACATTTTTTTTATTTTTATAAAAATGCCCCCGTATAGAATGGACAGAAGGTCTGCTAGAATAAAAGCAGAGTTAGAAAGATATGGTTGGAAAGTTTCGAAGAAGTTTAAATATAGGAAGGGAAAGCCAATAAAAGTCTATGACAAACTGTCTGGTCTTCGCTACGAGATGGACTTAGAAACCGCACGTGCCAATTATCCAAACAGACTAGAGAGGTTAGAAGAAGAACGTCTTATGAACATGCCTTTCGATGTTAGTGAACCTCAAGTTGAAGGACACGACGGCTTTGCCAGATTCTACTGGAAACATGACGAACAATTGCATCCTTTGAGAAGGAAAAAAGGAAAAGGTGAAGATGCACATGCTCCCATGGAAAGAACAAGATATGCATATGAAAAGTACCGTGAAGTTAGAAGTCAAATTACATCTGGTCGAACCTTTACAGTAAACTTTGACGAAGGAAAGAACAAAGAAGGCTTCATGGGTGTACTTGCTGCCATACAAGACGGAAATAAGAAAGGATACAATCTCAGATTGACCATAACAGATTTGGATGGTCATATATACTATGCGCATGGCAATGTCACAACAGCCGCACAACTTCTTGACGCTTTCAAGACTACAAAGAGAGAACAAATGGTTGACTCCGACTCAGACATTTTGAATGCAATTGAAGGAATTGCAAGTGTCAAGTTCGAATGGTACCAACCTAACCCTCAAGCAGTCAGACAACATGCTGGATACTTCCCCTTCAGAAATAAGTCTGACATTGACTTGACAAGGTATGGAATTTACAATTCAATTGAAACAATTGTCAATGAACCTTGCATTCTTACATGTCTCAGGAACTCTGGTCTTGTTACAGATGAGAAAATGAAGTATCTTGAGTCATGTGTGAAGACAAGGTACATTCTCAGAGGTCAATTGGCAAAAGTTGCACCGTTGGCAAATGTGAATATCCGAGTTAACATTCCGACTGAGAAAGGTTCTTCACATGACGACTATGTTGTTGACAAAGACTTACCATGGTTGAAGATTGTAATTGTCCACAACCACTTCATGTTGAACGAAAGTCTTACAAACCCATTGTTCGGAAAAGGCAAGTGCAACATTGTCAGAGCTGTAAACATTCTTTTCGAGAAAGGCTTGTTGGAACCAATTCCAGATGACAAGCTGACAGAAACTTTTGTACCAAAAGACGAAACAAACTTTTCATTGTTAGTAAGACCAAAAGTTGTTCCAGACAAAGTTCTAGTACAAAAGAAGTACACAATTCCAAAAGGAGTTGGATTGTTCGGATACCAACCTGAACCAGAAGAACTTCCAATGAGGTTGCAAGAACTTCAAGATGCTATAAACAAACTTCCATTGAGACATCCAATCGACGTCAAATTGTATTGGAGAGCATCTGAGTTAGGTCAGAAGATTTTATATGAAACAGGTTGCTTTGACGATGTTTATGAGATAACAGGAGAAGTTTCTCAAAAGATAAGAGACTCACTTGAATTTCCACAAACTGGACCAATTGGATGCGATAAGTTCGACTCATATGAAAAGATATACTATGTCGACCTTAACGCTGCGTACATGAGGTTTGTCCAATATATCCCGACTGGAATTCCAAACGAAGATGGTGAGTTCCCGGGAAGGAACTATACAGTTGGAAAAGTCATACAACAACTGTATGATATTAGGAAAGCTTCAAACCCCAAACTTGCAATGACACTCAAATTGCTTATGAATTCGACATGGGGATATTCCATTAAGAAACCTCAAGCGATGAAGAGTAAACACTATGAGAAGGTCGACAACTTTGTTGAAAGGTTCTCCCCTTTTGTTTTGAAATACGAATTTACTCAAGGTCAAGGTGGCTTAGTAACCACAGTAAAACCTATTGTCGAACATTGGTCCTATCCTCAGTTCGCAAAGGCAGTCCTTGACAACTACAACAAATTTTTCTCAGAGGTTAAATCCAAAGTGAAGGTATACTATGAGAACATTGACGCGCTCATGACGAACGAAGAAGGGTATAACAAACTCATTGAAATGGGAATGGTCGGTGAAAAGATGGGCTGTTTTAAATTGGACAAAATTTTCACCGAAGTTCATGTAATATCGAAAAGGAAATATTGGGGCATACTTGAAGACGGCACAGAAATAAAACATTGCATGAAATAAACAATTTATTTTTGACACTTTCACAAAAAACATAAAAAAGTGAAGTTAAACGTTAAGGTTTACTGAACTGGTTGGATGTCGCCTTCACAGGTTATGTAGAACGGCTGACCCGAGAAGTGAAGGAGACCCTTGAGAATTTGGCTCATTCTTGGGAAAGGGTTCTCTCTGGTTGGAAGTTGTATCCAAGGACGCTTGGCAAAGAACTTGAGAAGAGCTTCTTTCTTTGCTTGCTTTATGTCGTCGTAGGCTGTCCCGTCTGGTATTTGAATTGGAATTCCAGTCGAAGTCTCGAGATTCAAGGCAGCCCTTCCCGTTATCCAACAGTTAACAAGCTTGCCTTTTACATTCTGCCTGAGGAAGTCTTTAACAAGCTCGTTAATTTCAATTAGGTAAATTGCCTCGTCGGTAGGTTCGACCTCGACCATTGCTCCTGTCAGTAAAAGTACTGCTACTGTCAGAAAAAGTACTGCTACTGTCAGAAAAAGTACTGCTACTGTCAGTAAAAGTACTGCTACTGTCAGTAAAAGTACTGCTACTGTCAGTAGCAGTACTGCTAGGAGCAGTAAAAAGGAAAATTTGAGAGGGTTTTCGACGATAAAGTACTGCTACTGTCAGAAAAAGTACTGCTACTGTCAGAAAAAGTACTGCTACTGTCAGTAAAAGTACTGCTACTGTCAGTAGCAGTACTGCTAGGAGCAGAGATTTTTATCGTTGTGGTCCGACGGTTAAGCCACAAACGAATGTCCGACGTCCCACCAACCCAGTCCAATCTCAATCCAGAAGAACCGAAAGCACCAGCCCCTGCACCTCAGTTCCAGCAATTCCAATCTCAATCCAAATTACTACCAATTCCAATACAAATCGAAGAAGGTCTGAACCGCTTACGCAAAGAGTATGCTACAGCTCCAATTGAGAGAAAGTTGTTGCTAAATTCAGTAAAAATAATGTTTAGGGTAGAAGGGTAGCTCTACCCTGTTTTCTACCCTCTTTTCTACCCTCTTGAATTTTCATGAATTTCATCGTAGAAAACTCTTGAAAACAATTTATTTTTAAAACAATATATTTTTTTTATTTTATTTGAAATGTACGCTGAGTTTGTTGGAGAAGACCGTTGGGAAACTTGTTTGTTAGATGAGAAATATGAAATTCACTGTTGTGAGTCATTTGAAGTCAGAAACAAAAAGACAAAAAGAGTTTTAAGCGAATGGGAGCGAAATGACGGATATGCTGATATGAAGATGGGTGGAAAACACTTCTTAAACATGTTGTCATTGCAACTCATTTTATACTGAATCCTAACAATTTACCTTTTGTAGACCATATAAACCATATAAGAAACGACAATAGACTTGAAAACTTACGTTGGGTCACTTATTCTGAAAACAATAAGAACAAAGGTAAATTAAGAGATATTGTATTCGAATTTGTCGACGAACTAGAAGATGAAGCAATTGAAATTACAGACTATGGCAAGCATACGTTTGAGTTTTACTACTATAGCGAAGAACAAGACTCTTTCTACTTTTATACCGGCGTAAACTATAGGAAATTACAAGTATATTTACTAAGGCGGGCTATGCTTATGTAAACACTAGAGATACAGATGGAAAATACGTTCGAATACTTCTTAACAAATTCAAGAAGCTATATGGCATACCATTTTAAAACAATATATTTTTACATATATTAAATGCTTCAGGTTGAAAGAATACGGTGGAGCCAAAAGTGGCTCGACCTCAAAACAAGCATTTTATGAGCTTACAAAGGGTGTTATGAATGAATTCAGCAACATACATCCTGACCTCGTTCATTTTGTTGCTAAATTCAGTAAAAATAATGTTTAGGTGAAGAGGTGACATCTCACCCGTTTTCTCACCTCTTTTCTCACCTCATGAATTTTCATGAATTTCATCGTAAATGTTTTGTCGAAACTTCTTCATCGTAAATGTTTTGTCGAAACTTCTTCATCGTAAATGTTTTGTCAAGACTTCTTCATCGTAATGAGCGTAAATGACCCAAAAATAATGTTTAGGTGAAGAGGTGACATCTCACCCGTTTTCTCACCTCTTTTCTCACCTCATGAATTTTCATGAATTTTCATGATTTCTTCGTAAATGTTTTGTTGAGACTTCATCGTATATGTTTTGTCGAGATTTTTTATCGTTGTTCCGACGGTTAAGCCACAAACGAATGTCCGACGTCCCACCAAAAAATATTTTTTATTTTTATTGTAAGAACAGAAATGTCAGTCGAAGCAAAAACGTTCACGAACAAATCTAATGGCGAAACATTCACAAAAGGCACTTACAACGGTATTGAAGTCTTACGTAGAGACAAGGATGGTTATATAAATGCAACAAATATGTGTCAGCAGTTTAGGAAGGACTTTAGAAGGTTGTTGGAAAATAAGTCCTGGGAAGAGTATTTTGAGGCATTTTGTGAAGAATATACCAACCCGCGGAAAACAGCGGGTTGCTTTTTATACAAAATTCATGCAGGAATTCCTGATGAAATCAAACAGGTTAGAGGAATGTATGTAGACCCAAGACTTGTAAACTATATAGCAATGTGGGCTTCTCCAAAATATTGCATAGCAGTTGGAAAAATTATGGACTCCATAGACAAGAAAGTTCATGAGAAATTAGATGAAGAAGAACTTGAAGATACAGTAGAGAATGCAAAACCTTTGTTCGAAGAAGAAGTTAGAAAAATGCATGAAAAACAAATAGAACATGAACGTGAGATATGTTCTGGTTATAGAGACTCTCCATACGAACTAGACCAATGGGAACAAGAAGATTTAAAGAGAGAATTTAGAGAATATGAACTCGCTAAGATAGCATTTGAAGCTGCAGAAAAGAAGTTAAAAGTTTGGGGTCGTTTTGTACAAAAATATTGTGAGTAAATGAACCATTTATTTTTATTGAATTCAGCAAAAATATAATTTAGGTGAAGAGGTGACATCTCACCTCTTTTTTCACCTGTTTTTTCACCTCATGAATTTTCCCGAAATAAAAAATAAAGTTAGTTTTATTTTTTATTTTTTTATTTTTTTTATTTTGTATAAAAGATATGATTTCAACAATCGGCACAACAACACTTCAAACAACTACAGCACCAAACTCGTTAGTCATGAATCCAACATCTATGTTGGTAGAGATGAAAAACTTCATTCCTTCTTCATATACTTTCGAAACAAAAATCCAGAAGATAAAGCAAGAACTTCTCCAAGGAGATTTAGACTGTAGTGCGAAAGATGAAACAAATGAAGAATATCTTTATGAAATGCAGGATATTATTGACCATCTACCTAAACTTCCTGAAATCCAACAACAAAAACTCACTATTCCTGAATTCGACGAAATTGAAGTTAAAGTTACTGACTCAGTAGAAATAAAGAAGTTCATACGAAAGGTAAATTATGAATTCCTTGGATTTCATTGCAACCACAAAGTTATGGACAAAGACTGCGACATGGTATATAAAAATATTTCTGACATATATAAATCTGGGGAGTTTAAGACCTACGACAACTTTGTTTCATTAGTTGCAAAATGTGTATGGGAAATAAGAGATAAAGATAGTAGGGGTAAGGTATGGAATGAACAGATAAGACCCGCTATGTTTGAGATGAAGAGAGCAATTGACGCCTTGGTTGTTTTAGCAGGTAAGGTTTCAGAATATAACGCAAAAATGAATCCGCAATGTTCTAAATGTAAAGCAGCAATGAGGAAATATAACTACTCCGTCAAAGAGATAGAACGTATGCGAAACGACTATGCAGACTTAAAGAAAGAAGCAGAAAAACCAGCAGAAAATAAAATGGATATGTTAGCATTTCTGAACAAAAACTATCCAACAGCAGAAGATTTCCTATTATCTGACGTCAAGAAGAAGTATAAAGAAACTTTCGGTATCGTTAAAACATTCGATGTACTGACAGAAGAAATAGAAGCTACAAAACTGTTTAGGATTTCAAATATACATCGTACAATTCATGTAAAACGCTTATAAAATAACTGGGGTGAAAAATTAGGTGAGAAAACGGGTGAGATGTCACCTCTTCACCTAAACATTATTTTTTGCTGAATTCAGCAACAAAATTCTGAGTAAAATAATTTTTAGGGCATGTGTCAAACCGTTGAGTTTTCACAAAATTTAAAAAATAACTGGGGTGAAAAATTAGGTGAGAAAACGGGTGAGATGTCACCTCTTCACCTAAACATTATTTTTGTCTGATTTACGTTCATTACGATGAAGTCTTGACAAAACATTTACGAAGAAGTCTTGACAAAACATTTACGAAGAAGTCTTGACAAAACATTTACGATGAAATCATGAAAATTCAAGAGGTGAGAAAAGAGGTGAGAAAACAGGTGACATCTCACCTCTTCACCTAAACATTATTTTTATTGAATTCAGCAACAAAATTCATGAATTTCCTTAAGATAGAAAAAATAAAGTTAGTTTTATTTTTATTTATTTTTTTATTTTGTATGTAAAGACAGATATGTCAACAACAGAGAACACAACAACAGTTATAGTCCATGAAGCTATAAATGAAGAATATGAATGGGTTCAGTTTAACAAACAACTCCGTCTCATTCGTTCGGTCAAAGACGATATGTACCAAATGCAAAGTATTTTGACAGCATGTTTTGCTCCAGATACTATGAAACCACAAGATTGGTTTGAATTAAATAGCACTCATGAACTCCTCAGTGAGTTTGAACATGTAGAACTTAAAAAGATGTACCAAGACAGACAAAACTTACCATCACATCTAAAAGGTATATATGTTCATAAGTTCCTAGTTAGTTCAATAGCAATGTGGGCTTCACCTCGTTATGCAATCTACATACTTATGCTACTTGACGAACTTTGTACAAAGCAGAGAGAAGATATGATGAAAGAAGACAAAAACATACAGAAAAGAATACCACGTTCGGTACCAAAAGGAAAGGAAAAGAACTATAAGTATATGATTTACACTGAAGAGATGGAAAATGAAGAAGACAGAGATATGGTTATGTTGCATTTAGTCAGAAGAAACACAAAAGCTTTTACGACTTAGCTAAGATTTACAAATCTGACAGAAATTGGTTCTATCGCGAAAACTTACCGATTTCAATGACCCCAAATGAAGATGTGAAACAAATAGTTCAAGATACGTTACCTCAAACACACTATGATATGAAAGGTTGTACAATACTTACCTTCAAAGAAGATTTGCCATTGTTAAAGGAAAAAAAATAACAGAGTATTTTGACAACTTCAAACAAGTAGAGTAAATGAACTCTTTATTTTTCAAGCTTGACTTTTTACAATTTGAACTTTGTTCGCGTAGATGTGAATTCTGAAAGAAGTATGAGGGTCTTGTATGACTTTGTACTTCTCCCATAGTTCATGTCTGTCAAACTTACCTGCCATGGACTCTTTCATAAGTTCCATGAAATCGTCTTCGGACAATCCAGGGAAAAGTATGATATCAGTAAGTATTCTTTTAACATCCTTACTTAAACTCTTTGCTGTCTGTACACAAATGACAACAGAGATGTTGAAGTGTCTGAGCTTCTTAAGAATTCGACACATATCTTGTTCTCTGTTCTTTAACAAAGGATGAGAGGCGAAATCATCTAAGATAAGAAGACATCTGTGAGGTAAGTCTTCCAATCGTAAGATTGCAATTTCTTCGAAATGTATTCTATCTCTTTCTGTTTGTTTCTGAAGTGTTTCTTCTCTAATATTCTCTGCATTTCCTCATTTGGGTCTTTAAACTTAGAATTGACATACTCATTTATAGCATTGTACTTCAAAACTCTTCTTTGGTACTTCTTTATCCAATCTAACAACTCAGTACCTTTATACATACTAACTTAGACTTTTTTATAATATCTTTGAACGAATTGACGGTTTGGTCAAAATTGACCAGAAGTACTACAAATGACTACTAACTCATAGAATG